CCCTTGTCAGTTGTGGGACTTGAACTCTGTGCCTGGGCAATGGCCCTGTGCTCTTCAGCTCAAGGTGAGCACTCTACCACTTGAGCTATAGAGCCACTTCCGGTTTTCTGGTGGTTTATTGGAGATAAGTCTTGCAGACTTTGCTGCCCGGGCTGGCTTTAAACCATTATCCTCAGATCTCAGCCTCCTGAGTAGCTAGGATTACAGGCGTGAGCCACTAGTGCCTGGCTAATTTCCATCTTGTTCAGAAACTTCATGCTTATGTGTGTGGAAAGGAAAGGATAACTCATTCTCAACGTTCAAGTGACAGATTTTTATCTAATATAATTCATGTGTAAGCCATGCCCTTAACCTTAAACCAGGGAAGCTTCCTGTGGAATCAATTCAGATTGTATTAGAGGAACTGAGAAAAAAAGGTGGGTTCAGTTTCCCAGATTCTTTATTTTTCTTCCTAGTTGGGATTGTCTGTGGGCTGGATAAGTATTTTCTCACTAATCACTTTTTTCTCTTCCCTGGCTTGAAGCCCGCAGCTTTCAGTACAGTAGACAGCCCAATTCCTTGGTCTTCTTCCTCCCTCCCCTAACTAGTACACAGAAATTGAAATCACTCTTAACTGTACCCTAAACCTGAAAAGAGGTGGGCAAAGGAAAATGAGAACTTAGTAAATAGGATAGTAAAATAGTAAAATAAATATTGACTCTCGATCTGAAAAGTCTCTTCCACTATGTCCCACCTTGGTATTTACCTCTTGTCCCATTTTTAGAGCATGATGCTTTCATAAGTATCTGTTTTTCAGGGAACCTCGAATGGTTGGATAAGAACAAGTCTAGCTTCCTGATCATGTGGCGGAGGCCAGAAGAATGGGGGAAACTCATTTATCAGTGGGTGAGGCCATCCTGCTGCTAAGTACTAAGCAATGACCTATGGCAAAGGAGAATTTTATCTGTGCCCAACAGATACTTGATGTTCCCAGATCCAGACTTAACAAAGTGGGGAGGGGGCTGAAGGAGGAAATGTAAATGTCCCAGAGTGACTCAATTTCTGTGGTTGCACAGAACCTCCCTTCTTTGCCTGTAGGAGACCAAGGCTACATGAGGCTGTATTTGGAGAATGCAGTACTGGGAACCATCATTGCTATTGTTGGCTGGAGCCTCTGGCCACAGGAGATAAATGGGGAAAGGAAGGGGGTAGGGGAGTAAGAAAAAAAAACAACAAAAACAACCTAGTGCCTTTCCCCTATTGTGCCTTTATTGGTCTGTCCACATAAGTGAGGTTTTCTGAACCAGTGTGGGTGTGGGGCCAGAACACTGTCCTAATTCCTCACCACCACCATCCCCAAATATTCCCAAGGGAATGCAGATGGGGGAGGAAGCATCAACAACCTAAATATAACAAATACACACCACCCATTCCTGAAAGGAAAACAACCAGAATGAGAGGTCACTCTTCAGACACGTGAAGAACTGTGGTTTAGAGGTTCCAAATGTGTGTGTACACATACAAATATAGTACCTGTAGGGTTTGTGGGTTTGGCACCACTGCAGAGGTGACAGCCCTGGTTTGGGAATAGGTACCATCCTGGATATAAAAAAAAAAAAAAAAAAGTAAGTGGAGTTGAGCAGGGTGCCAATGGCTCATGCCTTGTATTCCTAGCTACTCAGCAGGCTGAGATCGAGATATCTTAGTTTCAAGCCAAACTGGAAAGAAAAGTTTATGAGATTCCATCTCTAAAATAACCAGCAAAAAACCAGGCTGCAGGCATAGCTCAAATATTAAAGTGCCAGCCAAACAAGGTGCTGAGTTCAAACTCCAGTACCAGGGGGAAAAAAAAGCAAGGGGGGTTAGTGTTGGTGGGTTTTATGTTCTTCCAGGAGATCCTTGGTTCTTAATTCCTTCCTCATGTTTGATGTCCACAGGTTTCCAGGAGTGGCCAGAACAACTCAGTGTTTACCTTGTATGAACTAACCAATGGAGAAGACACAGAGGAAGAGGGTAATGCTTTTGTTTTCTTCCAATTTTGTCATAATTCTCTCTCAAATTCTAGTTTAATTGATATTCTTACCACTTCTCTGTTTCTGAATTCCATAATATAAAAGTTCTTAATCCATGTCCAAAGATACCATAAACTGCCCACATTCACATGCAAAAATACTCTAGTTTTATTTGTGTGGGTGTATGTACTTTTTTTTTTTTTGAGGGTAGAATTACAAGATTTTCAAGGTCCTGAGTGACCAATGAAAAGTTGAGAATTACTGCTATAGAAGCCCAGTTGAGGAACCAGTGCAGGGGATTAATCCTGAAATCTCATTTCTTGCTGACTCAGGCTCTCTTTCACCTTTGCTTCTTTTAGAGGGCTCAAGATTTGTGGGTGTCAGCTGAAGAGATTGGGCCAATACCCCCAGCCCATTTAAATACTTTGGGTTCTGGCCAGGAAAGGATTTGTATATGCTTTGATTTTCACACAGTGTAAATACTTTCATAGTTCTTGGCTCCCTGACTCCTTATTCTAATCTGCAGAATCACCAAAAGTTCTAGTCTTCTCTGGAGTAATGTGAAGGGGGTGTTTGCCAAGCCTTGGTTGTCCCAGCAGAGTTTAAAGTTCTTGGCTATTCCCCCACTTCCCTGCAGGCTTCTGCTTGCTACTTCACCATCACCCCATGACTTCAGCGCTGCAGCCTGGCCCAGCCCACCACTCAGGCTGAGTAAAACTGGAGGCTTCTCCAGAATGCAAACTTCCCTGACTTGAGCTGGGCTCTCAGAGGGGGTGAGGTGAGCAAGCCTGTTAGGGCTTGCCTACTGCCTGCCTTTCACATCTCTCCACAATATCTTACCATATCTCCAGCTATTGGCCCTTGGCTCCTAGCCCTGTCCTTTTCAATTAGAAAGGACAGATACTGATACTGGACTTTAACAGTGTCCTAGCTAGAGGTGCTGGCTATACTTTTTGTTAGGACAGGTCCTCCTGATTTGTACAAATGTGCAGTTAAGTTCAGTGTCTACTAACAAGGCCCTAACCTCCCCAAAGCTGATTTCAGGATCCTTTTTATTCTTTTCTCTGTGTGTGTTTTAAGGCTTCTTGTGATCCTCAAAGCAGATGGAGATATTCACCAGACACTAAAGGGAGTAAAGGGGAAGGACATCTGTGAGCTATGGGGACTGAGGCTGCAGAATGAGGAAGGGGGAAATAAGCAGAGTTCATTTCATATTGAGTCAGGCCTTCTTCCATCCCAGACTCCCAAGGAGTCCCCAGGAGATGTGGGTAGTGGCTGCAGCAGTGTTAATGGCATACACATTTCCTAGCTGGGGAACATCTCAGCTTCCATTTTGATTATTTCTCTCAGTCCCCGCCCCCCCAAGGTACTGAGTGTCCCTGACTACCCATCTGTTCCTATCTAGAGTTCCATGGGCTGGATGAGGCGACTTTACTGAGAGCTCTGCAGGCCCTACAGCAGGAACATAAGGCTGAGATCATCACCATCAGCGATGGCCGAGGTGTGAAGTTCTTCTAGCGAAGACCTGTCTCTCCCTTACTACTTACCTCCCACCTTTCTAGGGCTTGCAAAAGGAGACAGACCTATTGTCTCTATAGACTGGATCTGTGACTCCACTATACTCAAAGGGCTCCAGGCCTGAAGGCTGGGACCTAGGGATATGTTTCCCTTATCCTCTCTATGTATCTGTCCCTGGGATAGGTTAAGCCCAAGATGCCACAAAGAAAGGCTGTGCTTCTTGCCCTACCTCCCCTCCTATGGTAGACTGTCCCTGAGGCATAGTCTGTAAACCTGTCACTTTACATGTGTCTTCACACGTAAGTACCTAATACACACATGAGCCTGCACAAGCTTCTGTCTCCTCCCCTCCCTCCCCCTTAGCTGCTGTTGCCTCCCTTTATCAGGCTGGTGCTGGATCGATCCTTCCTAGGGGTTGGGGGAAGCCCTGGCTGCAGGCAGCCTTCCAGGCAATATGAAAACAGGAGGCCCCAGAAGGGGCCTGGCAGTGAGAGGCAGGCCCACACTGATTTATGATATTAAAATCTCAATTCCCTCTGCCTGCCTAAATTACTGCTGAATTGGGTTGGGGAGGGCTGTGAACTGTTCCACCTGAATGAAACTCAGCCAAGAGGAGAGGAAGCCTAGGGCCTTTGAGAAGGAGAAGAGCCTCTATGCCTAGGGGTTCGAGTGAGCCTGTGGTTTCACATGTGTTGGTGGGCTGTGTGGAGGAGTGCTGATGGAACACAGCTTGGGGACAGACTGCTTGCTCTGTGAACACACTTAATGGCTCCCCCATGGAAGTCCTGAACTATTCTGAAGCCCCTCCCTCCACCCATCTGATCTGGGTGGTGTAGTTGAGGCCAAGGAGAGTTGGGGAGGGGGGGCGGCAAACCGGATATGGACTTTGGTTTATTGGAGACTTTGGCAAACAGAACGGGGAGGAAGGAGAACCCACAGTGAAAACAGCCATTCTGGCCAAGGCTAGGCTGTGGCTAAGAAGGGCAGAGCTGGTAGGTGGCCTGGGGCACAAGCACCCATCCGTGTGCAGTCCGGAGAGACACCAAAGTCAGAAAACTGCCATTCCACTGACCTCTGTTCAGCTTGGGGCTACTCCAGCAGATTAGGACTGGGTAGTGCTGACTTATCTAGGGTGTACAGGCCGGTGGTGGCCTCCCACTACACACCCCCGGACCATGGTCTGGGGGCCATGGTCACTGTTTCCTCTCCCTGCCGCAATGTCATCTTCCTGCCCTGCTACCCGAAACAGGTTTTGCAGACACAGTGCGGGCGGGAGGTGACGCCACCGCTTCACCACTCAGCTCTTGCGAGGCGGAAAGCGGGTTCTGGGCAGAGGAGGGCGCGTGGCGGCCGCAGAGGCTTGGGCTCTTGGCTGGCTCCGGGCAGGTCCTGGCTCCGAAAGGGCGGCCCTGGGGGGTGAGGGCGGGGCCGGGGGCGGGGTCCCGGGCCGCCCAGCCAGGGGTTGGGGCCCCAGCTGCTCAGCCAGAGCTGCGCACCCGATCGGTCCGCCAGTCCCGCCACCACTCCAGGCTGTGGTGCCCGGCCCTTCCCTATGCTAGCACCGAGGACCACAGAGACCACGGTCCCCATGTCCCAGACGGAGGCTGACCTGGCCCTGCGGCCTCTACAGCTCCTCGCCCCCTCGGGGCCGCCCCGCCTGGGACCCCCGCCTCGCCGCGCGCGCCGCTTCTCCGGGAAGGCAGAACCCCGGCCGCGCTCGTCCCGTCCTAGCCGCCGCAGCTCCGTCGACTTGGGTCTGCTGAGCTCTTGGTCCCAGCCAACCTCGCCCGTTCCGGAACCCCCCGATCCTCCGGACTCTGCTTGTCCGGGCCCCACGAAAAGCCCACCGCCCAGTTCCAAAGAGCCCCCTGAGGGCACGTGGACTGGAGGGAATTCTGTGGAGGCGACAGATCCCGTGCGCCCTGAACTCAAGGGATCTACAGGAGCCCCGGGGCTGGGGGAGCCCCCGAGGGTCCCAGACGCCGCGGCCCAGGAGCGGCGGCGCGAGCAGCAAGAAAAGGAGGACACAGAGACGCAGGCTGTGGCAACGTCCCCAGACGGCCGATACCTCAAATTTGACATCGAGATTGGACGTGGTTCCTTCAAGACCGTGTATCGAGGGCTAGACACCGACACCACGGTAGAGGTGGCCTGGTGTGAGCTGCAGGTGCGGCTGGGCGCCCCCTCAGTGGCAGGGGTTGGGACCCTGTAGAGGTATTAGGAAGGGAGACCGGGTCACCAGCATCAAGGGAAAGATGTATATTTCTTGCCACCTGTCTTCCTGTCCTTGCAGGGATCAGCTGTTTGGCTCTGGGTGGGATCAAAAGGAGGAACCCAGGCAGACAGTATTTGGTTGCTCTCCTCCACCTTATACTGTTCATGGTCGCATGAACATTCTCATTTCCAAGTCTTACAAATCCCGGAGAGTTGGAAAACAGGATGAGAAATCGGGTGGGAAAGCCAGGTTAGATCTGTGGGGAACTGGCCCCACCAGTTTCCTGCCCTAGGTACCTACTGTCTGTTTCTACCTCTGTCTTTCCCCTAAGTCCAGAAATTGTAACTTTGATCCTCTTGCTCTTCCTCCGTCCTCTTTGTAGACTAAGAGACAGGGATACTGCAGGCCGGAGTTGGGCCAGGGTCTTTTCCACCTGCAGAAGGATTTTTCTCTTTTTTTTGGGGGGGGGGGCGGGTACTTGTGGCAGAATGGTGCTTTCCTCGGCCCCTTCTGGAGCAGACTTCTGGACTTCTCCACAGCTGCAGGGAGAGGGAGGACAGGAAACTCCAGCTCTGAGATCACTCCTGCTTCTACCCTCTGCCTACCTGAGCCGTCTCCTCCCAGATCCAAAAGGCCTTAGCTAAGCTCTTGAACTTCAGAAAGATGGTGGTTGGGTCCTTCCTTCCATGGGGAGCCAGAAAGTTCAGATCCAGCCTGGAGGACAAAGCCTGGGAGAAGAGTCCCTTCACTTTGGCCCTGGCACGGGTCTCAGCCCTTGCGCCTGCCAATGCCACGCCCCAGGCTGTAGGCCAGTCCAGGAGAAGCGGCCAATCTTGGGGAGGGGGGGAGGACAGGGAGGGAGCAGGACAGCCATGGGGGGAGGCGTCTCTTAGTGCCTAGTTCTGGATCTTTTCTTTCTCTGTACCTTACTCCCCAGTCCTCCGCCTTCTTTTTGAATCTACCAGTTCCTACTTTCTGGGGTCAGCCCCTTGGCGGCCCCAATTCTCTGCCCGCGGTCCGCCTGCTGCCTGCCTGCCCGCTGCCGGCCCCCAGGCACCCCCCTCCTACCCCGCGGCCGGCCAGGACAGCCACAAAGGCGCTATTGAGCTCCAGGTTCCCGGACCGGGCTGCATAAAGACGCTTGTATCCAGAAGAGGTTCTAGGGGGCCGACCCTGGCCCAGCATGGGTGTATCTGTAGAGCAACCCAAAAGGACCAGGAGCTTGGGGATGTGCAGCCTTTCGGGGGAGTGATCTCATCAACTCGACCGCATCAGTGGACTCCAATCCTCATCCTTCCGCACCTCCCCCCCCCCCCCCCCCCCCCCCCCCCCGCGCCCCTGCTCTACTCCAGGTCCCCAGTCCTTTTCTTGAGGGTCTGGGTCTGACGCACCCCCCCCCATTACCCATCCCACAGACTCGGAAACTATCTCGAGCAGAGCGGCAGCGCTTCTCGGAGGAGGTGGAGATGCTCAAGGGGCTGCAGCACCCCAACATTGTCCGCTTCTACGACTCCTGGAAGTCGGTGCTGAGGGGCCAGGTTTGCATCGTGCTGGTCACGGAACTCATGACTTCGGGCACGCTCAAGACGTGAGCTCTGGCCTGGGTGGGTGGGAGAGGGTGGGACGTCTCTCCACTGCTTCCTAAACCGGTCTCAGTCTCCTCAAAACTCCTTATACCCGTTGTCCAAAATCAGTTTTACCATCCCCCTCCTATCAGATTGGCTGGATGGAGGGATGACAATGTTCACTCAGAATGGCAGTTGAAAACTGGGATGTCTTAGCTCTGCCACTACCCTAAAACTGATCTCTCTTCCCACTGGGCTTCCACTCTATCCTTGGCCCCACCTTGCTGTCGCCTCTTTGACCTAAGCGATTTTATGGGCTCTGCCCTTCCTAGATCTACCCCATCTTCCTGGAGATGAGGATCTTTTCCAGGGGCAAATCTGACCTTCTGACTTGCTCCTTAAAATCTCTGCAAGATTTCCCACAGTCCTGGGGATAAAGTCCACATTGGCTAACTTACAAAGTCCATAGGATCCTACTTCATCTTTCTTCAGCCTAAGTTCCAAACAAAGAATCCCCGGGCACTCCTCCCACCCAGCCTTGTCCCTTGCAACTGTCTGCGCCTTTGAGCATGGTGTCCCTTCTGCCTGGAAAGTCTCCATCCCGTCCCCTCTTCACCCTTGAACTTCTACTCCTCCTTCAAAATAGAAAAGTTATTTCCTCTGTGAAGCCCTCTCCCATGCTTGAGACAGTTAGTCATCCCTTCCTCTGTTCCCACAGCACCTTGGCTGTAGCCCTATCTGCAAATTTACACCAAAACAATTTTGTAACCCCATGTCTATTTACTCAATTACCCTACCCCCTTTCTCTCAGGGGCCCTGCAAGGACCTAGGTTAGAAAATTGAGGGCAAAGGATGCAGAGACAATGTCAAGAATGGGTCAGAGGGAACTTTCCAGCAGGGACCACAATGATTCTAGTTTTGCTCCCCTCTCTTAGGTACTTGAGGCGGTTTCGAGAGATGAAGCCCCGGGTCCTTCAGCGCTGGAGTCGCCAGATCTTACGGGGCCTTCATTTCCTACACTCCCGGGTTCCTCCCATCCTGCACAGGGACCTCAAGTGCGACAATGTCTTCATCACCGGCCCCACAGGCTCTGTCAAAATCGGGGATCTGGGCCTGGCCACTCTTAAGCGTGCTTCCTTTGCCAAGAGCGTGATTGGTGCGTCCCTCCTGGAGGGTCCTTGCTGTTACTACATTCTTATACACCTGAGAACCTGGGACTCCCTTCCCTTCTGCAGGACCCCCTTCCCTTCTCCATTCATGGAACTAGGAGACCATAGGGACACTGAGAGGACCCCAATACACACTGTAAGGCCAGGATTAGTCACTTGCACTCCAGAATTCCTGGGGTTTCCCCCTGGGCTGCCTGACCCATGGTATGCCCAAGTGGAGGGACCAGGCCTGAAGGAAGGCTCAGCAGCCTGAAGCCTGTTGTGTATTCTATAGGGACCCCGGAATTCATGGCCCCCGAGATGTACGAAGAAAAGTACGACGAGGCTGTGGACGTGTATGCATTTGGCATGTGCATGCTGGAGATGGCTACCTCGGAGTATCCCTATTCCGAGTGCCAGAATGCTGCACAAATCTACCGCAAGGTCACTTCGGTGAGAGGGGGTGGGGATTGGGCCGGGTGGAGGAAGGGATTCCAGATGCTCCTCCCTCTTTCTGCTCCAAGCTGCCAGCCCTGAATGCCTTTTTCTGTTAGGAAGATTGACTAGACACCGAGATACATTGGTGAACCCTGAAGAATTCAGGATGCACACACATGCCTCCCTCCCCCAGTACAAGCTATTTTAGAAATAATAATAGTAATAATAATGTGTAGTGCTTCCAAGAGTTTATGAACGTTTTTGAACCCTAGTTTGTGCAATCCTTTGAGTTGCCCCTCGAAGTGAGCGTGGCAAAAGTTCTGCCCTGCGTTTTTGTTTTGTTTTTATTTTTGTTTCTTTAAGCAGGAGCCTTGTTTCAAGGTCACACTATGCCTGGAGACTGGGATTTGAAATGAAATCTTCCATCCCAGTCGCCAAGCTTTGGCGACTTTTACTGCATTGCGGGACGGTGGAGGTGTCAAGCCGAGAAAGTTGGGACACACAGAAGACCCTCGGCCTCTTACAACCCCCTCCTCTACCTCACCCCACTCCCTTCCCCGTAGGGCACCAAGCCCAACAGTTTCTATAAAGTGAAGATGCCAGAGGTGAAGGAGATCATTGAAGGCTGCATTCGCACGGATAAGAATGAGAGGTGGGGTATAGGGATAGAGCTGGAGGGGGAAAGGGGTGGGAGAAAAAGGCATGGATGGAAACAGGCTCATCTCACTGCCCTGAGGTCCCCAGGTTCACCATCCAGGATCTCTTGGCCCATGCTTTCTTCCGGGAGGAGCGCGGCGTGCACGTGGAGCTAGCGGAGGAGGATGATGGCGAGAAGCCAGGCCTCAAGCTCTGGCTGCGGATGGAGGATGCGCGGCGTGGGGGGCGCCCGAGGGACAACCAGGCCATCGAGTTCCTGTTCCAGCTAGGTCAGGACGCGGCAGAGGAGGTGGCACAGGAGATGGTGAGTAGAAGACAGCTTTATGCTGTGGCCGATTGTGTAAAACGTTTATCCAAAACACCTCCATCGACCAGAACCGGACAGCGTGACGAGGTAGGGGCACTAGAATGGTTGTGAGGTCCCTCTACACCCTAATGGCACGCCTGCAGGTGTCCCCTCCTTCCCCCTGCCCATTCATCCACGCATGGGGCAGCACAATATTCCTTGGCAGAGCCCTGAATCCTTCCACCTCTTTTGATTTACCTCCTGCTGATGTGTTTATCCTAGATCACTCTTCTAACTAATGTCTCTGTTGTTCCCTTTCTTTCATCTCCCCCTTCTTTTTCTTTGTCTGTAATCAGAACCACGGAGGGCTAGGACTTCAAATAAAACCAGTTGCCAAGTGTTGGCAAGTTTCCGATTTCAGCAAGCCTTCGCTTTAGAGTCAAAGTTAAAATACTTCTTTCCCTGTCACTGGGCCCTCGATTACAGCCCCAAGCTGTAGGTCTTGATTTTTTTTTTTTTAATACATTCCAGTCTTCCTTCTCCACTACACTGTAAATTCCCTAAAGGCAAAGAGTGTATTTTTTAAAATTGATTTTTCATGTACTCAGCTCACAATAGGAACTCATTAATAGCCAGATTCTCCAAGGCTTAAAAACACTTCCATGTGCATTTGATCATGGCTACCAATCCTTCATGGATGATAATTTTATTCCGTTGATGAGGAAGCGCAAATTTATAGAGGTTGACTGTCTTGTCCAAGGTCTCAAGTGAATAATAAGTGACAAAGCTGGATTTAAACTCAAGTAATTCAGATTTGAGATCCTATTACCCTGCCCCACTTGCTTGACTTACCCAGCAAGGCTAGAGGTTGAAGTGAGTGAGAAGAGGAGACAATGGATGGATGCTGGCATAAGTGGAGACAATATATGGGGAGGTAGAGGATGCTGGGACAGAAGCTTGGGACCTGGTTCAGGAAGGTCTTCAGTGGGGGAAGTGTGGGATTCTCAGTAGAGAACCTGAAATTTCGAGGGCAAAGATCATCTGTGATGGGTCAAGAACCTGAGAGTGTGTTTGACTACTGGCCCAGTACTTATAATGGATTGTTACTTGGCACTATTGGCATTTTTGTTTGGGTACTATGCTGGATAGTGTAGGATGCTAGGAACAACCTCTCTGCTCCTCCTCCTCCTCCTCCTCCTCCTCCTCCTCCTCCTCCTCCTCCTTCTCCTCCCCCTCTTCCTCCCCCTCATTTTCTGCCAGGTCTGGGTCTTGAACTCAAGGCGTTGCACTCTACTATTGCCTGGCTTTTACACTCAAGACTGGTGCTCTACCATTTGAACCATACCTTCACTTTACCTCTGGCTTTTTGATGGTTAATTGGAGATAAGAGTCTCAGGGACTTTTCTGCCCAAAGAATTGCTTTGAACTGCAATCCTCAGATCTCAGCCTCCTGAGTATTTAGGATTACAGGATGAGACACTAGCACCCAGGACACTAGCACCCAGCAGATGCTAGGTCCTACCTAAAAGATTTGGTAGCACCTACCTTCTAGTTGTGGCAACTAGATATTGTCACCCCCATTCCCACATACATTGAAACCATTGATTTACTGTGTAATCATGAGTTTGTCACTTAATTTTCTTTTCTCTAAAATGGGTGAATAACTATATAAGCCAGATGGGGCAGGTGCTTTACACCTGTAACCTCAGCACTCAGGAAGCTGAGGCAGGAAAATTGGGAGTCTGAGGCTAGACTAAGCTACGCACCAAGATTCCATCTCAAAAAAAAAAAAAGGACTATAACACAATGTTATCAACAGGATTTAATTATTCTTTCTTTTGTTGTTGTTGGTCGTGGGGCTTGAACTCTGGGACTAGGAGCTGTCTCTCAGCTCTTCAGCTCAAGACTAGCACTCTACCCTTGAGCCATAGCACCACTTTGGCTTTATCTGTTTATGTGGTGCTGAGGAATCGAACCCAGAGCCTCATGCACACAAGGCAAACGCTCTACCACTGAGCCACCTTCCCAGCCCAGGATTTAATGATTCTAATGTTAGGAGTCACTGGTTAACCAAGGTAATGGGAAATCAATGTGATCATTAACAAACCCTGCTACCAGTTTCCTTCTTCCTAAATCTGTATTTATTTTTATTTTCCTCCCAAATCTTGGAGGTCTCAAAGTGTCCTGATTTTTGAGGAGCTCCAAACTGTCTTCCTCACCTTCCTGATTCCAGGTAGCCCTGGGCTTGGTGTGTGAAGCTGATTACCAGCCAGTGGCTCGTGCAGTTCGTGAACGGGTTGCTGCCATCCAGCGAAAGCGTGAGAAGCTTCGAAAAGCTAGAGAGTTGGAGGCCCTCCCACCAGAGCCAGGACCTCCACCAGCAACTGTCTCCATGGCTCCTGGTCCTTCCACTGCCTTCCCCACTGAGTCTGAGGAGCCAGAGGCAGACCAGCACCAGTCCTTCCTCTTCCGTCATGCCAGCTATTCATCTACCACCTGTAAGTTACCCAGACCTTGGGACTTGGATCCCAGAACATTCAGCCTCTGACACCTCACCAAAGTCTGACCTAGCAACACTGACACATACCTTGACTTCCCTCTCAGGAAGAACTCTCCCACAGCTCTCTCCTTGCTCACTCAAGCCACCTCCAGGTCTATTTATTTATTTTGATCTGTTTCCTTCTCCATCAGCTGATTGTGAGACTGATGGCTACCTCAGCTCTTCTGGCTTCCTGGATGCCTCAGACCCTGCCCTTCAGCCCCCTGTGGTGGTGCCACCCAGCCCAGCGGAGTCCCATCTGTGCCTGCCCTCGGTGAGAAGGGGTTACATGACAAGACAATGACTATTATCATCATGTGACACCTCTCCCCAAATCTGTCCTTATGTCCCTAAAAGTCTACCACTCTTGTCCTAATCTTCTCCAGATCTATCTCCCTAGTCCTCTGAGCATTCTTACCACCATTTCCTTGGATCCCAACAACTATTGTCCCCTGATCTCATCAACTCTTATCCTGTTTCAGGGTTTTGCTTTGTCCATTCCACGATCTGGCCCTGGCAGTGACTTTTCTACTGGGGACAGGTATGTTCTGGTATGAGTTGGAGGGTACTAGAGTGGAACATAGGGAGTGCTGAGATCCCAGTGTCAAGTCAGGCATACCTATCTCCTTGCCCTTTTCTAGTTATGCCTCAGATGCAGCATCGGGCCTCAGTGACATGGGAGAAGGTATGGGACGGATGAGGAGACCTCCAGGGAAGAATCTCCGGCGCAGACCTCGATCCCGGCTTCGGGTCACTAGTGTAAGGAGGGGCAGAGGAGATGGAGATAATCTACAGGGCCAGAAGGCAGCTTCAGGGGGAGTAGTAGTAGTATGTGTTAGTACCCAGTGAGGCAGCCAGTCTAATTTCTAGTACTGAACTTTTGGGGTTAGAGTCTACTCTCCAAGTCTATTCTGGCCACCATTACTTGACTGGAGTAAGATGTTGAACACATGATGAAGACCGGGGCATTGACCTCCTCCTCTCCTGACTTTGACTCCGAAGGTCTCAGACCAGAATGACAGAGTGGTTGAATGCCAGCTTCAGACCCACAACAGCAAGATGGTGACCTTCCGGTTTGATCTGGATGGGGACAGCCCGGAAGAGATTGCAGCTGCCATGGTAAGGAGAGAGATGAGAACATAGTAATTGGATACTGGACAAGCATTGCCACAAGATGTCCACTGAGGCAGGACCACCCCAATCCCATAAGGGTTTATAAAATACTCATTGACACCACTTAGAATGGTGAGACTGAAGATATTTCATCCTTGTATGGAGGGAGATTTTCTGTTTATCCAGTTGAGTTTGGCTCCTCAGCTGGGAGCAATTTGAGACTGACATCGGTAGTGATAAGTGCTGTGTGTGTGAAGTGTTTGTAGACATGTGATACTGTGGTTGGAGATAAAGGATTGGCCAGGACAGCCGGGGAAGGAGTGGGACTTTCCCACTCATCAGTCTTGATTCACGGGTAAGAGAAGTAGAAAAGATTGTAAGAGCATGCCTATCCAGAAGTGTAGCATAAGTAAAGACATTGCAAGTAGGGGGTGACGGATTATGGCACTGGAAAAACTTCATGAGAAACCACTGCCATCGGAAGTAAGGGCTGTTACAGGAAAGTATGGGAGGTAACTATGGGCAGTTAGAGTGGACACAGATCATATAGTATCTTTTTTTTTTACTCAACCACTTGAGCCACAGCACCACTCTGACTTTTTGATGTTTAATTGGAGATAAAAGTCTTTCCTGCCCATGCTGGTTTGAACCCTGATCCTCAGATTTCACCTTCCTGACTAGCTAGGATTATAAGTGTGAGCCACTAGCACCTAGCAACAGATCTTTTTTTTTTGGGGTGGGGTGGGGGTCTGGACATGGGGCCAGAACTCTGGGCCTGGGTGCTGTCCCTCAGCTCTTCAGTTCAAGGCTAGGGCTCTACCACTTGAGCCACAGCACCACTCCTGGTGTTTTCTGCTTATGTGTTGCTAAGGAATCAAACCCAGGGCCTCATGCATGCAAGGCAAGCGCTCTACCACTGAGCCACCTTCCTAGCCCTAGATCATTTATTATCTTAAGCATTAGGTGGAATGTAACATGATGAGAATAGGTTTTTTTTTTGTTTTTTTTTCCGGTCGTGGGGCTGGAACTCTGGGCCTGGGCACTGTCCCTCAGCTCTTCAGCTCAAGGTTAGTGCTCTACCACTTGAGCCACAGCGCCACTTCCGGCTTTTTTCTTTTTGCTTATGTGGTGCTGAGGAATCAAACCCAGGGCCTTGAGCATGCAAGGCAAGTGCTCTACCACTGAGCCACCTTCCCAGCCCAAGAATAGGTTTTATAAAGACCATTCAGACATGGAACATGGGAGGGGATTGTCCATAGGGAATCCAGCTGGGAGGTGAACAAAAGAAGCCAGACGTAGATGTAGATGTGTTGAAGGAGAAAATGGATTATAGGGTCAGGAAAAGAAGGCAGGAATCTGAGGGCTGATTCAGGAAAATAAGTTGTTCTGTAATCTAGCAACCTATTGAAGTAGTACAGTACATTTCCCAACAAATATTTGCTGAGTTGATGTGATAAGGGGTTAAGAAGAGGGGACATCAAGGACGACTTCTAGTTTGGAGGAAGGAAGAGGAGTAAACCACCCAATGAGAAGGGCAATTGGAAAAGAAATTAGTCTTTTTCAAGGATCATGATGAGCTTGAGTAGTGGTTAGGCAAGGTCCTTCACAGCAGTGGGATGTGAGTTGGGACAGAGATAAAGAGAAGTGGACTTAGAAGTTATTGATACAAGCCAGGTGCTGGTGGCTCACGCCTGTAATCCTAGTCACTCTGAGGGTCTGGGTTCAAAGCCAGCCTAAGCAGGAAAGTCTGGGAGACTCTTATCTCCAATTAACAACCAGAAAACCGGAAGTGGTGCTGTGGCTTAAGTGGTAGAGCACTCACCTTGAGCTGAAGAGCTCAGGGACAGCACTCAAGTCCAGAGTTCAAGCCCCACGACCGAAAAAAAAAAAAAAAAAAAAGTTGTCGATACAGAATTGAGAGTGAAGAAACAGGACTGCAAGATCAGAGACATAGAGGATTTGAGATTGTCTCAGTGGATATTATCTGTTCTAGAAAGGGAAGAGCATAAGGGGCAACAGGGCAGCGAAGGACACAGAGATAGTGCCAGAAAGGTAGGAAGATGTTACTAAAAAACTGAGTAATCGGGCCTGGGAAGGTGGCTTAGTGATAGAGTGCTTCCCGTGCATGCATGAGGCTCTGGGTTCGATTCCTTAGTACCACATAAGCAGAAAAAACCGGAAGTGGCACTGTGGCTCGAATGGTAGAGTGCTAGCCTTGAGGTGAAGAGCTGAGGGACAGCGCCCAGGCCCAGAGTTCAGGCTCCACGACTGACAACAAAAACAAAACAAAACAAAACTGAGGACTTTCAAGGAAGTGTCATATGGTAAGCTTTTATTAGGTCTTTATGAACCAGGGGCCCATGGCTCATGCCTCTAATCCTAGCTACTCAAGGGTTGAGTTGTAAGGATCAGGGTTCAAAGACAGTCCAGGCAGATAAATCTGAGAGACTTTTATCTCCAATTAACCAGCAAAAAAGCTGGCAGTGGAGGTATATGGTTCAAGTGGTAGGGTGCCAACCTTGAGTGAAAAAGCTAAGCAAGAGTATGAAGCCCTGCTGGGAAGGTGGCTCAGTGGTAACGCGCTTGCCTTGCATGCTTGAGGCCCTGGGTTCAATTCCTCAGCACCACATAAGCAGAAAAAAAAAGCCAGAAGTGGCACTGTGGCTCAAGTGGTAGAGTGCTAGCCTTGAGCTGAAGAGCTGAGAGACAGTGCCCAGGCCCAGAGTTCAGTCCCTACGACTGGACCCCCCCCCAAAAAGAAAAAGAGTATGAAGCCCTGAGTTCAAATTTTAGCCCACACATATAGGTTTTTGTGAGTGACCATTTCCAATAGAGTGGGGTAGTAGATACCAGCCTCTAGGGTGATGGGAGTAGAAAAGCATCAGACAGCTGTGTGCTGGAGGCTCATGTCTGTAATCCTAGCTACTCAGGAGGCTGAGATCTGAGGACTGTGGTTCAAAGCCAGCCTGGGCAGGAAAGACTGTGAGACTCCTATCTCCAATAAACCACCAGAAAACCGGAAGTGGCGCTGTAGCTCAAGTGGTAGAGTGCTAGCCTTGAGCTGAAGAGCTGAGGGACAGCGCCCAGGCCCAGAGCTCAAGCCCCAGGACTGACAAAATAAAATAAAATAAAATAAAATAAAATCACTCAGAAAAATCTGGATGTGGCGCTTGGCTTAACTGGTAGAGTGCTAGCCTTGAGCAAAAGAAGCTCAGGGACAGTGCCTGTACCCTGAGTTAAATCCCCAGAACAGGCAAAAAAGAAAAAAAAAAGGAAAGAAAAATACAAAAACAAAAACAAAAACCATGAGGCATCATCAGCTCTCTTAAATAGCTCCTCTATCACCTTCTGTTTAGGACAAAAAAAAAATAATGCACCTGACATGGGCTTATCACTTTCCTTCAAGCCTCTTGACTCTTTCAGAATCTTCCTTCCAGTAACACTGGTTTCAGAATAGTCTTCTAAAAAAGCTGAGTTCCAGCCTGCCTCTGCCTCCATCTGTTCAGGGATATCATCTCTTGAGTTTTCTCTGTCCATTCAGAACCTACACATCCTAAGCAATCCTACCCTTGAACCCAGGATCCTTCCCCCTCTTTTCTGTCCTTACATCCACTCTTCTGAAGCAGTGTTCCTGAGATTTAGATCTGATCTTGATACTTTTCACCCTAAAATGTCTAGCCGCCACTTGTGGTTATACAGTGGGATTCAAATTACAAAGCAGGGTCTTAAAAAATCACAGCCCTTCCAGCATCTTATTTTCAGAATGTGCCATTCCTCAAATGTTTTAAAACTGTTTTCTGCTCTCCTCTCTTCTTTCTGATGAACAGAAGAGAGATTAGACTTTCATTAATACCCGAGATCAGATTTCAGTGCTATTGAAATTTGGTGAGCCTAGGGAAAGTTATTATTGTTGTTGTTGTTGTTGTTTTCCTGGGTCTAGGGATCAGACCTGAAGCCTCACATGCTAGCAAGTACACTAGCACTGAGTTACATCCCCAGCCCCTCAGGCAAGTTTCCTAACCTCTTTTAGCCTCTATTGCTCATCAAATGATAATACTTGTTTTGCAGAGATGTTCTGATATAATACGGTATAATGCATGAGCAGTTCCACATGTGGTAGGTCCTCAATAAAAGGCTGCTTTTAAGGTTCAGCTTCAAAGACTTTCTGGTGAAAGTGTCAGATTCTGCCCTACCAGGGTTTGATCTGCTCTCTTACTGAAATAATAGCTTTTTTTTTTTTTTTTTTTTTTGTCAGTCATGGGGCTTGAACTATGGGCTTGGGCGCTGTCCCTGAATTCTTCAGCTCAAGACAAGTGCTCTACCACATGAGCCACAGCACTACTTCTGCTTTTCTGGTGGTTGGTTGAAGAGAAGAGTCTCATGGACTTTCCTGCCTGGGTTGGTTTTGAACCATGACCCTTAGATCTCAGCCTCCTGAGCAGCTAAGATTACAGGCATGAGCCACCAGTGCCTGGCAATAGCTTTTTTTTTTTTAAATTTACTTGTTTTTTTCTGGTCCTGGAGTTTGAACTCAGGGACTGGACACTATCCCTGAGCTTCTTTTGCTCAAGGCTAGCACTCTACCACTTGAGCCAGAGTACCGCTTCTGGCTTTTTCTGTTTATATGGTACTGAGGAATGAACCTAGGGCTTCATGTATGCTAGGCAAGCACTCTACCACTAAGCCACATTCCCAACCCCTCATATTTTTTTTTCTTCCAGTATGGGAGTTTGAATCAGGGCCTTGCATTCACTAGGCAGGTGCTCTGTCACTTGAACCTCATCTCTGGTCCCTTTCTGCTATTATTTTATTTATTTATTGTAAAGAGGGGTTAGTTACATGAGTAAGGTAATGAGTACATTTCCTATCAAGCATTGTTACCCCTCCTTTGTGCCATTGTTATATTTCAAATAGAATCTTGCTTTCTGCCTAGGTTGGCCTTGACCACAATCCTCCTATTTACAATTTCTGCAATGCTGGGTTGACAGATGTGTACCATCATATCCAGCTTTTTACTAATTGAAATAGGGTCTTTGTACTTTTTGCCTGGGCTAGCCTTGAATTGAAATCTTCCTGATTATCTAGAAGCCTTCTGAGTGGTTAGATTACAAGTGTATGCTTCTATGCCCAGCTTACTTTTTTTCTTTTGCCAGTCCTGGGGCTTGAACTCAGAGCCTAGTGCTGTCGCTGAGCTTCTTTTTCTCAAGACTAGCACTCAACCACTGAGCCACAGCTCCACTTCCAGCTTATGTGGTACTGAGGAATTGAACCCAAGGCTTCATGCATGCTAGACAAGCACTCTAACACTAAGCTACATTCCCAGCCCCATTAGCATTTTTTTTAATTTTAGAAAAACAAAAAACATTATGAATTTTACCATTTTAACTTTATTTTTTTGTGGTGCTGGTGTTTGAACTCAGGGCCTTAGAGTTGCTAAGCAGATACATTATTACTTGAGTTACACATTTTTAAATGTATGGTTTTGTAGTATTCAGCATATTCATATTGTAGTCAAATAGATCTCTAAGTTTTCATCTTGCAAATATGACATGCTATGTCCAATAGTATTTCTAGTATTTTTTTTAGTCGTGGGGTTTGCACTCTGGGCCTGGGTGCTGTCCCTTAATTCTTCAGCTCAAGGTGAGCACTCTACTACTTGAACCACAACGCCACTTTCAGTTTTCTGGTGGTTTATTGGAGACAAGTGTTTCACGGACTTTCCTGCCTGGGCTGGCTTTGAACTGTGATCTTCAGATCTCAGTCTCCTGAGTAGAAAGGATTACAGGTGTGAGCCACTAGAGCCCAGCCTTATTTCTAGTATTTTTATACTCACCCCAGATAGGGTTCTTTTTTTTTTTTTTGTCGGTCGTGGGGCTTGAACTCTGGGCTTGGTCGCTGTCCCTGTGCTTTTTAGTTTAAGGCGAGCGCTCTACTGCTTGAGCCACAGCGCCACTCACTTCCTGTTTTCTAGTGGCTTATTGGAGATAAGAGTCTCTTGGACTTTCCTGCCGGGGCTGGCTTTAAACAATCCTCAGATCTCAGCCTCCTGAGTAGCTAGGATTACAGGCGTGAGCCACTGGCGCCCGGCTGGTAGGGTTCTTAAGTGTCTTACCTATCACAGGGTGACTTGCAGTATGTTATGTATTTGACTCTTCCATTAGATTTTGGGTTTCATGAAGACTAGGACCTTGTTTCATGCTTCCATATATTTCATAGTACCTAGCATAATGCATGTCATAGAGTAGATATTCAGTGAGTATTCATGGAGTGTGCCATTTATTTCCCTATTTTATTTTATTTATTGTATAAATAAAATTTTTATTGTATAGGTGACCATTTGACTTTTGTTGATGTTATTAGTCGTGGGGCTTGAACTCAGGGCCTGGGTAGTGTCTCTGAGCTCTGTTGCTCAAGGCTAGTGCTCTACCACTTTGAACCACAGCTCCAGTTTCAGTTTTCTGGTGGTTAATTGGAGATAAATCTCATGGACTTTTCTGCCCAGGCTGGCTTTGAACCCTGATTCTCGTATCTCAGCCTACTGAGTAGCTAGGGTTATAGACGTGAGCCACGGGCACCAGGCATGTGTGCTGGTGCAAACCCTATGAGACCAGAAATTGTATCCAAAACCATGCAAGGCACCTGTAGAAAGAACTCAGGCTCTGGCTTTCTGTAGGTTTGGATTCAAATCCTGTGATCTTGGGCACCCTGAAATTAACTTTTTTGAGCCTTGGTTATCTCTAAAATGAGGGTGTTCATATAGATACCAGGAAGTTGTTGGTGTTAAAAGATGATACTTAAGGGGCTAGGAAGGTGGCTCAGTGGTAGAGTGCTTGCCTTGCATGCATGAGGCCCTGGGTTGGATTCCTCAGCACCACATAAGCAGAAAAAGCTGGAAGTGGCACTGTGACTCAAGTGATAGAGCACTAGCTTTGAGCTGAATAGCTGAGGGATAGCGCCCAGGTCCAGAGTTCAGGCCCCACCACCAGAAAAAAAAAAAAGAAGATGATACTTAAAGCATTGATATGTAGATACATTGTAGGAATGTTAGTTCTTTCCTGCTAAGAACTACACAGCACATTGTCACACAACAGATACTTAAGTCAATACCTGTTTTAGGTTGGTAGTTGGCAGAAGTAGTGATAAGAATTTTTTTTTGTGTAAATGTGTGTGTGTATGTTGGTCTTGGGGCTTAAACTCAGGCCTGGGCACTATTCCTGAACTTTTTTTGCTCAAGGTTAGTGCTCTACCACTTGAGCCACAGCTCCACTTCTTGCTTTTTTGGTGGTTAATGGGAGATAAGAGTCACAAATTTTCCTGCCTTGGCTGTGTTTGAACTGCAATAGTCAGATCTCAGCTTCCCCAGTAGCTAGCATTCATTAACAAGTAGGAGCCACTGACACCCAGCTTTGATTCTTTGTTTGTGGTGTTGGGGATGTGCTTCAGGTTAAGCAAGGGCTCTTACCACTGAACTACATCTCTAACCTTTGGAACTCACCATATAGCCCAGGCTGGCCTCAAACTCGAAATCCTCCTGTTTCCTTAGTGCTGGAGATTACAGGTGTACACTACCACACCTAGCTTGAATGGTTGCTTTTAGAGCAGGAGCAGATGGTAGAGATGAGTGAAATAACCAAGACTCCTCCCCATTCTGTTGATCCTTGCCAGGTATATAATGAGTTCATTTTGCCTTCTGAGCGAGATGGATTCCTGAGCCGGATCCGGGAGATTATCCAGCGAGTGGAAACCCTGTTGAAGAGAGACACTGGTGCCACCGAGGTTGCTGAAGATGCACTAACCCCCCAGGTCAGACCTCTGGACATCTCCAGGAGAAACAGTTGCCCTCAACAGTTCTTGGAGTTGGATTGTTTCCTTTTCATCTCTGGAACTGTAAAACAGTGGCTATTACCCACTTTGAGAATATGAAGAAAGCCACAGACTCTTGGTCTAGAAAAAATGTGTTGAATGCATACTCTCAGCTACTTATTTTGAAATAGTTTCAGACTTGCAGAGAAAAGTTGCAATCATCATAGAGAGAACTTTTGAATACCCTTTGCCCAGATTTGCCAACGGTGTTTTCTGACTAGCTTTACCACTCTTCCTCTCTTCTCTCTGTGTGTATGTATTCAAGTTACCCTTCTAGATCACTTGAGAGCAAATTAGTAGATCATATGCTCCCTTCACCCCTAAATATTTCAGCATATATACTTGAGTTCCTTAACACTCATGTCTGGAGTCCTAAAGGCTCACAGGTCCTAGCTGAAGAATCCCAGCTTGAAACTTTCCATCTAAGACTCAGTTTTTCCCTCTGTGACTGGGGGGTCCCTTTTTTTCCCTCAGGAGTCAGCATCACTGCCTGCCCTCCCAGGCTCCCTCCCTGACCCATCCAGTGGTATGTACTGAGTTCTAACCCTGCTGGGTTGCTGGGAAGGGTACAAGGTATGGAGGACTGGAATCTTAATACTCTTTCCTCCATAGCAGAGCTCCAGAGCAGTACCTCCCTGGAACAGAGCTGGGCAGCCTTCTCCACCTCCCTGTCTTCTCCTGGAACTCCTGTGTCTCCTGGAAACCCATTTTCCCCTGGAGCCCCCATCTTCCCAGTCCCTATGTTTCCTATCACTTCTCCGCCTTGTCATTCTAGCCCCTCCCTATTTCCCCAGATCCCCTCTAGTCCCTTGCCACACCTCCCCAGCTCTCCACCTCCATTCTCTCCGAATGCATCTGAGTTTCCATATCCATCCTCTCCATATCCCCTGAATTCTCCCTCCACCAGTTCTCCACCTCCATTCTCTCCGTGTAGTTCTCAGGTCACTCTTAGTCCTTCTTTTCCTCTCTGTCCCTCTCCTCCACCACTCCCCTCTACCACAGCAGCCCCTCTCCTCTCCCTGGCTAGTGCCTTCTCTCTGGCTGTGATGACTGTGGCCCAGTCTCTGCTGGCCCCCTCCCCTGGACTTCTCTCCCAGGCTCCCCCATCTGTTCCTGGTCCTCTGCCTAGCCTGCCCCTTCCCTCTCCCCCTCCTTTTGCTCCTTGTGGTCAGGAGAGCCTTTTACCCCAAACAGCTGAGATGGAGAATGAGGTGAGTAGGAAATCAAGTCCTCTTGACTTGATGTAGAGGGGGACTCAGTGGCTCCATTTTGGATTATTTCCCATCTCATGAATCCATATCTTGTAGGCTTCCCCAAATCCTGTTCAGCCACTCACGAGTGAAGGAAGACTAGCGCCCATCTCTGAAGGTGAGGCCTCTTGATCAGTGACCAACTCCTGGCTATTACCCCAACCTGCTTCCTATCTTTCCAGATTTCTCCCATCCTCCATGCCTCCCTTCCTTGTCTCCCTACAGAGGGAAAGCCCCAACTTGTTGGGCGTTTCCAAGTGACTTCATCCAAGGAACCAGCTGAGTCTCTTCTCCTTCAACCACCATCCCCAACTTTTTCCAGTTCTATAAAACTTCCAACCCCTCACCTGACCTCAGAGACCTCAGAAAGCTCAGACACAGAAGATAGCACTGGAGGCAGGCCAGAGACCAGGGAGGCTCTGGCTGAGAGTGACCGTGCAGCTGAGGGCCTGGGAGATGGAGTGGATGAGAATGGTGACTATGGGAAGGAACCTGGAGCTGGGTGCTGCTCCCCACGCCTGAGCCATCCCAGCCCAGTGTGGATGAACTACTCCTATAGCAGCCTGTGTCTGAGCAGTGAGGAGTCAGAGAGCAGTGGAGAGGATGAAGAATTCTGGGCTAAGCTGCAGAATCTTCGGCAAAAGTGAGTCTGGGGTAAATGGCGGGAGTAAGAGGTGAAACTGGGAGAGCAAAGTATGTGGCCAGCCCTCTCATGGTCCTTGTGCACCCCTAGGCACTTGTCAGAAGTGGAAGCACTACAGACACTACAGAAAAAGGAAATTGAGGACCTGTATACCCGGCTTGGGAAGCAGCCCCCACCTGGTATCGTGGCTCCAGCTGCCATGCTCTCCAGCCGTCAGCGCCGCCTCTCCAAGGGCAGCTTCCCCACCTCCCGCCGCAACAGTCTGCAGCGCTCTGAGCCCCCTGGCCCTGGTGAGACTGCAGACACCTAGCTTCATCTACTGACTTGGTTTTCTTCCAGGCCCTACGGGGTCTGCCCCTTTCCCTCACTTAGTGCTCTCCCTCCCCATCCTGCTCCCAGGCATCATGCGAAGGAATTCTCTGAGTGGCAGCAGCACCGGCTCCCAGGAGCAGCGGGCAAGCAAGGGGGTGACATTCGCCGGGGATATTGGCAGGATGGTGAGGGCGGGCCCAAGAGAGGGAGAGCCCAGGGAATGGTAACCGGCAGCAGTTTCACCTTCCTCCCATCTTGGAGATTTCTTTAGCATTTTTTTTCCTCCTCTAGTGAAATCAGAACAGAAGCTCTATGTCTCCTCCATACCAGGGCCCACCACGGCGCTTGTGCTCTCAGTCTGATGCTTTTCTGACCAACTCAATTCAGCAAGGAAGACCCCAGAACTGAGGGGGGAGAAGGTCAAAGGGTATGAAGAGTGTGGCTGTATTACACCGAAGACTCAAACATGTAAAAACGATTTCCTGTGTTGGAAGTGCCTGTTCTGCAGCCTACTGAATTCACCTGCAATCCCTTCCCCAGCCAAGGGTCAACCACTAAGCAATCCCACCCAAGCCTAGATGCTTCTTAAGGGCCCATTCCCAGCTGGGAGAGTAGGAGGTGTACTCAATATCAGAATTAGCAACAGACAATAAAAAAAAAATTACTGGAAATAAGGATGTGAGTCTATTAAGTCATGCCTTAGGAACTGGGAGCAAAAACTTGTGGGTGTGAAGCAGGGAAAGACTTAGAAAGGACTCCTTCCACAATGGCAGACAAGGTGGAATCTGCCCAGCCTGCTGGCTTCCTGCCATCAAGTCATGAGGAAACTGTAAGGCCAATGATCCACTTGGCCAGGCTAAGATACCCTCCAGACCCAACCCTAGGTCTGTATAGGCAAGCACCAGTGAAAGTTAAAAGAATGAAAATTATTCATCTCAGTCTTCATCCCCCTACCTAGAGATGGGAAAAGGCACTGAAGTTAGCCTTAGAGTGTGTTCTTGAGGATAGAGGGCAGAAGAGTGACCTTCCTTCCCCTAGTTCAGTCTCAAACAGCCCAGTATTCTCTCTCTCAAATCAGGTGGAAAGATCTCACGGAAAAAGTAATTCTAGTTAAACATTTACAGCTACCTGGGGCAAGGCCACAACTGTAGCTACTGCCCATGGAGCTTTCCAGCATGAAGTGCCATGTGTCTCTCTCCACCCCCACACATTAGCTTGGCTTCAGGAGATATGACTCAGTTTATTATTCTTAACTTGACCCTGTCTTTCCCACTTTACACTCCAACCACTGCCCCAAAATTGCCACACCCACTCCCATTACAGTTGGGCCCCTGGGAGGAAAGGAGTAAATCACAAAGGCAGAAAGTTACAGAAAAGCCAAGGCTGCATACATCTCAAACAAGAAACAAAGGAGAGGACTCTGACAGTACAATGCATGTGAAATGTTCTGTTGATAGTGGCCAACATTGCACAGTCTCTAGCTTCTTGGGCTCGATCATGCTCCAAAGTTAGTAACTGGGCCAAAGATGATGTGAGCAACCAACCAATTTCTACCCGGTCATAGGGCACCATCCACCATGTGAGGGGCTCCAGTTGGTTGAAGATATGTAATAATCACCCATTTCAAGGTCCAGATGCCCTTGCAAGAGCTCGGGCTCGGGCAGCTTTAGCTTCATCTTCCAGTTCATCTAGGAAATGCTCCTGGGATACTGAGTAGAAGGTGTAACCATCTGGAGATATGCATTGAGGAAATTGCTTGCAAATAGGGACATTCTCTTTGCCTATACCACTTGTTATTCTCCCCACAGTGATTCTGGAGTCCTGACCTCTGCTCTTTTTGAATCCTGACCTCAACTCCGTTATTACTACTAAATCATATTAAAAGAGCACACCTTAGAAATAAGGTTAGCCAGTTGGGTGCTGGAGGCTCATGCCTGTAATCCTAGCCACTCAGGAGGCTGAGATCTGAGGATCATAGTTCAAAGCCAGCCCGGGCAAGGAAAGTCCTTGAGAGTCTTATCTCCAATTAACCATGAGAAAACCAGAAGTGGCGCTGTGGCTCAAGTGGTAGAGCGCTAGCCTTGAGCTGAAGTACCCAGTACCCAGGCCCAGAGTTCAAGCCCTATGACCGACAAGAAAGAAAGAAAGAAAGAAAGAAAGAAAGAAAGAAAGAAAGAAAGAAAGAAAGAAAGAAAGAAAGAAAGAAAGAAAGAAAGGAAGGAAGGAAGGAAGGAAGGAAGGAAGGAAGGAAGGAAGGAAAGAAAGAAAGAAAGAAAGAAAGAAAGAAAGAAAGAAAGAAAGAAAGAAAGAAAGAAAAAAAGAAAGAAAGGAAGAAAGAAAGGTTGGCTGCTGGTGGCTCATATCATAATCCTAGCTACTCAGGAGGTTGAGGTCTGAGGATTGGGGTTCAAAGCCAGCCCAGGCAGACTCTTATCTCTAACCACCAGAGAAATGGAAGTGGAGCTGTGGCTCTAACTGGTAGAATGTTAGTCTTAAGAGATGGGGGGGGGGGGGGGGGGTGACTGGGAAGGTGGCTAAGTGGTAGAGTGCTTGCCTTCCATGCTTGAGGCTCTGGGTTTGATTCCTCAGTACCACATACACAGAAAAAGCTGGAAGTGGTGCTGTGGTTCAAGTGGTAGAGCTCAAGCCTTGAGCAAAAGCAGCTCAGGGACAGTGCCCAGGCTCTGAGTTCGAGCCCCAGGACTTGCAAAAGAGGAGGGAGGGAGAGGGGGAAGGGAAGAGAGGGAGAAGGAGAGGGATGGGGAGGGAGACGGGGAGGGGGAGGGAGAGAGAGAGAGAAAGAGAGGGAGAGAGAGAGGTGGGTATTGACCCCAGTTAATCCTACATTAAACTATTAAACTTCTGGCTCAGCTCTCCTACACACTTATGTACCTCTGCCCCATTTCCACATGCAGTACAACCAGCACGGATACAAATAGCCAATACCAGGGCCCCGATGCCAAGCCCGGTCACGATGTTTCGGGTCCGCCTCTGTGACAGCGTCTTCTGCCACTGGGCAAGTTGCACCTGCCGCATGAAATGCAGCTGTGCTGGAGTCAATTTCTCCCGCGTCAGGTCGATGCGTTGAGCGAATGGGGCCTTCTCATTTTTCGCATCCAGGGGTTCACCAGCTCCCGGCGCCGCCATGTTGCTGCACCGCCCTTCGCAGTCTCTCGGCGCTGGACTCGATGGGAATCGTAGTCCTTGGTTAACGCGAGGGGTTCTGGGAGTTGTAGTGCTGGGCCTAGCGGAAGAGTTGGAAAAGCGGGAAGCAGCTTGCTTTCTCATTGGCTGAGGGGTCCCGCAGGCCGTTGGAGCGAGAAAAGCTGGGGAACTCGAGGCTGTGGTGGGCACCGGGTTTTTGTCAGACTTGAAGCGAGAATAGGCACGTTAGTGGATGACGAGGAACCCGGGTGTTGGCGGAGGACTGTGGAGTGAAGCTAAAATGGCCGGTTTATGGATCCAGTGAACTGTCGCTGTGTGCCAAAAGGCTTCTGAATATGGACCGGCTTTTGAGGCCGAGACTGGGTTCGGTCAGTGACTTCCAGTTTGGAGCGGTTGCCACGGAGACCATCGAAGACACTCTGCTTCACTTGGCGCAGCAGAACGAACAAGCCGTGCAGGAGGCTGCGGGACGCACGGGCAGCTTCAGGGAGACCCGCATCGTGGGTGTGAATGCAGGGACCGGGAGCGGGGTTTATGGGAGTCTTTGAGGCACTGATCTTGAGATACTGTGTGTGTTTATTCTCATATAATTCATGCCAGCTCATGGGGTAACAGTGATTTTGAAGGAGGATCCCACACATCCATCTCATGGGACCACCCAGAGGCAGGCAGGCACAGGAGAAAGATTATTATAAGGTTTATTAGAAGAGCCATATTTCCCCCAAGAGGGAGCCCGTGGCCTCCGTCCCTATCCAGGTAGCAGGAGGTCTGGGAATAGGAAGTGAGGTAGGTGGGATTTCAGGTGGGTCTGGGTGGAGAGAAGGAAGGACCTGCTGTATGGTGGGAACTCCAGGAATGGGAGGGGGCCACGGGGCCCAGGTGTGGGTGGAGCTGAGGACCAAAGGTGAGCATAACACTAACATTTAACAAGGCACATCAGCACCATATCTTACATTTCTTCATGTTTAACGTGCTTGTTATTGACACTGACAGATGAATTAGGAATGGAGTCCTTATTCTTAAACTATATACTACCTTGTGGGGTAGACAGTAGGGTAAATAGGCCAATGCTAGGTACAAATGTGGTGAGACGATTGGCACAAAAGATAAAACAAGCTTTTGGTGATAGGAGGAATTGGGGGAGTGGTCCACTTGTGGCATTTGAGGTAGACCTTGAATGAAGGGTGATATTTTGGTTGGTTGTAGGTTGTAAAAAGGGACAACATTTCTACTAAAACAGGATAGCATTAATAAAGCTTAAAGATTGGGGTATGTGGCTGGGAATGTAGCTTAGTGGTAGAGTGCTTGCCTAGCATGCATGGGTTCGATTCCTCAGTACCACATAAACAAAAAAGGTCGGAAGTGGTGTTGTAGCTCAAATGGTAGAGTGCTAGCCTTGAGCAAAAGAAGCAGCTCAGGGAAGTGCCCAGGCCCTGAGTTCAAGCCCTGGGACTAGTAAAAAGAGAAAAGAAAAGAAAAGATTGGGGAATATATAGGTACAGTTATCGCCCAAGTTGAACAGAGCATGTAGAAGAGTTGTTGAATTTAAGAACACAGGAGGTTGGAGACATCCCAAATGGGCATACAGACATCAAGAGGGAAGAATTTATACTTTGCTTAGTAGAGAGATGTAAATACATTGCAAGTTTTAAAGTAAGAGAATGTTGTGGCTCTTACTTTTGCCTTGGTAAAAATTATTTTTGATGTGATATAAAGAATAGATTTGATTGGCATAGGAGGGAGACAGACCAGTGGAGTCTATGTTGGTAGCCTAGGTGATAGGGCAAGGGAATAACGAGGAAGGTTGTATTTAAAGTGAAGTAGGCTGTGGCTTAAAGTGGTAGAGCACTAGCCTTGAGCAAAAGAGCTCAGGGACAGCTTCCAAGCCACTACTTCAAGCCCCATGAATGACAAAAAAAAAGAAAATGAATTCAGAGCCAGGCACTGATGGCTCATGCCCTGTAATCCTAGCTATTCAGGAGGCTGAGATCTGCATATCATGGTTTTAAGCCAGACTAGGCAGGAATGTCTGTGGGATTCTTTATCTCCAATAAACCATGCTTCCCCCAAAACAGCCAGAAGTGAATCTGTGGTTCAAGTGGTAGAATGCAAGCCTTGAGCAAAAGTAGCTCAGGGATAGCACTCAGGCCCTGAGTTCAAGCCCTAGGACTGGCACATACACACACACACAAAACAGCCAAAAACATTTCAGAGACAAAAGCTGATTTGGGTGAATTTAAGAAATGAAAATAGGAAAGCTAATTATGCCAAAGGCCTGAGTCTGAGACTAGGAGTATAGCTGTGCCATTAACACAGACGCACACACACACACACACACACACACACACACACACACACACAAAATAAAAGGAAATGTGGCTTTTGTTTGGGGAAAAGTGCTTTGGGTTTGGATCTGCTAAGTTCATGGTGCTTGAAGAACATCTAGAGGAAGATTTCTAGCAGGCTGCTTAATAAGGTCAGAACTAAAACTAAACTTCTTTAGTTTTCTTCATAACGATATTGTTGAAACTATGACAGAGATGAACTCCTAGAAGGAGAAAAGAAAAGCAAGTCAAAGACAGTTTCTTGGGAAACACATTGTGTTCAGTGATTAGAGAAGAGTCACAAGGGAACTAAATGAGTTAGTTAGGAAGATAAACCAAGGACTTTTGGACTCCAACAGAAGTTTCCAGAAGGATTATGATTAGAAGTTCCAGATGCTTCTGGAATATCAACAGAAATGAGGATTGTTAAAAGGCCATGATAGGGCTGGGATGTAGCTCAGTGGCAAAGCGCTTGCCTAGCAAGTGCAGCGTCCTGAGTTCGATCCCCAGTACCAAAAAAGAAAGGACAAAAAAAATACAGTTAAAAAAAAAGCCCATGATAAATCCTAGCTATTCAGGAGGCTGAGATCCGAGGATTGTGGCTCAAAGCCAAACTGGGCAAGAAAGAACATGAGACTTTTTTTTTTTTTTTTTTTTTGCCAGTTGTGGGGCCTGAACTCTGGGCCTGGGCGCTGTCCCTCAGCTCTTCAGCTCAAGGCTAACACTCTACCATGTGAGCTACAGAGCCACTTCTGGCTTTTTCTGCTTATGTGGTGCAGAGGAATCGAACCGAGAGCCTCATGCATGCAAGGCAAGCACTGTACCACTGAGCCACCTTCCCAACCCAGAACATGAGTCTCTTATCTCCAATTTTCAGAAAACTAGAAGTGGCACTGTGTCAAAGTGGTAGAGCACTAGCCTTGAGCAAAAGAGCTCAGGAACAGTGCCCAGGCTCTAAGTTCAAGCCCCACAACCAAAAAAACCCAAACCAAACCAAACCAAAAAATGTACTTAACAGTTTGGGATATTTGCTAATTTATGTGCATGTGTTGTATGTATGGGGGAGGCATACGGGGGCACACATGTGTCTGTACATACCAGTACTGGGTCTTGAACTCAGGACCTGGGTGCTGTCTTTGGGATCCTCAGATCTCAGTCTCCTGAGTAGATAAGATTATAGGTGTGAGCCACCAGTGTCCAGTATTTGCTGATTTTTTTTTTTTTTTTTGGTCATGGGGCTTGAACTCTGGGCCTGGGTACTGTCCCTTAGCTCTTCAGCTCAAGGTGAGTGCTCTACCACTTAAACCACAGTGCCACTTACAGCTTTTTCTTCTTATGTGGTGCTGAGGAATGGAACCCAGAGCCTCATGCATGCAAGGCAAGCACTCTACCACTGAGCCACCTTACCAGACCTATTTGCTGGTTTTTGAGATGATCATTTTAGCAAACTGAGAAAGGCAAAAATTAAATTGCAGGCTATTAGGGAGTGAATGATTCAGTGGAAGCAGCAGGTGTGTAAACCAGGCTTTCAAGAAATTCACCAGTGAGATAGAGAGAATGGAAGCCCTAAATGAAAGAGACTAGAAGGGGAGTCTTTTTCCAATACTAGATTTCAGTATTTTTGTAAATAGAGCAGGGAGAGTCAGTAGCAAGGAGAAGTTGTAAAAGCATTTTCCATTCCACCAAACCCAAAGCTGTTTCATTGGAAAAATAAAATGGAAAACACGCACGCGCGCGCGCACACACACACACACACACACACACACACACACACACACACACACACACACACACACACACACACACACACACACACACACACAGTGTCTTAAGTCCAGCACCTAAAAGGACTGGCTTTTAACATACATTTATATGTCTTAGGGCATTTTGTTGAATTGTTTAAAGTCCTGAACTGGACATTGGTAGTGGAGTTGTAGTTCCTATAACTACATGGCAATGCCAAGGGTTTGAACTCAGGGCCCCATGCTAGCTAGGTGGGAGCTCTTACCGAATAACTTCCCTGCCCCGAGTTTGCTGACATTTTTTTTTTCCATCATGGAGCTTGAACTCTGGGCCTGGGCACTGTCCTTGAGCTCTTCAGCTCAAGGTGAGTGCTCTACCACTTGAGCCATAGCACCACTTATGGTTTTCAGGCCGTTAATTGGAGATAAGAGTCTCTCAGACTTTCCTTGCCCCGGCTGGCTTTGAACTGTGATCCTCATATTTCAGCTTCCTGAGTAGCTAGGATTACAGGCATGAGCCACTGGCACCCAGCCGCTGGTTATTTTTTGACAGGATCTTTCTTCCTGTCCCAATGAGTACCTGAGTGTGATCCAATTAGGCTTCCAGTTGTAACTAGGATATCAGGTGGGAGCTACCACATCCTACTCTGCATTATGAAAAGATATCAGCCTGCCTCCTCAAGAGGCAGAGACCTAGAAGATCACAGTTTGAAGCCAGCCCAGTTAGAATAGTCCCTGAGGCTATCTCCAAAAATAATCAACATAATGCCAGACTTGAGGAATGGCTTAAGTGATAGAGTGTGAAATATAAGTAAGAAAGCCAAGCCAGAGTTTGTGGCTCTGAATTTAAGCTCTGGTACAGTCACACAAAGGAGTTTTGGAGGCTGGAGGCTTGGTTCAAGTGGTGGAGAACAATCTGAGCAAGTATGAGGTCCTAAGTTTAAAATCCAGTGTGTTTTGTCTGGGCTGTCTTCAAACAGCCATCCTTCCAAGTACAACTTTCCAAATAGTAAGGTATTGTGCATTAATCTGTGTGATTTGTGTCAAGTAGATTGTTTAACTATTTGTGCTAGTTTGACAATTTTTTGTATTCTAAGAAATTCAAATGTTCTTTTCTTTTTTCTTAACTCTGAGCCTGGGCACTGTCCCTAAGCTCTTTTGTTCAAGGCTAGTACTCCCACTTTGGGCCACAGCTTCACTTCTGGCTTTCTGATGGTTATTTGGAGATAAGAGTTTCACAGACTTTCCTGCCCAGGCTGGGTTTGAATTGTGATCCTCAGATCTCAGCCTCCTGAGTAGCTAGGATAACAGGCATGAACCACCAGCGCTTGGCTAAAATTCAATTTTTCTTTGAAGGCACAATAATTTGGCCATGTGTATACAGGATGAGAATCTAAAAGTTCAAAATTTGAAACATGTCAACATGATTCTCCAAAAGTTTTGGATTTTGGCTAGATATGGTGGTAAGCACCAGTAATCCCAACTACTTAGTAGGTGGATATCAGGAGGATTTTGTTTTGAGGCTAGTCCAGGCAAAAAGTTAGCAAGACTCCATCGCAACCAATAAGCTCAGTGTGGTGGCATACACCTGCGGTGTCAGCTGTGTGGAAGATCTTGGTTTGTGGCTGGCCTTGAATAAAAAGTATAAGAGACTGTATTGGAAAAATAACTAAAGCATAAAAGGACTGGGGAAGGCTAATTATGCCAAAGGGTTTAGCCTCAAAGACTAGAAGTATAGCAGGAGGACGCATGACTCAAATGGTAGAGGATCTGAAAAAAGGAAAAAACAGTTGGATTTTGAAGCACTTTAGATCTCAGATTTCCAGATTGGGTATGAGAATAATCCAAAATCTGAATAAACTGAAATCCAAAGTCCTGGTCTCAAGCATTTTGGATTAAGAATACTCAAACCTGTAATTCTTTGCTGATCAAAGAAAGCTCTTAGGTCTGCAAGAGCTTTCTTTGGTAAGAACTGACATTTACTCTTCTTTCCACCCTCTAATGATATTGCAAACTAAATAGAATTCTATCTGGGTCTGTTCTTTCAAAGAGAAACAGAAGCAACTAAAATCTTGCCAAGGTACCTTGCCCTTTCAACCCTCGCAATGATTCCTTCCTCCTAAAATTGGGTTATGTTCCCTGAGTGAGGGGATGTTTCTTCAAAACAAGCCACTCCACGGTAACAAGCTTGTTCCTGGGGAGAGGCCCAGCCACCATAGATTTACCCAACAAACTGCTAGTGGAGAGGTGGTGTCCAGCTGTAGGGTGAATGATGTTTGTAAAGCAATGGGAGTGCTCCAGAGGGTGGTTACTAAACAAACAGTGTCCTAAAGACTATCAAAGCTCCAGGAGGGACCTTTCTGTTTCTGCTAACATTCCACAGAAAACAATATAGGGCTCAGAGTTTTTATCCATCCAAGAATCATCCTTGAAGCTGGGGGTTACCAGCATGGTGTAGAGGCCAACTAGGCCAGCTGTTATGTTTGTGTGTAACTGGCCAAGACTTATCAGCTGAGACCCACGGGAAGGCTCTAGGGTCAGTGAAGGGACTTGGTAAGCCCTTGAGTTTGGTACTGAGTCAGCCTTCTTTTCATGCCTCTGATCTTCCTGTTGGCAACAAGAGAAACTAAGCTCAGTTTTGGTTGTTTTAATCTCATCTTTCTCACCTTCTGACCCTCTTCTCTTAGCCCCATCATGGTTTTAATAGAATGCCAAAAGTTCACAGAATGGTTTTGGTTGCATCTTATGAATTTTAGCTCTTTTCCTGTTTTGGCAGAATTTGTTTTTCTCCTGTCTGAACAGTGGTGTCTGGAGAAATCTGTCAGCTACCAGGCTGTAGAAATCCTAGAAAGGTAAGGCCCTGTGCATTGGCCTTTGTGAGTGGTGCACCTTAAATTGGCTAATAAGCCAAAAAAATGTACTCGTTAAGATGAGACAAATATGCCTTCCATTGATAGAATGGTCATGGATCTGGAAAAACAAATTGTGAAATAAAGTAAATATAGTAGAAGACATCCTTACGATGCAAATAGCAACTACATTGGTAAAAGCAAGGTCAAATTCAGCAAGAAAGCTGAAAGATTTTTTGGGAAATATACAACTGAAATTAAACAGAATCTTAAAGAGGAACAGCTGTTTAATCCTTTTATGAGCTGTATTTAGAAGCTTGAGAATGGAGTGAAATGTTCTAGCAAATTGAAGGTCTCTTCAAAAGTATGTCAGCCAGAACTGGGAATGTGGCTTAGTGGTAGAATGTTTGCCTAGCATGCATGAAGCCCTGGGTTTAATTCCTCAGTACCACATGAACAGAAAAGCCAAAAGTGGCACTAGGGCTCAAGTGGTAGAGTGCTAGCCTTGAGCAAAAGAAGCTCAGGGACAGTGCCCAGCCCTGAATTCAAGCCCAGGACTGGCATAAAAAAATTATGTCAGTCAGTCACAACTTAGTCTATGCCTCCCCACTCAAAATTTCTAAATAAGTGTCTTTTATTGACTCTATGCTTCCATGTGTATTTCATTTTATTGCTTAAGTATAAAATGTATTTTTTTGTATTTTATTTATTTTTTTGGGGGCCTGAACTCTGGGCCTGGGTGCTGTCTCTCAGCTCTTCAGCTCAAGGCTAGCACTCTACCACTTGAGCCACAGCGCCACTCCCGGCTTTTTTCTTTTTGCTTATGTGGTGCTGAGTAATCGAACCCAGGGCCTCATGCATGCAAGGCAAGTGCTCTACTACAGAGCCACCTTCCCAGCCCTAAAATGTATTTTTTATAGTAAAGAGTTTTGTAAAAATTACTTTGTATAGCATGTCAGCTAGTGGCTGGAGCCTGTAATTCTATCTATTCAGAAGGCTGAGATTGGAGGATTGTGATCTAACTCAGCCCTGGCAGAAAACTCCAGGATACTCCATCTCCAATTAATTAGCAAGAAGCTGAAATGGAGGCATAGCTTAAGTAGTAGAGTGCCAACTGCAAGCAAGCGGGAGGGAGTGTACAAGGCACTGAGTTCAATCCCAGGAACTGGCAAAGAAATAAAAAAAACATAAAACACACACACATACACAAACTTTTTTGGAAGTACTAATAAGGCCAATGGAATAACAAAGGTACACAATCTCACTCTCAACTTCCAAATGTAAATTCCCTAGTTAGCATTTGATACCTGAGAGGACAAAAAATATAGTGCCATTTAAAGCACAAACTCCCTTAGGTCTGAGTGACTGTGGGTTGTTTTTCCTCCTGATCCTCCTTTACAGATTTATGGTTAAGCAGGCAGAGGACATCTGCATGAAAGCCCCAATCCAGCTGAGAGCTAATGAGAAAACAGAGTCTTGGAATTGGAAGGCTCTGAAAGAGCAACTTTTCAACAAGTTTATCCTCCGTCTGGTGTCATGTGTTCAGCTGGCGAGCAAACTTTCCTTCCACTACAAAGTAAGGAGCTGGAGTTGTTCACTTGAGTTGTCCCTATGTTAGAAGGAAACCAGCCCATCAAAGGTGGCTGTGAGAAACCTACTCCTAAGATAGGCTATGTTACTCATGTGGAAATTCCAGAGGCTAATTATGCCTCCTAAGCATACTTTCTACACACACACACACACACACACACACCATTATTAAATAGCCTGGAGTTCTGTTCCCAAAGTATAATTTCTGGACAGATGCCATTATACAGGTCACCTTTCCTACCCTAGAACTCAAGGAGAGTTTGTTTACATAAGGTACCTGAATTACCAACATACCTAGTATTAAAGAAAACCATACACTTAAAAGAACAAAATGTTTCCGCATCACTGTACAATAAAATATCATTCATTTAGCAAATATTTATTGACTTTCTTCAGTGGCCAGATGCTGTAGCAGGGATCATAGCTACAACAGTAAAAATGTTGTCTGTACTCAAAGGAATTCATTATCTAATGGGAACAGACACATAAACAAACAGGGTAAAAAGGTGCTGTGGTTAATGCAAATATAGAGGGTTAAGAATGTACCTCATTAGCCTTGGAGAGAGGAGGAAATAGACCCAGAGAAAATGACTTCTTTAAGTAGGTAGGAGGAAGATGGGAGGATACTCAGAAAGAGCAAACAAAGGGAGGGCAGGGAGAAAGAGAAGGAGGGGGTAGGAATTGATGGTAGGTCTAGGTACTGATAGCAGAGGTGTAGCAGCTGGAAGACAGGAAGAGTATTTGGGGTTTGGTAATTATAAGTAATTCTGTACAGACAAATTTAAGACTTTCAGGTGGACCAAGAGAGAAGATTATCAATAAAGACATGGGTTGAACTGTTTAAGACTTTGTTGTACACTCTGCCAAGGTATGTGATCTGTATCCTGACATTTTTCTTCCTGTTTGGTTTTCTTTGCACAGATAATAAGCAACATTACAGTCTTGAATTTCCTCCAGGCTCTAGGTTATCTGTACACTAAAGAAGAACTGCTAGAATCAGAGCTTGATGTTTTAAAGTCCTTGAACTTTCAGATAAATCTGCCTACACCTCTGGCATATGTGGAGATGCTCCTTGAAGTTTTAGGTACTTCACTGGGTCAGAAAATGTGGGTTTGGCTGGGGGCTGGTGCCTCACACCTGTAATTCTAGCTACTCAGGAGGCTAAGATTTGAGGATTGCGGTTCAAAGCCAGCCTGGGCAGGAAAGTCCCTGAGACATCTCCAATTAACCATAAGAAAACTGGAATTGGTGCTGTGGCTAAAAATGGTAGAGCACTTGCCTTAAGCAAAAAGAGTTCAGGGATAGCGCCCAGACCCCTATAACCGACAAAAGATGAGGGGAAGGAAGGAAGGAAGGAAATGTGGGTTGGATACTTCCCTTGAGGGCAATTTAAAAATGTGTCCAAGGTTTTGGGAATAGCAAGCAGAACCTGCTAATGAGGAGCAGTAGGAAACCAGTGATGTCTCTGAATAACTCAAAAAGAGTTCCCTCTGACACTTGCCAAAGAAAAGTAGCTTAGGAGTCTCAGCAACTGATTGCTATTTGGACTCATTAGTCTCTTTCTTCCTCCCTTTCCTTTCTTCCCTTCCTTCCCTCCCTCCCTCCCTCCCTCCCTCTCTCTCTCTCTCTCTCTCTCTCTCTCTCTCTCCTTTCTTTCTTTCCTTTTCTTCTTTTTTGTCAGTCAGTGTGGGGCTTGAACTCTGGGCCTGGGTGCTGTCCCTGAGCTCTTCAGCTCAAGGCTAGTGTTCTTCCACTTGAGCAGAGCACCACTTCCAATGTTCTGGTACTTTATTGGAGATAAGAGTCTCATGGATTTTCCTGCCAGAGCTGGCTTTGAACCATGATCCTCAGATCTCAGCCTCCTCCGTAGCTAGGATTCAGGTGTGAGCCACTGGCGCCCAGCTGAAGGCCAATTTTGAAGGACAAAGGGACAGAGAATTTTCCATTTATAGTATATATACAATTACAGTGTATTTGTTCCTCTTGTCTTTATGCTTCTCCGTAAGACCAGCTCTCTGATTTTACAATAAGAAAGTGACTAGTAAGCGGGTGCTGGTGGCTCACACCTATAATCCTAGCTACACAGGGGGATGAGATCTTAGGATCATGGTTCAAAGCCAGCCTGAGCATGAAAAGTGTGAAACTCTTATCTCCATTAAGCCACCAGAAAACCGGAAGTGGCACTGTGGCTCAAGTGATAGAGCACTAGCCTTGAGCTGAAATGCTGAGGGACAGAGCTCAGGCCGAATTCAAGCCCCACGACCAACAAAAAAAAAAACAACTGACCTTCTGCTAAACAAGTTTCTTATAGGACATAGCAACTGGGAAGCATATTAACTACTAAATAGTGTTGTCATAGACAATGGTGGCTGTGATCAGGAAACAACAGCAATTCATGCTCTCATGCCCATACCCCATCTAGGATACAATGGCTGTTTGGTTCCAGCAACGCAACTACATGCAACCTGCCTGACCCTGCTTGACCTGGTCTATCTTCTGCATGAACCCATATATGAAAGCCTGCTGAGGGCTTCTATTGAGAACTCCACACCCAGTCAGCTTCAAGGGTGAGCAACTCATTTAGGATAGACTCCTTCCAGAAACAGGAAGCAGGGGACAGATCATAAGAATGTGGGGAAGGGGGCTGGGAAGGTGGCTCAGTGGTAGAGCGCTTGCCTTGCATGCATGAGGCCCTGGGTTCGATTCCTCAGCACCACATAAGCAAAAAGAAAAAAGCCGGAAGTGGCGCTGTGGCTCAAGTGGTAGAGCACTAGCCTTGAGCTGAAGAGCTGAGGGACAGCGCCCAGGCCCAGAGTTCAGGCCCCACGACCGGACCCAAAAAACAAAACAAAACAAAAAAGAATGTGGGGAAGTCTGGGGGTTTAGTTCAGTGGTAGAGCACTTGTCGGTCAAATTCAATATCCAGCACCACACCAAAAAAAAAAAAAAAAAAAAAAATATGGGGTGGAATTAAATTACTTTACAAAGGCATTCAGTCCACAGAAAAATCTCCACAGGTTACCTGGTTTTTGTTAACTTCCAACATGTTGCTTGAATGTGGATGGCTGAGCCCAATCAGGAAAAACTCAAAAGGCTTTTACTTTTAAATTACTTCAAACAATCATATTTTACAATAATATTACAATAATATTCAAATAATATTTTCTTTCCTAGTTTTTTACAGCAGTTTCTAATTTAAGATTACTGGACTGCTTTTTCTGATCACTTGGGAATAAAAAAGCCAGTCATGGGCTGGGAAGGTGGCTCAGTGGTAGAGTACTTGCCTTGCATGAATGAGGCCCTGGGTTCAATTCCTCAACACCACATAAGCAGAAAAAAAAAGCCGGAAGTGGTGCTGTGGCTCAAGTGGTAGAGTGCTAGCCTTGAGCTGAAGAGCTGAGGGACAGCACCCAGGCCCAGAGTTTAGGCCCCACGACTGGATCTCCCTTCCCCCCCCCCCAAAAAAAAAAAGCCAGTCATAAGAAAAAAGTTAGACAAAAATGTTTGATTACTATAAAGCCAGGTTGGTCAAAAGCCTCAGTTACATCTGTTTCAGAGACAGATGGAACAACAAAAGGCTTATAAACCACTCAGATACAAGGCTCATATTTTAATCCCAGATGAGTTTGGGGATGATGGGAAAGCAGGTTAATTAGCTATCACTGAACAGTGTCCTTCCATGTTTAAAAAAACAACACCAAATGCTCAACATAAACAATTCATAGTTGAAATTCTATGACCCTAGAATTTGAAAGCTCATGTTTCAGTCTAGCTTCAAAGTTAATATGGTTTTAATCACTCAGAGAAAAGTTTATCTCAGTGAAAGAAGACTTTATGCTGTTGGCAGTTGGAATCATCGCAGCAAGTGCTTTCATCCAAAACCATGAGTGTTGGAGCCAGGTATGCACCAATGAGCTGGATCCGCATGGCCAGAATTCATTTAATAGAAAGCATTCCTCCATCAGTTAAAGAAAACAGAAGTATCTACAGAAGACACATGCCAAGACCCGGGATCAGGATTTGAACTGAGGGCTGAGCAGGCTGAGCTCAGCATGAGAGGGTTGAAAAACTAGGTTAGGACTGAAAAAAAAAAAATTGTGGGGGGAGGGTGTTAGTTAAACTCTAGGCCTGGGGACTGTGCCTGTGCTTTTTCGCTCAAGGCTAGTGCTCTACTTTGAGCCACAGCTCCACTTCCAGTTTTCTGATAGTTAATTGGAGGTAAGAGTCTCATGTACTTTCCTGCCCAGGCTGGCTTGAACCACAATCCTCAGATCTCAGCCTCTTGAATAGCTAGAATTATAGGCATGAGTCACCAGCACCCAGCTGGGACTGAAATGTGTTTTTCAGTTTTTTTTCCTTATGAAACTAGAAATAGAGGCCAAGTTCAGTATGTTCATTTTCCTTTATGAGTATGACCCAGTATTATGAAATCCAAAAAGCATACCCCCTCTCCCCAAACAGAAAATGTCAAGGCCCAACTACCCAGGAAACAGCTGATAGATCATGAGAATGTGGGGAAGTTTGGAGGTAATGATAATCCCCCTTAGCTTTCACAAAACTTAACTCTAACAGAGGGAAATAGTTTTCACACTAATGCTTCAGGGCAAAGGCATCCATTTGAAGCTGGATTTAATCTTGCCTGCACATTCAGAGAAATGGAGTTTATTTGGTTGGAAAGAATATCCCAAGTTGTGTGTATACAAAAGCATGTTGAGGTTATTTAATAACAAAAAATCTGTCTCCGTTTCTGAAGGTTGTGGGGCATTTGCAGAGCATCACTGGCATTGCTGTGGAGAGCATTGCTGAGTTCTCTTATGCAATCCTGACTCACAGTGTGGGGGCCAACACTCCAGGACGACAGCAACCTGCTCCTCCCCACTTGGCAGACAGAGCTCGCAGGGGTGCTGCTTCCTCAACATGAGGCAGACTGAGCCCCCCAAATATAAACACCTATCACTATACTCTTCCCTCTATTTGTTTACTTTCATATTCAAGGTACAAAACTTCTAAGTCTCCTTTGAACTGTACTTTGTATTCTAATTCCATGCATATTTTTCTGAATCAGCTAAAGTGGACAAGTTTGCCTTTTTTTTTGGTCCTATCAGACTAAAAATGTCAAAGAACTAAGAGGAACAGGTTAGTGAAGTTGTTTTTTAACAAGTAGTTCATGGCTTTTCTTTTAACCTCATTTCATGAACAGGGATCATCAGACATGGAGATAAGTATTAACCTGGATCTTAAAAATAGACTATTTGGTTGTTGACTATTGTTGAAATTGCCTTTATTTCCCTTTAATTTCCTCTCTGTCATGTTACTGAGATCTATACAAATGGCTTCCTCTACAGTCATCTTCACTAGGTTTTTGTTTTTTGGTGATACTGGGGTTTGAACTCGATGCCTTGTGTTTACCTAGTAAGTGCTTTACCCATTAAAAGCCACACCTCCAGTACAGATTGCTTTGTAACTAAAATGTCTCTATGCATGTTTCAACAGAACTTCCATATACTTTTTTAGATAAAGAAAAACACAATAGTGCACTTCTAGGTTGTTATCAGACTGTAACAAATCTTTTATTACAAAGAATTAAATCTCTCCATAATGTCTCAAACAGTATCAAACACCATTTCATAACTCTCATATATAGCAGAGTAGGCACTCAGTGCTAGAACTGAGTGAGGAGAAGTGTTGAATTTCAAGCTTCTGATCATATCTCATGTTGACCAGGCAGAATGTAGATGCCATTTTCCTGTTATTCCTGTTTCATACATTTTATTGTTGCAGTGGAGACCAAAGTTTCATAATTTAAGTCTAGGAAGTTGAGAGATAAAATCCAGTGAAAACATACTAATCTCAATTCAACTCAAAAAAAAAGCAAACTTAAGTTAGTTGTTTTGGGGGACAAGAAAGGAAAGCATGAGGTTAAAACCATGACAAGATCTGCTAGGCATATATGGAATATTATAACCCTGGAATTTGTCATGATATTTTAAAATAAAGTGGCTTTTTGTGAATTTTGTCTCTTTCAGTATTGTAAACGGTGTTTAATATTAATCAAATTTAATTTTAAGCATTTTTTCCAAACAAAACAAAATTTAAAACCATCAAGGCAAATATCCCCTAAGGAAAAAAAGTCATTTGTTATAAAATTGTGAGGATACCCAAGCAAGACCCCACTTAAGATTTGTCAGCATGAACTTGAGAGCTTTTGTCCACTGTTCCTCAGAATTGAATTGCGTTTTGATGGAGTAGGAGCCACCGCTGCCTCCAGTGTCTTCAATCTTGCCTTTCTCCACATCCATCCTGCAGATGGGCACAGCAGAGCTCAATTAGTAACAGATCTGAGTAAAATCAGTTCAGGCAAATGGGCAAGGACCTGATCACAGAACCATTCACATCACTTTAGCTCTTTAGAACTCTTAGCTCATTTGGAACTCTTGGCGACAACGGTAGTGTATTTTGGATTTGCTTGAAAGCACCAAACCAAGAAGGCTGTCACAAGAGCCTTATTGTCATTGCAGAATACAAGGACAGGACATACACCCAAACAGATGAGAAGTCTGGAACAGGGTGAGTGAGGGTCACAGTACTCCTCACTGTTTCCTAGGCATCTCTGAACTCAGGGGAAAAAAAGGGAGGCAAAAGAAAATAAATGCTTTGTTTTAGGATAAGAGCAGCTCAAGCTATTTGTATGAATTTTTTTTTTTTTTTTTTGAGGCAGAGTCATCTGCTTCAGCCTCTGGAGTACTAAGATTATATGGGCCTGTGCTATCACACCTATCAATCTTATACTCTTGAACTGAGTTTCTACCCATCACTAGACTTCTACAATATCTGACCAAAAGAAGCATTCTTACATATTTCCAAAGACTTTAGTAAAAAAAATCCTTCCAGAAAATAGAGAATAGACTTAAGCTCTGTGCCAAGAGAATTTCCCAAACCACCTAAGACAACATTCTTGTATCCAGGCACCAGGGGTCACACTGTCTTGTTTGCAGTGCTGTATGTCTTTGCCCATTAGTGCCATGTGATTCTGCACCATTTTTTGCTTTTACCTCTATTCTTACTGTCCAATTTTGTTCAATTTGGCCCTACTACAAGTTCACTAGGCAATGGGAGATACCAACCTGTAAGGAAGACAAAATCGTGTCTCGCCTTTCTCTACCTCTTCTTTGAACTGCTGCACACAGTCCAGGAAAGCCACCATCGCATGGTCAAACTTGTTGTCCCAGAAAAATCGCAATCCCCCAGAACAGTATAATGGCAGCTCCTATCCAAGAAGAGAGAACTGCCTAAGAGTGTGCACCAAGACAAGTTACCAGATAGAGTTACCAGTTCCTATCTCTCAAGTTGTATTGTGTTTTTAGAAACAAGTATTACTACAGGGATCTATCCATTATAATCTTGAACAGCTACAAATAATACAGGCACCCAGAACTGTTTCCCCACCAGTGGAATGCACTGAACTTCTACTTCAAAGTAATTCCTTCCCTATCCTCTTACACGTTTTCCTTTGATCTGTCTATATCTCTCAACAGACTATAAAATTCGTTTTTTTTCTATAACATTTTCTATAATAAATGGCTCCTTTTGAGATTTCTCAGTCTGAAAAAGAAACTGGATCATGCCAGGATCATTTTTATTTTTTCAGTGCTAGGGAATCAAACTCAGAACTTTGTATAAGCTAGGCAAGGATCTACCTCTGAGCTATATTTCCTGTCCTTAAATGAAACCACTTCGTTGAGTAATAAGCACCCTGTAGTCCAGTGAAAATGGGGCATGCAAAAATACCTTAGATTTGTCTGTCAGAGACTCCAGATAGGAATGATTTCCATAGGGAACAAGTCGATACCTAAAATAGAAATGTAGACAGTAATGGATATAGGACTCCTCTTGAAGTAGCTGATAGAAAATGTTAACAAGGGCTGGGAATGTGGATTAATGGTAGAGTGCTTGCCTAGCATGGATGAGGCCCTGGGTTTGCTTCCTCAGTACCACATACAGAAGAAAAAGCCAGAAGTGGCTCTGTGGCTCAAGTGGTAGAGTGCTAGCATTGAGCAAAAGCAGTTCAGGGACAGTGCTCAGGCCCTGAGTTCAAAAAGAAAGGAAAGAGAGGGAGAGAGAGGGAGAAAAAGGAAGAATGGGGGGGGGGGGGGGAGAGAAAGAGGGAGGGGGTGGTGGTAACAAGTTGGGCACCTGTAGATCACACCTGTAATCTTAGCTACTCAGGAAGTTGAGATCTGAGGATCATGCTTCGAAACCAGCTGGAGCAGAAAAGTCCCTGTGAGACACTATCTCCAACTAACCACTCAAAAACCAAAGTGGTGCTGTGGCTTAAGTGGTAGAGTGCTAGCCTTGAGCAAAAAGAGGCTCAGGGACAGCACCCAGGCCCTGAGATTAAGCCCCACAACTGACAAAGAAAATGTTAACAATGATTTTCCAATCTGTATCCTACCCAAAGACTTACTATACCCAACACCTTCCCCTACACCTCCCCATAAGATCAATGTTTGAAGAGACTTTATTTAAAAAACAAAAACAAAAAAAACCAAACAAACATTTATTATGTAACTATCTGGGGTTGGGGGAGTCTTTCATAGAATAATGTAGGTTTTTTAAAACTAAAACTTTCTTAAATACTTAGGCTCTGGAAACTGTAGCTTGGAAACCATTGCTATAGTCACCAGCTTGATGACTGCTCTATCAGTGGGAAGAGCACTGTGATGAAGGGAAAAGTCAGCTGTAGATAGCTTCCAGCCACAATAGAGAGCAGTAGGAAATTCAGACTATGTAAAAAACATACCAATCCCCATGGAAGAGCTGTACTGCTTACCTCTGAAATTTCAGACCCATCTTATTGGCCAGGGCATGGAGCAGCAACACTGTCTGGCCCCAGGCAGCATTAATCTCATTCCATTCCACAGGAACACTGGGTAGGCGACCCAGTCTGAAGTTATTGATTGTGCCGAACTGCCCACTATGCCTATAGAAAAAAGCAGAATGAAGGGAATACAGTGATTGCTAATAACTTTTGAGATTTCCCTCTTCCACCTAAAACCTAACACAAATTTCTTATCTCAGATTCATATGTCCAAATGCTACTTGGCATTTTAAATACATGCCAAAAACTTGAGTTATCATCTTTCAACCTGTTTTTTGAAAGTGCCAAAGCAAACGGGTGTCATCCTTAAACACTTTCTCTCAGCTCCCTAGCCCAAAAAAACAAACCCCACTGATTCTACCTCCTGCATCTTAAAATATGTCCAAACTCTCTCCAACTTAAAGTGACTACTCTTTTCCTATTTAGAGTCCCACTAACAAATCTTAATCCCTCCCCCTAAGTCATTTCTCCTATTGAGGTAAAGCTATCATTCACAAACACAAATGTAATTATGTCACTCCCCTGCCTAAAATGCTTCTATTGCTTCCTCTCCCCTTTGGACCAATGCCAAACCTCTTAATGAGGCCTATCAGATCCTTAAGAACTGGTACCTCTCCAGTTTCATATCCTGTCATCCACCCCCTCATAATCAATCTTCAGTCACAAAAAGCTCTTTTCTGTTCTCTGAATCCACCACTCCCTTTTTCCTGTTCCTTGCACATGATGTTCTCTCTGCCAGGAATAACTCCCCCTTTGTAAATGACTACTTCACCCCTCAGATTAAACATCAACCTCTTGAGAAAAACATTCTACACAGACTCCCCAAACTAGGTAGTGTTCCCAACACAATGCATTGGGCCTACCATTTTCACACTCATTACATTTACCTATTATTTATTTGCCACTTCTACAAAATTGTAAATAACTGGAATATATTGTTCGCTGTAGCCTTCTTGCCACTTTACCCAGTACATACTACATTGTACATACTCAATAGTTATTCGTTAAGTGGATAGGGAAGATATCAAAGCACTAGGCAGCTGGAGGTTTCAGAATTTCTTTCCTAGAATGGGTGATGTTATTGAGCTCAGGGATTCTAATCCCCTGTGCTCATCCCATCACAATAATGACAGAAACCATACCAAGGTGAAGATGGCCTACAACTTCTCATGTGGGGAAGGAGGGTGTTCTAGTTTAGTACTCTACAGCTAGGGTCCAGATCTTCAGTGCTCTCCAAGCAGACCACATCCTCCAACTCCCCCTTACCATATGTGAAAAGTTGCATTAAAGACATTGGTTTTCTTCAGCTTGTCCAGTTGTATCTGAGCATATCGCATCTGGTTTTCTACACTCTTCAGCTCATCATCCAGCTCCAATTGTTGTCGTTTAAATTCACTGTATTCCCTCTGGTACCTGTGAGCGGAAAAGGGAACCACTGAAGGCTGTTGAGTTTGGGGGCTACAGTTTCTTTTCCACCATACCTCTGAATGATTTGCTCTAGTGATTTTAGATACACAGAATTTTCTGTATTTGGCATAGCTCTCCCAGAGGACCATGTATGTTATGCCTAGAAAGGACAAAAATGTCTTAAAATTCCAGCTGCCCATATGCAAAAATATAGGAGGGGGAAAAGAACTTTTTTTATTTTGAAAGCAAGGTGAACCTGAGTTAAGAGACCTTTCTCCCATAAATTGGCCATAATTAGCACTTCACTTCTATATGTTATTATCCTTTAAGTAGTTAGTATGTATGCCATCTTCAATGAAACTAGTTACACCACTCTGTGTATACTTTTCAACTTTAGTGAATGTGGTCATTTTGTCTTCCACTAGACAGAGGGCTCTTCCAGGTCAAGAAGATCCTTGAAATTTCTGAGTGGAGAGAGAACATGTGTGGACTAGCATGCTCATCTTTCCAGATGATGGCTGAAAGGTGGCTGACTGATCTAAACAGGCCCTTTCTTTCCAGGACAGAGTCAAGTAGAACCCTGGTGTTGAAACTTTTTTTTTTTTTTTTTTTTTGCCAGTCCCGAAGCTTAAACTCAGGGCCTGGGCACTGTCCCTGAGCTTCTTTTGCTGCAGGCTAGCACTATACCACTTGAGCCATAGTGCCATTTCACTTTTTCTATGTGTGTGATACTGAGGAATCAAACCAGAGTTTCATGCAGGCTAGGCAAACACTACCACTAAGCCATATTTGCTAACACTTTAGTCAATAACGTTTTTTCTTTTGATCATGTTGACCCTTCACACATAATCCTCCTGTCTTTTAGCAACAGGGTCTAGAAACACAGAGTTTGAAGCAGACATACTGCTGAATGACAGCTCTGACTATAGCTTACAAACTAATCAGACACATGCAGTTGGGAGCTATTCCCTCCTAGAGTCTTTTTTTTTTTTTTTTTGGGGGGGGTGGTCCAGTCATGGGGTCTGAACTCTGGGCCTGGGAACTGTCCCTCAGCTCTTCAGCTCAAAGCTAGCACTCTACCACTTGAGCCACAGCGCCACTTCCAGCTTTTTTCTTTTTGCTTATGTGGTGTGGAGGAATCGAACCCAGGGCCTCAGGCATGCAAGACAAGCGCTCTACCACTGAGCCACCTTCCCAGCCCCCCTCCTAGAGTCTTATGGGCAGAAAGACAGATGAGTAAGATAAGCACTCACTGAGCTTCTTCCTGATCTAGTCTCTCGGCTTCAGCCTGGACCTTCTCCAGATTTTCTGCTACTACCTTGCGGTTCTTTTCCACATCTTCCAGCTCTTGGATCAGCCTTTCCTCCTCTAATACCAGCTCCCTCAGCTCCCTCTGTAACTGTTCACTGTCATCCTCATTTACTTGCTCTAGTATCTCCAAACAGCATCTGTAGAAGAAGTAGACGGAATATATATACCAGAGGGAACCTGTCATTCCATGTGCCTGAGAAGAGCAGAATTTCTGGGTAAGAGCCAAGCAGTTTCCCAAATCCAGATCTATCTCAGTTGCCTGGCCCTTGATCTGGGAATACTCACTTGTAGTTCTGACACTCATTTTCAGTGACATTGAGCTGAGTGTCCAGCTGGTCTAAAAGAGTATCTGTGCATTCTTCACACAGTGGGTGATCCACATCTGTCTGGCCTGACATGATGTCAAAAAGGTCCCCAGTGACCTGAAAACATGGGAGAGTCAGAGTAGGGCCTTGTTATGCTACCTGCGCAGCCACCCTTATATCAGCCAGGTCTGCTTGACAACAGAATGAGGCCAACTTGCCTTGAGTCTTCGGCTGAGATTCTCCATGGTGCCACCATCAGATGCCTCCCCAATCAGAGTGAAGCTGTTAGCACTTTCTGTAGACATCATCCTGCAGACAGCCCCCCGCCCATGGGCCACATGAGGGAGCAGAGAGGTCTCCTCCACTTACTTGCTGCCAGTGGCAGAGACTCTCAAGCACTGGCTTTGGGGGCCTCAAGGCATATACCCACTCCTAGCCCAACTGACCTCCCAAGGGTCCCTCTCTCCCAAGAGAAGGCCATGCTGGTCTTCCACAGGGGCACTCAGCACGAGGCTGGCCTGGATGGACTAAGGAAGGAGGGAGAGGGGGCATAAAAAATTGACATGTGTCTATAGCAAAAAAAGGAAGGAGAATTAAGAAAGACCATTTTCAATTATTCTACTCCTGACAAGCAAACTGTACCTGCTGCATCAATGAAAACTAAGAATCTGAACATCTAACATGTACTGTTTTAAAAGTTACAGAGCCCATTTCAACCATTCCTTCACCATTTTTCAATTTTCCATCTTTAGAGCTACTATCTCTTCCCACACTGTGAATGGTTGCATGAAAAAAATCAATACTGAAAGGTGATGGGCCAGGCCTAAGGGAATAAATATTTTCTAAAAGAGCCAGAAGGGTGCTGATTCATCTTTATCATCTAGCTCCAGGTTTTTAATTCCTGGTTTCAAGTAAAATTCTACTGGCCCCTGGCAAGGAACAGGGGGCTGAGAAGTAGTAGGCACCTGGCTGGGGGGATGAATCTGCGAGAGACACCATCCTGGCGAGTTTCAGTAAATGGCTCCTAGGAAAGAAATAAGAAAGAATTAGAAAGCCAGGCACCAACAGTTCACGTTTGTAATCCATCCTAGGAAGGCTGAGATCTGAGAATCTCAGTTCCAAGACAGCCTGTGCAGTAAAGTCCATGACACTTTGTCTTGTCAGTCGTGGGGCTTGAACTCTGGGCGTGGGCACTGTCCCTGCACTCTTCAGCTCAAGGATAGTGCTCTACCACTTGAGCCACAGCACCACTTCCAGTTTTCTAGTGGTTTATTGGAGACCAAGAGTCTCACAGACTTTCCTGCCCGGGCTGGCTTTGAACCATGATCCTCAGATTTCAGCCTCCTGAGTAGCTAGGATTATAGGTATGAGCCACCAGCGCCTGGCTCCATGACACCTTTTTTTTCTTTTTTTTTTTTTGGTCGGTTGTGGGGCTTGAACTCTGGGCTTGGGCGCTGTCCTTTAACTCTTCAGCTCAAGGCGAGTGCTCTACTGCTTGAGCAACAGCACCACTTCCAGTTTTCTAGTGGTTTATCGGAGATAAAGAGTCTCCTGGACTGCCCGGCCTGGCTTTGAACCTCAATCCTCAGATCTCAGCCTCCTGAGTAGCTAGGATTACAGGTGTGAGCCACCAGCACTCTTATGTCCAATTAATCACCAAGAAGGTGGAAGTGGAGCTGTGGCTCAAGTGGTAGAGTACTAGCCATGATCAAAAAAAGGGTCAGGGACAGTGCACAAGCCCTGAATTTAAGGCCTAGATCTGGCACAACGGAGTGAAGGAGGGAGGGAGAGAGGGAAGAGAAGAGGAAGAAGAGAGAATATGAATTGGCTTGAATTTTGGCAGTTTTGTTTTACAAACAGCCTTGGAATGATCACAACTGTATTTATGGACACATGGTACAAACAATTCCCAAGTCCCATTTGATCACCCCTCCTCTGAACAGCATTTTCTCTTACACATTTATGGTTAAATTTGTATTTTCTCAACACTTACCAGTAAGGGGTAGGGGACAGAATGCCCTAAACCATGGTATAAGGGAAATATCAGATCAGATTGGAATAAAGTCTGCCACATCATAAAGTAGACAATTTGTTTTCAATATTTTGATGTAATTTATATCAGTGCTCTATGCCTTTTCTCATTCCTCTATCTCTTTGCAGAGAGGTGCTAGCCAGAACGAATCCCCAAACCAGCTAAGATTAATGACTGATAGCAGGGGTGACTACTTGGGCCGGATAAATCTCAGGTGTGTATTTAACACCATCCTATTTCACAGGGCAATCTTCCTCAGAACAGCTCCGGGTCCCACAGGTGTTACTGGCTTGATCCTGTCCTCTTCCTATCTCATATCCTCTGCTTCCCACTGGAGTTTCTTGGGATCCCATCTCAAATAAATAACTGGTACTAAAAATAGCGGAGAAGCCAGGCACTGGTGGCTCACACCTGTAATCCTAGCTACACAGGAGGCTGAGATCTGAGGACTGCAGTTCAAAGCCAGCTCGGGCAGGAAAGTTCATGAGACTCTTATCTCCAATTAACCACCAGAAAACCAGAAATGGCGCTGTGGCTCAAATGGCAGCTCAAGCTTGCCTTGAGCGGAAGAGCTCAGGGACAGCGCTCAGGCAGAGTTCAAGCCCCATGACCACCACCAACAACAACAAAAAGATAGCAGGGTCTGGGAAGGTGGCTCAGTGGTAGAGCGCTTGCCTTGCATGCCTGAGGCCCTGGTTCGATTCCTCAGCACCACATAAGAAAAAAGCCAGAAGTGGCACTGTGGCTCAAGTGGCAGAGTGCTAGCCTTGAGCTGAAGAGCTGAGGGACAGTGCCCAGGCCCAGAGTTCAGGCCCCACGACTGGACCCCACCCCCCCAAAAAAAATAAGATAGCAGTGAGTGAGCGGTGCATGAGGGAGGCCAAATAGTATCAAAATACATTGTGTGGATATATGAAGAAGGTATAAGGAAACTCACTAAAGCTGTTGAACAATATAGGGAATAGGGAAGATGAGGGAAAGTGATAGAAGAGATTAATATGACTAAATTATAATATATGCATGTGTGAAATACTATGGTGAAATACCTTTGTACACTTAATATGCACTGGAAAAAATTTTAACTAAATGTCAGAAAAATAAAACCCCTCTGTTGGGGGTAGGGATCAGTGGCACAAGGAGAGCTAACAGAGGTTGAATATGATCCAAATTCGTTATGAGGACATATGAAATAGAACGATGGAACTTGTTGAAATTTCTTTTAAGAAGGGGGTAAAGAAGGATGAGGAAGAGTAATGAAGGGGTAAGTCTGACTGGGTCTTGTATCTGTGCATGGAAATGTCTCTATGAAACCCCCTCGTACAACAATATATGCTAATTATACATATACATTATATACAAATTATACGTTATATATACAGCTCTTATAATACTTATCTTTGTCAATACAAATTATCAATGACATATTAACAGTTTAAAAATAATTTGTTCATTGGGCAATAGTAGCTCCTACCTATAATCCTAGCTATTCAAAAAGCTAATACCAGAAAATGGTAGTTTAAAGCCAGCCTAGGCAAAACAGCCTATGAGACTTATCTCCAATTAGCTAGAAAAGTGTCAGAAGGCTGGGAAGTTGGCTCAGTGGTAGAGTGCTTGCCTTGCATGCATGAGGCCCTGGGTTCGATTCCTCAGCACCACATAAGCAGAAAAAAAAAGCTGAAAGTGGCATTGTGGCTCAAGTGGTAGAGCGCTAGCCTTGAGCTGAAGAGCTGAGGAACAGTGCCCAGGCCCAGAGTTCAGGCCCCAGGACCGGACCAAAAAAAAAAAAAGTGTCAGAAGTAGAGATGTGGCTCAAGTGGTACAGTGCCAGCCTTGAGTGGAAAAAGCCCCGATTTCAAGTCCCAGCTCACCCGCACAAAAATATAAAATAAATAAAAAATGACATGTTCCTTAACACTGACAGAGCAGAATGGCTATGAATAACCTGCTAGAACAGATGCAAACCAAGAATACTCTCTAATTTTAGGGTCATGCCTTAAGGCATCCATTTTTGAATGGAGGCATTATTCAGTAATTGTGTGATCTCTGGTAAACCAAACATTCAATGTTTTACAGTGAACTCATCATGTAGAGTATCTCTCATAAGCCACATTTTGTGAACCCCCACGGTCTGGGAGTACCCTGCAGAAACCCAGCCTGAATTCCTGTGTTTTCATATCAAGTCTCTCATTTTGTATATTTCTTCAATGAGGAAGACAAGGGAAAGGGCATTTCTGTTACCTCTCCTGAGTTAGCCTCTTCCTCCTGGGTCTCTCCTGGTTTCACCTGGGTTGTGGTAAGTAATGGCGCTGAAGGCAAGGAAAATACTGAGTCAGAAACACTCTTACCAAGTCAGGGATACTTATCAAAGTATGGGAAAAGTATCTGAAAACCTTCATTAGTATTGTACCCTTAATTTTTTCTTAAAAGTATCCTTTACACAAAGAAGAATCTGTTGTCTTTTCTCCTCCCCCCAGCTGAATCAGATTAAGGGAGTGTTGAAATTTGAAAGGCATAATGAGTGTCATTTTTAAAGAGTCCTCATTTTTTTTTAAGTACAGAAATATTTAGGCTTTATAGGCCAGTAATCAATTCAAAACAGTTCAGGATAGAGAGGATGTGACTTACAGATGAAGTATGATCAACTATGTTAGTAATTATTGAAACTAGGTGATGGGTACATAGGGTTTAATTACTGCCTATAAAAATTCTATCATGAAAAGTAACATTCATTTCTCCTACAGTAACTGGGAAGAAACAAGTGGGAATTTTCTGGTAAAATGAAACCTTTCTACATAATGATCCAGGTTATATGAGTATATCCATTTGTCAAAAATGTATTGCTAGGAACCAGATACCAGTAGCTCATGCCTGTAATCGTAGCTACTCCAGAGGCTGAGATCTGAGAGTTGTGGTTCAAAGCCAGCCCAGGTAGGAAAATTGAGAGACTCTTATCTCCAACTAATTACAAAAAAGAAAGAAAGACAGAGAGAGAAAGCAAGGCAGAAGCACAGCTGTGATTCAGGTGGTAGAATATTAGCGCAGAGCACAAAAGCTTAGGGACAAGGCCCAGTGCTATGGACCTGAACAAAGTTCAAGCCAGTGTTCAAGCCCTAGCACCAGCATGGGAAAAAAAAAAAAAAAGTATTGATGGCATGTACCTTAATGGGCCTCACATGCACAAAACTCAGTTCAATCACCAGCAACACACACAATCACAAACACACACAGATATAGAGGGAAAAAAATAACATATATATAGTTAAACATATAATACTTATTCAGCCCCAAAATAATGAAATCCTTCCATTTTGGGTCACTTTACAGCTTATAGCTTAAAGAAATAAGGCTTAGGGGCTGGGATATGGCTCAGTGGTAGAGTGCTTGCCTAGTATCATCAAGCCTGGGTTTGATTCCTCAGGCACTGTGTCTCAAGTGGTAGAGCTCTAGCCTTGAGCACAGAAAAACTCAGGGACAGAGCCCAGGCCCTGAGTTCAAGCCTCAAGACAGGAAAAAGAAAGGGAGAGGGGGGAGAGAGGGGAGGAGAGAGAGAGAGGGAGGGAGAGCAGGAGGATAGGGGAAAGGGAGAGGGAGGGAGAGGTTGAGGAAGGGAGAGAGGAAGAGAGGGGGAGAGGGAGGGAGAAAGATAGGAAGAGGGAGAGGGGGGTGGGAGAGAGAGAGAGAGAGAAATAAGGCTTAGAGGGGCTCGATGAACGTAGTTAAAATAAAGTCTCAGAACTTTTGAGACTCTTACTTTTCCACTTAACTGACCTCCCAAAGCTGCAATTCATCAGTAAAATGTTAACGATGGTACTTCTCCACAAGATTGAGGGAGGAACTAAACGACATAATCTATGTAGTGCACAGTACCCGGTAAGTCCTCAACAAATGCTGTTTATTGTGTATTCATTATTCTTTTACGAAGACATCAGCAGAGGGGAAAGCTTTCTTTTCTAGTCAGAATCCCTTCACGTTCCTAATGAGAAAACACGCAGCCACAGAGATGTGACTTTTCTAGATTCACGTGCCAAGTCCATGGCGACCTACTCAGATTACCATCAAAACAAAAACAAGAAAACCCACGGTCTCCAAAGTTGCCCACTTTCACGTTCCTGACCACCCTCTTTCCACAGGTCTTGCTAACCTGTGAGCTCCTGGATGGTGACACGGTCCAAGATCTTGAAGCTCGTGTCCAATTTCAGGGGCTGGCTACAGCGCTGACACACGAAGCTCACCTGCATGGTGCTGCTGGACGTCTTAGACCCCTCCATCCCTGTGGCAGTGGAGAGAAGGCGGAGTTAGGGAGAATGGGCGCCCCCGAAGCTTCTGCACTGGGTCATCACCACCCGCCTTAGCGGGTTGGGAGTGAGGGGAATTCAGGCTCTCGCCGTTCCCTCTGGGCGCGGTGCGATAACCAGGTGGACCTGCTTCCGGACAGCTTCTGGCAAAGGCCGCTTAGACGTGAGGGTCAGAGAATAGGCTGCAACAGGGGCCGTAAAGGTTGGGTTCCCGGGCTTCCTTCTAAGGTCCCGATTCAGCCCCCAACGATCTTTACCTCGGGACCTGGGAGTCCGCCCCCTCAGGACCTCTCTATCGCGGGGGAAACTGCGGCTTCGGGCTGGCCCCAAACACGGCCTCCAGAAATCCCATCGCCCAGCCTGTGGGTACTTCCCGGTCCGCCAACAGAAGACTTCCGCCCGTGACCGGATGTGACATCACGACGAGCCGGCACCGGACGACAGGAAGGTGGGCCCTGGTGCACCGGATGCTGCCCCCGCAGGACGTGCTTGGAAATGCAGAAGATGTTGGGGAGGGGCGGGGCGGGGCGGGGCGGTGTCTTCAATTTGCGTGGGGAAGAGAAAGCCCAGGGAAAAAGGGAAGAGGAGAGCCGCTGTTCTCTCCTTTAGTGGGGTTACAACAGATTTATCTGGTAAAAATGACCCCAGATGGCGTCACTTTTATTCTTGCTTCAGTGTCGGTTTTTAAAATAAGTTTTCCGTAGTGCCTGGATGTTTTAAATGTTTCTGAGGGAATACAGCATTGTTGAGGACTTACCGGGTACTATGCATTACATAGGTTATGTCGCAACCCCTGTGGAGAGGTACCATCGTTAATATTATTTTACTGATGAATTGCAGCTTAGCCTATATATTTTTTAAAATAAAATTTCCATTTACTTTTTTCAAATAGCTTCATCAAGATATAAATGACACACTATAACATTTTTCACCTATTTAAAGTATATAATTAAGTGACTTTAGCATAGTCATAGAATTATGCAGTTATCAACACACTTTTAGAACATTTTCATTGTTCCTCTAAAATACTTTGTGCCCAAGTTGTCTTCAGAGGAAACATGATTCTGATGACATATTTATTATGGATTTCTGGCCTTCAGAAATATAAGACAATAGGGCTGGGGATGTGGCTTAGTGATAGAGTGCTTACCTAGCATACATGAAGCCCAGGGTTCACTTCCTCAGTATCACATAAACAGAAAAGGCCAGAAGTAGTACTGTGGCTCAAGCACATAGAGGCTCAGGAACAGTGCCCAGGGCCTGAGTTCAAGCCCCACAACCAGAAAAAAAAAATTTTTTTTTAGAAGAAAAGAAAGAAATATAAGACAATATAAGACAATAAACTAACTTTGTACTTGGCTACTTAGTTTTTGATACTTTGTTATAGCAGCCCTAGAAAATTAATAATAGGTATGGTGTGAATAAAAGCGGGCAATATGATAAAGGATAAGCCAGGTAAGTAGAACCACTTCAACTGGGGAATTCAGAAAGTCCTCTGATGTCTAGCAAACTACTACAAGAAGTAAGTGTGGAAGAGACTATCTTTCTGTTTTTTTGTTTTGTTATTGTCAGTCGTGGAGTTTGAACTCTGGGCCTAGGTGCTGTCCCTCAGCTCTTCAGCTCAAGGTGAACACTCTACTAATTACAACCAACAACAACAACAACAAAAAGGAATTTCACAGACTTTCTTGCTTTGAACCTCTATCCTCAGATCTCTGCCTTCTGAGTAGCTAGGATTATAGGCATGAGGCACCAGTGCCCCAGGCTCTTTCTGTATTTTTTTTTTTTTTTGGTCTGGTTGTGGGGCCTGAACTTTGGGCCTGGTCGCTGTCCCTCAGCTCTTCAGCTCAAGGCTAGCACTCTACCACTTGAGCCACAGCGCCACTTCCGGCTTTTTTTCTTATGTGGTGCTGAGGAATTGAACCCAAGGCCTCAGGCATGCAAGGCAAGCGCTCTACCACTGAGCCACCTTCCCAGCCCCATCTTTCTGTGTTTTTTAAAAGGCAATTTACTTAAATGTAGAATATGTAGAGATACTTGGGATGCTGAGTTGGGAGGATTGTGAGTTTGAGATCAGTCTGGGCTACATAGTAAAGACTTTTTTTTCTATTTTTATTTTAATCTCTCTCTTTTTTTTTTTTTTTGGTTGGTCGTGGGGCCTGAACTCTGGCCCTGGCACTGTCCCTTAGCTCTTCAGCTGTAGACTAGCACTCTACTACTTGAGCCTCAGCCCCACTCCAGCTTTTTCTGCTTATGTGGTGCTGAGCAATCAAACTGAGGGCCATATGAATGCGAGGCAAGCACTCTACCACTAAGCCACCTTCCCAGCCCCTCACTTTTTTTTAAATTTTTATTTTTAGTGAACATACTGTACAGAGGGGTTACAATTACATGGGCAAGATAATGAGTACATTTCTTATCAAGCATTGCAGCCTCCTCCTTTGTTTACCCTTCACATCCCTTCCCAGCCTCCCCCAATCCCCCCACAAGCCCCTCACTTTTAAAATACAATTTTGTTGTTATAATTAAGGTGTTGAGCAAAGGAGTATGATACCAGTCTGGGTATCAGGGAGACTCTTTTATAAATGATAGAATAGAGAAAAGCATAGAGATCACAGGTATAGAATTTAATGAATTGACAAAATAAATTTACCTGTGTAACTAGCATCAACTCCTCTCCCTTAAAACCCCTATCAGTTGAAATTCAGCCCAAGAATAAAGAATATCCTCATTTCTGACTAGACTATTTGAACTGGTTTTAAACTTCATTTAAATGGACTCATGCATTATGTACTCTTGTTTCTAGTTCCTTTCACTTTGTATTGCCTTCTTGAAATACATACATTTTATTTGTGTAGTTTTACTTTATCAGTTGTCAACATATTGTTAGTATTCCATTCCACTATATTAAGAGGTAGATCTATTCTTTTGAGAGACATTTGGGTAGTTTCCAGTTAGGGTTATTGTGAATAACATTGATGTGAGCATTTTTGTTCATGTGTTTTGGTGAATAAATTTATTCATGTCTATTTGGTACATCCTAAAGTTGAGATTTCTGGGTCATATGTATGTGCACGCATATATTTGTATATGTGTATGTAACTTGAATAGATGGAACCATGTCTGTGGTAGAGATTGCAAAGGATAATTTTTGTTGCTTCATGGAGAATACCATAGTAGGGAGTGGCAAGAGTGGAAATGGAGAGCCCAGATAGGGTTCTGTTGTAAAAGTCTTAGAGAAGGATGACAGTGGCTTTGAATAGAATGATAAATGAGGAGATAGACAAAAGCATACGTATACATCTTCTGGGAAATGAGAAAGTGTGACAGCCATTTGTAGTGTGTTTTAAGAAAACTTGTAGGTGCTTGAGCAGTATTGTGCACTCACAATAATTATGGACATGAATTCAAGGTAAGAGCAGTCATTGGTGACCATATGCCATTTGTAAAACCTCTAAAATGAATAGTGCTTATTAAATATAGTGGCACTTACCATTGTTCACTAAACAAATTGGTGGAGTATTATATACAATGTTTAGATAGATGAGAAAGAATGTGTGTCTGTCTTCTTACACTTTGCTTGAAAATAAAAACTTTTTCTTTTTTTTTTTGTAGGGCTTGAACTTTGGGCCTGGGTGCTTTCCCCCGAGCTCTTCAGCTCAAGGTTAGCGCTCTAGTGCTCTACCACTTGAACCACAGTGCCACTTCCAGCTTTTTCTGTGTATGTGGTACTGAAGAATTGATCTCAGGGCTTTATACATGCTAGGCCACATTCCCAGCCCTCAAAGTGTTTTTGAACAAACATATGTATATATATATATATATATATATATGTATATGCATTTATGTATGTGCATATGTATTTTGGGGGCTACTGGGGTTTTAGCTCAGGGTATCCCTGAACTTGTTTACTTGTTTGTTTGGTACTCTACTGTCATGGCTATTTGGAGTTGAAGTCTTTTTTTTGGCCAGTTCTGGGACTTGAACTCAGGACTTGGGCACTGTCCCTGAGCTTCTTTTGCTCAAGGCTAACACTACCACTTCAGCCACAGTGCCACTTCTAGCTGTTTCTGAATATGTGGTACTGAGGAATCGAACCCAGGGCTTCATGCATGCTAGGCAAGCACCCTACCACTTAGCCACATTCCTAGCCTGGAGCTGAAGTCTTATGCACGCATGGCTCCTGCCTGTAATTCTAGCTACTCGGAAGACTCAGATGTGATGATTGAGGTTGGAAGCCAGCCTAGAGAGGAAACTCCTTGAGACTTTTCCCCCCCAGTCCTGCGGCTTGAACTCAGTGCCTGGGCATAGTCTCTGAGCTTCTTTAGCTCAAAACTAGTGTAAGCATTATGCCCACCTTTGGTTCTGAGCTCCACCCAGACCTGAGCCCCTCCCGGCCCTGGAGTTCCCACCATACAGCTGGCCCCTTCCTCTCTGCACCCAGACCCACCTGAACTCCCAACTACCTCACCTCCTACCTTTCAGACCCTGCTGCCTTGTGTTCTCTCCCCGGTGAAAATAGCTCTTCTAATAAACTTTGTAATAATCTTTCTCCTGTGCCTGCCTGCTTCTGTGTAGTCCCCTGGGATGGAAATGATGGATGCTTCCAGTTAATACTTTACCACTAGAGCCACAGTACTACTTTCAGCTTTTTCTGTTTATGTGGTATTAAGGAATGGAACCCAGGGCTTCACACATGCTTATCTACCACTAAGCCACACTCCCAGCCCCTCTTTGAGACTCATCTCCAATACTCAAAAAATCTGGAAGTGGTGCTTCAGCTCAAGTGGTAGAGTGCTGGCCTTGAACAAAAGAAGCTCAAGGACAGGGCCCAGGCCTGGAATTCAAGCCCTAAGACAAGCAGAAAAAACAAAAACACAAAGTGCAGGGCTCAGTGGTAGAGTGCTTGTCTCGCATGCATGAGACCCTGGATTTAATTCCTTAGCACCATAGAAACAGAAAAGGCAGGAAGTGGCACTGTGGCTCAAGTGGTAGAGCACTAGCCTTGAGCTGAAGAGCTGAGGGATAGCACCCAGGCCTAGAGTTCAAGCCCCACGACCGGGAGAAAACAAAACAAAACAAAACACCAAAATACACACACACACACAAACAAAACAAAAAGAACACCAAGTGCCAGTGGCTCATGCCTGTAATCCTAGCTACTCAGGAGCCTGAGATCTGAGGCTCAAGGTTCCAAGCCAACGAGAGCAAGAAAGTTGCTAAGACTTTTATCTCCAATTAATGACCAAAAAGCCAAAAATGGTCCTGTGGCTCCAAGTGACAGAGTACTAACCTTGAACACAAAATCTCAGGGACAGTGTCCAGACTCTTAAGTTCAAGCCTTAGGAACAGCACACACACACAGACACACACATACTCACACACAACTTAGCAAGACAGGAGACTATGAAAAAGGTTTATTAGGACACTGGTCAAGACAGACAGGGTAGCTAGCTAGCTAAGAGGCACAGCAATGTGAAAACAGAGTTGGGAGCCGGGTTCTATGTGTTTGGTTAGGTTACTTTGGATTAGTTATTGCATTTTGTGGAACTGATTGACTGGCTGTCTCTTTCTTGCACCATGATTTAAATGTTCACATGAGCAGAATAGCTAGAACCCTTAGTTTCCCAGTGTTCCATCTGGCACATTTCCTTGGTCCTGACCCACTTCCTCATTCCATCTGGATCTTATTATTTGTCTGCCATTTTACCTTAAGTGAGGCCTCCTCCAGATTTCTCATTTGGGACATGCTTCCCGTCTAGGCTTTTGCTAGTTATTTTGGAGCTGAGAACCTCAAGGGCTGGATTTGGGCCCTGATCCTCTGTATCTGAGCTTCCTAAGTAGCTAAGATTAAAGGCATGAGTCAACAATGCCCAGCTTCCATATTCTATTAAACACAAACTCAACTTATTTCTAGTCTCTGGGACAATGCTGTTCTGGAGCCTAGCAGTCGCCCAGTTCATTTTACTGAATGGAATAGACAATGAGATATATGAATTGGTGAGCAAAGTGATACCATTTCGAACTTCCTTTGGGGGAAATGAACAGTTTTTGTCCTAGTGAGAAGATCCGGGTTCTGGTCCAGAATTTGTGGTAAACACCCTGTTGTTTTGGGCAAAGGGCATAAATTTGCCCTTCAGTTTATCTCTGAGGTCAGAAGGTTTATGAAAAGTGGTGCAGAACTCTTCCCGGGGATGCCTGATACAGCGAAATTTGTTTTCTGTTTGGCTCTAGCTTAAACACTTAGGCCTCGGCCCAAGGAAGAAGGAAGCGGGAGGCGCACTCTAGATCCCAGAACTCAGCACTCAGACCGCCAGCTTCCTCCGGCCTACGTCACTAGGATGCGACAGCAAGGCCTGTTCCAGCTGCGGCTCAGATACCTTCCAAGCAGGCGAGTTCCGGGCTTACAAAAGACCCTATAGTTCCTAAGTCTCAGACGACTGCTCTCAGCAACTCCCATCCCCCAGTGCCCCCCTTTCATTTCACCTCTACCCGAGCACAGACACCTGGGGGGGGGAGGTGTCATGAGCCCCTCCCGGAGCGGCCAGGGCAAAGCTTCAGCGCGGCTGCGCAGAGCACGTGCGCATCTTCTCAGGAGCCCCGGCCATTGGCTGTGACGCAACTTCCGGCGTGAGCGGCGAAAGCCGGGAGGGCGAGCACGGGAGGGAGCAGGCAGCAGGCAGCAGGCAGACCGGCGGGCGGACGGACGGGCGGCACGGAGGGAAGGAACGAGCAAGCAGTGAGAAAGCCAGCGAGGGCGGCCGGGTCCCGAGGGAAGCCGAGATTCCTCAGGTCCCTCTGGCCCCCTCCCCGGAGCCCACAACGCCTCCGGTCTCCAGCGGAGCGGACACGGCCCGGTCCGGCCATGGCCTCGTTGCTGAAGGTGGATCAGGAAGTGAAGCTCAAGGTAGCGGCACCCGTCCATGCCTTCTTTATCCCTCGCTTCGAACCTCCTCAGCAGTCTGAGCGGCTCCTCACACCCCATGGCGTCTTTGTTTCCCTGGGGACACCGGCTTTGAGCTTCCACTCGGCTCAGCCCAGCCCCCCACTCCCGGGGACCGCATTGAAAGGACGATGTATAGTGGCTTTCCGTACTATATGGCTGGTAATGGGCGAGCCTAAGGGAGACCTTTGCGGACACGTGTAGGGCTCCGTGCTTTAGGCTTGTGACAGCTGGAACGCTCCCAGCCCAGAGACATCCCCGCCCCTGAATGCTACCGCTGACCCTGCTCTTGGAGGCTGGCCTGCTTCGTATGATAGGCGAGGTCTGGGTGGGAGATGGCACGTTTGTGAGCTCACATCCCCCAGCCTTTATCTGCTTATCAGATTCAAACAGTTTCAAACACAGGGAGGTAGGGAAGAAGGAGGGAGCAGAGAGGAGACAGCCGGGTGCTACCTTCAAGCCCCAACTTTCCCTCTCCTGAGATGGAGAAATGGGTCCTCAAAAAAATAAAATATTTTAAGTCTGGGGGCCTCTCACCTTCTCATTATAATTTCAAGGTGAGGGAAAATAGCTGATTCCAGTGTTCCCCATCCTTGCCCTTGCTTCTGTTCTGTACTCCATTTCTCTTATTGAAGCATCATTCTCTTGTTGATTTTAGGTTGATTCTTTCAGAGAGCGAATCACAAGTGAGGTAAGTGCAGTAAGTAGAAAAATGAGTGTTAATTGTGTTTTCTGAAAAGATGATTATACCGAGAATCTGCCCCACAGTTATTAATTTAGGTATATCTTCTCTCATCTAGGCGGAAGACTTGGTGGCAAATTTTTTCCCAAAGAAATTGTTAGAACTTGATAGTTTTTTGAAGGTGAGAGATATTTTTTCTAAATTGCTTTTTTTTTTTTTTTTTGTCTCTAGTCTTCCTGGAAAATGCAGTAAATTGTATTTTATTTTGTACTGTAAAGCACCCTCATTGCTTTCCCCTCAAATGGAGTACTACTTTGTTCATATTGAAAAAAACTAATGTTTTGGGGTGGGTATCTCTTTCAGGAACCAATCCTAAACATCCATGACCTAACTCAGATCCACTCAGACATGAATCTCCCTGTCCCTGACCCCATTCTTCTCACCAATAGCCACGATGGCCTGGATGGTGTAAGTGTCTTACATTTTCATGCTCTTAAGCAGTAGGTTCTCCTATTTCCTAGTGTCTTTGAGGGTTTACAGAGGGGAAAATGGGATTTTGACGTGGGGATGAATATTCCTGAGAATTTATAGATTTGATGATTCTAGTATACTTTTATACCCTAATTGCTTCTTTAATATCTAGATGAACACATGTTAATGCTTTCAGTGTTAAGTTTGAGTTTCAAATAAGGCTAAATCAACTATAGGTTCCCTGCCATCCCTGCCATGGTTCTCAGCAAGAATTTCTTCTTTTATTTGTGTGTGTGTGTATTTATGTATATGTATGTATGTATGCGTGTGTGTATGTGTGTGTATGCATGTGTGCATGCATAAAGAAATTCTCTTTTTTAGCATATATTCATTGTTCTTACTCTTTTCACTGCTCTGAGTCTTGTATGATAAGAACTTGCTCTTTCTATATAACTGCAGTCCCTATCTTTTCTGTGCTCTCTTAAGAACTAGAACTTATCAGTTACCTGTTCACCTTCTTATATAACATTAATGAAACTGTACTTTTTTTTTTTTTAAACCAGTCCTGTTTCTTTTGCTTAAGGCAGCACTATACCACTTGAGCCACAGCGCCAATTCCGACTTTTCCTGCTTATATGGTACTGAGGAATTGAACCCAGGGCTTCATGCATGCTAGGCAAACACTCTACCACTAAGCCACATTCCCAGCCCCTGTACTTCTCTTTGTGTTAAGGCAGGAAATGTCTTGTCTCTTGCATTCTCAACCACAGTATTGGTTGTACACATAGCAAGTGCTGATTACATGTTTGTTGATTGATAGTATGCTTATTTATAGAGCCAAAAATTTGCACATATTTCCTTTATTATTCTTATTTTTGCTTTTGTTGCTTTTTCCTTTTTTTTTTTTTTTTTTTTTTGGCGGTCACAGGGCTTGAACTCTGGGCCTGGGTACTGTCCTTCAACTCTTCAGCTCAAAGCTAGCACTCTACCACTTGAGATACAGTACCACTTCCGGCTTTTTCTGTTTATGTGGTGCTGAGGAATTGAACCCAGGGCCTCATACATGGGAGGCAAGCACTCTACCACTTAGCTTTCCCAGCCCCATTCTAGTTTTTCTTTTTTGGCAATAATATCCTCTATGTCCCTCAATTGCACTTTTTTTGAGGCTCTCCTGGGGCTTGAACTCAGGGCATAGGCACTGACTTTGAACTTTTTGACTCAAAGCTATTACCTTTTTTTTTTTCCTGTTTTTAAAAAATTTATGTGGTACCAAAAATTGAACCCAGTGCCTTCCTCATGCAGACACTGTACTAAGTCACATTCCCAGCCCAGATAGCACTCTTATCACTTGAGCCATGACTCTACTTCGAGAATATTGGTGTTTAGTGACAGGAGTCTCATGGATTTTCCTGTTTAGACTGGCTTTGAACCTCAGATCAGATCTCAGTCTTTTGAGTAGCTAGGATTATAGGCACAAGCCACTTGTGCCTGGCTTTCAATTTTTTTTTCTTTTCTTTTTTTTTTTTTTTTTGTCAGACATGGGGCATGAACTCAAGGTCTGGGTGCTATCCCTGAGTTATTCTGCTCAAGGCTAGCTAGCACTGTAGCACTTTGAGCTACATACCACTTCTGGTTTTCTGGAGATTAATTGGAGATAAGATTCTCAGGGTCTTTCCTGCCAGGGCTGGCTTTGAACTGCAATCCTCAGATCTCATCCTCTTAAGTAGCTAGGATTTACTCAATTGCGTTAATGTATTGTATTTCTTTCAAGTTGTCCTTCCTAACTAGAGTATACATTTCTTTGGGTAAGAACTTTTCTCTAAAGTTTTATATATAATGACAACCTATAGGGTTGAGGAAAAGATTAAACTTGTTTGAAGGTTATCTTTTAATGGGCAAGTAAGTGTTGAAGACAATCTAAATCATCCTCTTTGTATCTTTAGCCCACTTATAAGAAACGAAGGTTGGATGAATGTGAAGAGGCCTTCCAAGGTAAGAGCTGTTCCTACTTTATACTTATCTGATCCTACCAGACAAACCAAGTTCTGGTGTTCTACTGGCCGGGAAGCAAGATCTGATTTTATATCTCCAAGTCAACACCCACAAGTTCTCCAAATATAGTCATTATCTAGCACTCTACAGAGAGGATTTTAATTTAACTCTGAACTGTCAAAGGAGAATGATTGGAGGTAGAGACCACACATATCCCAGGTTTTTCTCAGAAGTCACAGTTTGATGTTTTCCCTTTTCATAGCTGTTGCTGTGTTAAATCTTTATATGTTTTGTAGTGTCCTATTCTTAAGCCTTTTAGTGTAAGCAATTGACCCATAAACCTATCTCTCTTTTTTAAAAAATGGTGACAGTAGTGACATGTAGGATTGTGACAGATAAAAGGCAGCAATGGAGCATCTCATGGATCTGAGGAAGAAGATAATAAGGTGGAGGGTTCTCTGGGCTTCCTCCCACTCTAATCATTTGATCTTCACATCTCTGCCAGGAACCAAGGTGTTTGTGATGCCCAATGGGATGCTAAAGAGCAACCAGCAGCTGGTGGACATTATTGAGAAAGTAAAACCTGAGATCCGGCTGCTGATTGAGAAATGTAACACGGTGAGACGGGATAGTAACCTGTGGGTTGGCCTCAGCTAGCTTTCCTGGAACTATGGAACATGATGGACTGGGATATTTGTCTAGTATGTGGAAGGCTCTAGGTCATTCCTAGCACTAAAGAGGGGAAAGGAAGGAGAGAAGAGAAAGAAGAAAAAGGAAAGATAAGAGATGGATGAGGGGCTGGAGGTGAGGTTGCCAGGCTAGGTATGGCTGTGGCACCATGACTCATACATTCTTCTTGCCCTCCAGGTCAAAATGTGGGTACAGCTCTTGATTCCCAGGATAGAAGATGGGAACAACTTTGGGGTATCTATTCAGGTAATGTGCTTGCATTACCAGCTGGGGAGAACAGTTTGAGATTTGGGAGATCCCCTGCTTGTCTGTGTTCCCTTTCTCTTTGGGGAAACTTTGGCTTTTGACTCGTGTGTTTTTTCTCCCAGGAAGAAACAGTTGCAGAGCTAAGAACTGTTGAGAGTGAAGCTGCATCTTATCTGGACCAGATTTCTAGGTAGGTCTGCTTAGGACTGACCCAGGAATTGAGAATGGTGAGAAGGTCATCATGGCCAGGGTCTTCAGCTATTGTCTTTTTTCTCTACTTTCAGATATTATATTACAAGAGCCAAATTGGTTTCTAAAATAGCTAAATATCCCCATGTGGTAAGTAAGGGTTTTGTGGCCTGAAGGTGGATTAAAGACCATTATGGGGAATGTCCTATCTGCACAGTTAGGCCTTGGGAACTAGCCTTTTCCTCTGCCACACACAGGAGGACTATCGCCGTACAGTGACAGAGATTGATGAAAAAGAATACATCAGCCTTCGGCTCATCATATCAGAGCTGAGGAATCAGTATGTGAGTATTCTTGATTCTGCTCAGTTACACTTTATTTCTGTTGAGAATTTTGGGAAAAAAAAAAAAAGCGAAAAACTGGAGTTGAGAGGTAGAAGGAGTAGAAAGGCACAAGGACATAAATCACAGTTACTTAGGAGGCTGAAACAGGAAGATTGAGAGTTTGAAGTCAGTCTGGGAAACTTTTTTTCTTTTTTTTCTTTTTGCTTATGTGGTGCTGAGGAATCGAACCCAGGGCCTCAGGCATGCAAGGCAAGCACTCTACCACTGAGCCACCTTCCCAGCCCAGTCTGGGAAACTTAATAAAGAGATCTCCACCTAAAAAAAAAAGTAGAGCACATTCTACTCTTTAACCAGATGCTGAGAAATTTGAAATCATTGGGGGGCCTGCATGTCTGCCTTCTGTTCTCTTTCCCTTTTCTTCTCTACACAAGTGGCATTAGAATTGAGGGCTTCACACTCACTAGGCAGGTGCTTTACCCCCCTAGATTGCTTGCTTGGGCCAATCTGTGATTCTCCTGTTTGTACTTCTTTAAGTTGTAGAGGTAGCAGGCATACCACTATGCACAGCCATTGTGTTTCCTCTGTAGCTGGGATGATAGGACCACCAGGCCTAGATGGGAGTCTCTTGAAGTGTTTTTTTGCACTGACTGGCCTTGAACTGTGATCTCCCAATCACTGCTTCATAAGTTACTGGGATTATAGTTTTGAGTTGCCATGCCTGGCTTTTTTCTTTTCTTTTACACTCTCTTTCTCCTGGCTTTTTTTCTTTTTTTTTTGGGTCCAGTCGTGGGGCCTGAACTCTGGGCCTGGGCGCTGTCCCTCAGCTCTTCAGCTCAAGGCTAGCGCTCCACCACTTGAGCCACAGCACCACTTCTGGCTTTTTTCCTTTTGCTTATGTGGTGCTGAGGAATCAAACCCAGTGCCTCAGGCATGCAAGGCAAGCGCTCTACCACTGAGCCAACTTCCCAGCCCCTCTCCTGGCTTTTTTTCTTTTCTCTCTCTACACAGACACACACATACAGACACAGACACACACATACAGACACAGACACACACATACAGACACAGACACACACATACAGACACAGACACACACACACACATACACACACACACACACACACACACACACACACACACACACACACGAGTTCTGGGGCTTGAACTCCGGGCCTAGGCACCATTCCTGGGCTTCTTTTGCTCAAGGCTAGCACTTTACTACTTGAGACACAGCATCATGTCCAGTTTTTTCTGTTTATGTGGTACTGAGGAATTGAACCCAGGATTTCATGCTTGCTAGGCAAGCACTCTACCACTAAGCCACATTTCCAGCCCGGTCTATTTTCTTAGTGGGTAGAGGATATATACAAAATATTGTGGGTTTTTCCAGACACTAGTGGCTTATGCCTGTAACCCCAGCTACTCAGAAGGCTTAAGCCTGAGGATCAAAGGTTCAAAGCCAGCCTGGGCAGGAAAGTCATTGGGACTCTTATCTCCAATAAGCTACTTAGGAAGAGCCAGAAGTGGCACTATGGCACAAGTCGTAGAGTGCAAACACTGAGCAAAAGAAACTCAGGGATAATACCCAGGCCCTGAGTTCAAGCCCCAGTACCAACACAAAAACAAATATATAGCAGGTTTTAGTCAGAAGACTTAGTAGGTTTGAAACCAAACTTAACTGTAATGTGTAGCTTTGACCTTGTTCAAGCTCAGATTTCAAGTTTTTCTCTCTGAAATAGAGTTTGAATTCTGAGTACAACACAAAAAGGGATTTAAAATAAGTAAGCTAAACCAGGTGCTGGTGGCTCATGTCTGTAATCCCAGCTACTCAGGAGGCTGAGAACAGAGAATCACAGTTCAAAGCCAGCCTGGGAAGACTCTTATCTCCAATTAACCACCAGAAAACTGGAAGTGGTGCTGTGGCCCAAGTGATAGAGTGCTCACTTTCAGTTCAAGAGCTGAGGGACAGCGCCTAGGCCCAAAGTTCAAGCCCCATGATGGGGGGGGGGCTAGTACATGAAAGTTCTCAATTCTCAGTATGTTAAGTGCTAAGGGGTGTTAGACAACTGGGGCCTTAGCAATACCCAGTTGTACCCAGTTTAAGGGTTTAACAGAAGTAATGTAGCCATACTGTATATAGACTCAAGAGAGTGAGATTGAGACGATGTGAATAATTGCTTATGGATTAGTTGGGGGATGGTGTCTTCATTTTCATAGTAAAATTGAACAGATATGTGATTTCCTGATCCTTTTTCTCCCAGGTAACTCTACATGACATGATCCTGAAAAACATTGAGAAGATCAAACGGCCCCGGAGCAGTAATGCAGAGACACTGTACTGAGGCCAGGGCCAGGGCCAGGGCCAGGGGACTCTGTGAGTCTGGCTCAAGACCGACATTGCCTTGGTTTGTTACATGACTATCGTGATGGGGAAACTGGCTGGAAATAGTAATCACACCTCTCTGTTTTTAGTTAGAGTCTAATGAAACTCTCATCTAGTTCTGTGATGTGTTACCTCTTTTTTCAGGCCTCAGGAACTCTGTCTTCTTCCCTAATACCCCATACTCAGCCTGCCCTGATTTCTGGAGAATTCCAGATTTGTGTGTGCAGGATATTGGCACAAGAATACTTGTGTTTTCTCTCTCCCCTTCTCTCCTCCTGTGTCTTAGGCTTTGTTTTTTCTTCCTTTTGATGATTGGTTGTTTAAAAGCTGAGGTTGCTATAGGGAAAGTGCTAGATGTTTTTTTTAGAAACTGGGGTGGTGGAGATGGGAGAGACATCTTGCTTCCTGTCAGGCTGTGTCTCTTGCTTCTGTATGGGACATTGGGTGGTCCTCCCTGCCCCATTTTTCCTGGTGATGACTTAGGGTTTCCTATCTATATTCCTCCTACCTTGAACCTGATCTAATAAGGAATATGTAAGGCCTTCAGCCATGTTCCTAATTGATTCTATAACTGGGGTTGTCCCAAACACATGTGTATACATATACACACATATGGATATGAGTATACATTTTCCCACTCCATTACCTAACCTATCCTCTTCCTTCACCACCACTCCCATCTGTCACACAGACAACTTTCAGCTGTCTTAATGTCATCCACCCAGGCAAAAGTCCTGGGCTTATCCTTCCTCCTGATATTGTAGCCACTTGGTGTCCACGGCAGGTTGAAGGAGAACCAAGAGCTGAGAAGCAGAGGACTGGGGAAGACCTTTTCCTCTGAGACTCAAGTTATTTTTGGTGTTATGTAAAAGCTGGTTCTCTGACTCCTGCTTGCTTTCTTCCAGGGTAGGTGTACATGGGGGTGAGGTGTCTGCAGCTGTGAGGTCCAGATGCTGCCGCTCCTGTTGGGCTTTCCCTTTGGGAAATATTTCTCTTATTTATAGTATTGTGCTTCCAGGGAAAGCAGTAATTAGTGTGTATATGTATGTGCATGCACATACACACGTGCACGCGTGTGTATATGTGTGTAAATATGAGCAGGTCCAAACTATAGAATTGCCTCTTGAATCTTCCAGAAATATCATTTATTGTTACAACTTTTATGTTAATCCTTCAGCTTTTTTATTCTCCCCCCTCTCAAGAGTTGATATCTGTAGTCAGCCTACCAGTGACTCAGTGTCTACTTCTGACTTTTACTCTGCCCCACATCTGTCTTCCACCCCTGATCATATTTCCACCCAGGATGCATCAGTTTTGCTCCCAGTATTCTGTAGAAAAGGAGTCTGGATGCTTTCTTCCCATGAATATGCTCAGTAACAAACCAATAGCATTTTAGTTGAGCGGAACCCCTCACCCACCCTCCAGCCCCAACTAAATCCCTTCCCTCCTCCCACCATGTGTTTCTCCATCTCCCTTTTGGTTTGATTGTTCTACTGCCCCCCTTCGCCCTACCACCCTTGGATCGTAATGTAAAATTCTTTTACAATGTCAAGAAATTATTAAAAATACAGGTACTTTGACCTCTTTCTAAAGCTGTAGACCCTGGTGCCATGCTGTGGTGGCTAGGGACATACTGATGTGTGCATGCATTCTTGGATACCACCTCCACAGACACATGTAGCCACCCAATTGTGTATTCTTTTGCCAAGTGAGCTGCCTCTTGTCTCTGGGATAAGGAAAGACAGGCTTCTGCTGAGAAAGAGGAGAGGGTGAGTCCTTTGGTTGTGTTCAGTCTGAACTAATAGGAAAGTTAGCTCTTCCAAACCTAAGCTGCCTTCTGTCCTCCCTGCACAAGATCCGTTTCTTCCTCAGTGATACCCATGAGCTGCCAGTAGAGGCTGCTGTAGTTCCATGTGAAGAATTACTTGTTCAACATGTACCCTACCTAGTCATTTTCTTTACCTTATATTAATTCTCCTCTCTGAATAATGTCTTAAATTTCTTGAGGAGACTCCTGGTTTTGGTTTCAAATTACTTGGAGGGCTGCCTAGGATTCTTATCTCCTCTGAAATAAAAGTTTCCTCAACTTTCTACCTTGCAAATAGCTTTCTGGTTTCCAATTAACCCCTCATTGTCTGCAAAGAGTTTTAAGGTCTCCAACGATGGAGGTATATCTGCTTTTTTGTTGCAAGAGATTAGTTACTAATAGCTAGCAACTTTTTACCCTTTGTTGGACTGTTACACACTTGATCTGCTCAGTCACATTTAATCTCTTAAGAATGTGTAGGGTAGTTATGCCTTCTCTATGAGTAAGGACTCAGGATTGAGTATCTCCCCTAAAGTCACATGGCTTAGAAATCTGGGATCAGTATACAACTTGAGTTCTAAGCCTAGGCTCTCAACTACTCATTTCTCACTGACTAGATTTTAAAAAAGCCTTAGACTCCAAAATCAAAGGTTTAGTTAGCTTCAGGTCACAGGCAGAACTGAGTGCTCACTGCTGAACCCAGCAGTGGATCCTAGAGCTGTTGAGGTGTAATGCCTGCTAAGAAGATTAATAAGGATCTATTAGTGTCTACTTATATACAGGACAGGATTGGGCATTAGAGATTTTTATTCCTGGGTTGAAGGTGAAGTTTAGTATCACTGGTCCAGATGGCTTCTCCTCTGGTCTAAATGAAGGAAGTGAATAGTTGGTACCAACTGCTACCAGTAGGAGTCATTACATGGGGCAAGGAAAGGACAGTACAGGTGGAAGTAATACCCTGAGCCAAATCACAGGACAGAAAATTGGAACAAAATTACATAAAGTCAGGGATTTCCTGTCCTACCCATAACGTAGAGCTTTCTCCATATCTCACCATCCTAATATAAGCCCTGCCTTGATGTCAGAACTGGAAAGAGCTGCTGGGAGTACTTGGCACCTCTTACCATGAATCTCAAGGTGATTCTCATATTCCTGGTACTGTCCTTTGTCATTTTTGTGCTGGCCTATGTTTTGCTGACTAATAAGTAAGGTGGTTTCAGCCCACCTTAACTGCCCCTCGGTATATCCCAGTGGCCAGCCAGATGTTTGCAGACCTCAGCCGAGAGGAGCTGACAGCTGTGATGGACTTTCTCACCAAAAAGCTAGGGCCAGGGCTAGTGGATGCAGCCTAGGCTTAGCCTTCTGACAACTGTTTTCTCAGTGGAGCTGCAGCTGCCCCCCAAGGCTGCAGCCTTGGCTCACCTGGACAGAAGGGGCCCCCCACCTGCTCAGGAAGCACTGCCATCGTCTTTGTTGGACAACACCAACCTAGTGTCAGTGAGCTGGTTGTGAGGCTGTTGCCTCACCACTCCTACGTGCAGGTTGTGACTGGCACATCATGGTGGTCCAGTGTTCTGTCACCAACACCCCCACAACTGAGAGTTGTTTGTCCAGATGTGGAAGGCATTTGAAAGAGGTGGAGCTACCCAGGGCACCCAGCTTCCTGGCTTCTGTTTTGAATTACAGTGGTTCCACTTGAACATCTTTGAGTGCCTTTTCTAGTGACTGACTTCTGCTCATGGAACTGGATTACCTGGGTACCCTTCTACCATAACATCTCAGGTTTTGGTCTTTTTCTTCATCCTCTGGGGGCTGGAACTACTGCTGGACCATACAGCCCTGGACCCTGCCCACCGGCTGTCCAAAGGTCTTCTACCTGGGTCACTAATATGCAGACGTGGGCCAGTTGGAAGAGGAGTTTAAAGCTGGCCATCTTAGCTGGGCACTGGTGGCTCATGCCTATAATCCTAGCTACTCAGGAGACTGAGATCTGAAGATCATGGTTCAAGCCAGTTCAGGCAAGAAAGTCCAATAAACCACTAAAAAACCAGAAGTAGTGCTGTGGCTCAAGTGGTAGAGTGCTTGCCTTGAGCTGAAGAGCTGAGGGACAGTGCCCGGGGCCAGAGTTTAAGCCCCACAACTGCCAAACAGAAAAAGAAGCGGGGGGGGGGGGGGGGGGGGGCGGGGCTGGCCATCCAGAAGTTGTTTAAAGTCCCTCTTCCCTCACCAAATAGGCTTGTCCCAAGTTACCCCAGGCCCTCTTCCCCCTCTTCAGTTCTTACCCCAGGGTTTTCAGTACAGTGTACAAGGTAACTTGGTGATATCCCCCTCTGGACTCCCCTTTGGCCATGGAGTTTGGTTCAAGAGCGAGTGAGAGGCCTGTGAAGTCAGTGTTCAGAGTGTCTGCAATGCCAATTCACCCAAGATGATAACTCGTTATAATGGATATAACTATCAACTTGGCCGGATCAGCTGAGGCTTGGTTCAGGGAATGGTGCCGCTATCAAGGCACAGTAGTGGACATCAGTGTATTAATTGGGACAGTCCAACTGCTTCTGGGAGCTATGTATTTGAGGAGGCCCAGGGACTACCACTTCAAAGGCACTGCAGTTATGTTGGGAGTCATTTCTTCGGTGGTTTGGCCAGCTCAGCCCTGGTGGTTGGGTCTGTGTCAGCTGTAGGCAATTATGACTACATTTGAGACTTTATATTGTACCCAAATGGGGTCCTTGAAGGTGGGTCCATGCCACAGGATATATCAACAGCTTTCCTGAGCAGAGGAGTGGAAAGCCTCCTCTTTGGGAACCCTATGGGAGAACAAATGCTGGGAGTGGTGTACATGCCTTCTACTTCAAGGTGGACCTGGATGTTGCAGGTGAGTGCTCTGGGTGAGGACTGAAGGTTGGGAGTGGGGTAGAGGGGAAGGAATCCCCCAGATCAAATCTCAGGGAAGAGGACATTCCAGCTTCAATGGTTTCCACAGGCAGGAGCAAGGACTCAGTGTGTGCAGCTGCAGCCGTGGCTTGGTATCTGGCCAAAGGTGAAAGAGGTTCTTGGGCCCAGCCCCCATACGAACCTTTAGTACTGGCTATAATTGTGAAACTAGTATGAATATAATGGGTGCCTGGCTGCCAGCTTTGGATGACACTGGGGAAGTTAGCCTAGTCAAAAGTGGATGGAGCTGAGCAATGTATTTTGTTTCTTGCTCGCTAATTCCGAACATGGGCAGTGGAGAGCAATCTGGCTCAAGAGTGTCTTGCCATGGGTGCACCTGGGGTCTTGGGGCAGTTACTCCAGTTAGTACTCCATTCATCCCTGAGAAGGGCTATCCTGTCAATACAATGAACCCTCCAATACAGTGAACCCTCCAATGTTGAGACAAGTGTGTAACAGGGCTTTCTCAAGTGGTGTTCAAGGCTCATAGAGCTGGTCCTGATACTGCCAAGGACAGAAAACAACCTTACCAAGGCCCAGACCTAGATCTAATAAAATTAGAAATCTACCAGGTGGTCTCCATTTTATAGTTCGGGAAACCAAGGCAGGCAGGGGTAGATGGGGCAGGAAGTTTCTGACCAATGTATAAGGCAGTGAAAAATCTTAACCTTGAGCATGAAGGCCATCATATGTGACCTGCAGGTGCTTGGAATTGTGGGGATGTAGGAGACAGAACTAAGAAAATAACATGATTGGAACAATCATTTTAGCTAGACCGCTCTCTGACATATTTGGACTATGACTTTTCCAGTTGGAAGTTTCTTCAGCATTTTTGGCATTCAAGAACCTTGTTTTGTGAAGTCAAATCAAGTAACATAGGGTACAAGTGTTTTCAGCTTGGGCTGCTGCTATGGGAACTGTGTGTCAGGTGGCTTGTGGCAAGTCACATTTAAAGAGACGAAAAGTCCTCACATTAAATGATCAAGTGCTGTGTTAGGTAATGTAGGCTGTGGGTCCATTAGAAGTCTATACAGGCTGGGAAGTTGGCTCAGTGGTAGAGCGCTTGCCTTGCATGCCTGAGGCCCTGGGTTCGATTCCTCAGCACCACATAAGCAAAAAGAAAAAAGCCGGAAGTGGTGCTGTGACTCAAGTGGTAGAGTGCTAGCCTTGAGCTGAAGAGCTGAGGGACAGTGCCCAGGCACAGAGTTCAGGCCCCACGACTGGACCCAAAAAAAAAAAAAAAAAAGAAGTCTATACAGTCCTCTTAGACAATCGGTAGATATTGGCAGTCTCTGGAAAGAGACTGTTGAGAAAGTATCAGAACATAGACTCTGAAGGGGGATTAGGTTTTTCCATTTAACTTCCCTGGACAAGTTCCTTTTGAGAATTATAAGAATGTGACTAATCACTTGTGATGTGCTTTTCTATTTATTGAGCAGAGCCATGAAACAACTTTCATCATGCCTGATGCAGAGATATCAGAGAAGCAAATGGACCAGGGTTTACTGAGTAGAGCAATATATAAATAGACTTTCTGTGATATACAGGAGCCTCTAGATGAATGTGGCTACTGAATTCTTTATTGTTTTTTGTTTGGGTTTTTTAGTTTTTCGTCAGTTGTGGGGTTTAAACTCTGAGCTCTTCAGTTCTAAGCTAATGCTCTGCCACTTGAGCCACAGCATCACTTCCGGTTTTTGAACAGTTTATTGGAGATAAAAGTCTCATGGGGACTTCTCTCCTCAGGCTGGTTTCAAACCATTATCCTCAGATCTCAGTCTCCTGAGTAGCTAGGATTACTGGTGTAGGCCACCAATGGCTTCTTTATTGTTTTGATTGTACTTTTGAGACTCTCGTTTTGCTATTGTAGCCTAAACTGGCCTTGAACTTTTTTTTTTTGCCAGTCATGGGGCCTGGGGCACTGTCCCTCAGCTCTTCAGCTCAAGGCTAGTGCTATACCACTGGAGCCACAGCGCCACTTCCGGCTTTTTCTGCTTATGTGGTGCTGAGGAATCAAACTGGGGCCTCATGCATGCGAGGCAAGCACTCTACTGCTGAGCCACCTTCCCAGCCTCTGGCCTTGAACTTTGGATCTTCCTGCCTCCACCTCTAGAGTGCTAGGATTATAGGCGTGCAGCACACAGTGCAGCAATACTTTGAGTGCTTTCAAATGTAGCTGGCATAACTGAGGACCTGAATTTTTAAATAGCCACATATGAGTCGTAGTTATTCTATTGGACAAGGTAAGTGGGAAGAAAATGGGCTAGCACCTGTCCAAAGTTCCCCTCACTGTGTGTTCTATGATGCCTTTGGTTAGGCTAGTGCCCCCTGGGCACCAGGTGAACCTTATTGGTGTGGATTTCTTCTCCTTTACTCTGCAGACATGGTGTTTAAACCTGGGCCAGCCCCCTAGAACCCATAGCATCAGTTGTTATGCCCACAACTGACATGGCAGGTCCTAGGAAGGGAGAACCTGACAAGTATTTTCCTGGGGAAGCCTTCTTGCCTGCTACCTTTACCTGGTTAGCAACCAGACTAAACCAGCCTAGGGTCACCAGCATGGATACCAAATCTGGATTCACAGCCCCCTTTATATACATGTACCCCTGGAGAGCAACAGGGAGAAGTTCCTTGCTAGGGGAGGTGAGGAGGGCCCTGGGCAGTGGGGGGTGGAAGGATCCCTCCCAGCCCTTTAAGAGCTCAACTCTACCCCTTGGCTTATCATTCATCCCTGAACCTTCCCTTAAATACAAGTAGATGAAGGGTGGGAAGTGTGTCATGCCTCCCCCTCCCCCATCCTGAACCCTGGGCCTGGGCGCGACTGACCCTCAGCTGTTCAGTTCAAGGCTAGCACTCTACCACTTGACCCATAGCTCCACTTCTGGCTTTTTTCTGCTTATGTGGTGCTGAGGAATCGAACCCAGGGCCTCATGCATGCAAGGCAAGCACTCTACCACTGAGTCACCTTCCAGCCCACGGGAAGTAGTTTTACAGAATCAAATCCATAGGACTTCAGGCTAGTAAAGGCTCTTGATGTTTTTCCAACACTGCCTAAAGTTCCTGGTCAGATACCAGCTTGTGACCCAGAGGAAGGAAGAAGAATCATAGCTGTAGTATCCATTACCAGAATGACATCAGAAGCTCCACTACAGCCTTTGCTGACTTCATCAGCAATGAAACCCTCTTAAGAGAGGTTGGTAGCTCAAAGGACAAAGGGGAGAAGAAATCCTCTATGCCTGGCATCTTGGCTGCCCAGGCTCGGACCATAGATGGGAGGGAATGATTTCCAGTTCTCAGAGTTGGGGGGCCAAGGAGTTCTCTGATGACCAATGCAGATCATCCTAGGTAAGCTCTAGAACCCTGTTCCCCGCCCCCAACCTGATTACACAGGCCATTTTGCATGTTTAGTAGAAATGAGGATTGGAGGAGGCAGAAACTAGGCTGAGGCTAGAGGTTGGGAATCATGCTGGAGGAGTAATTGTATCTTACCTCCAGAGTTCTCCAGCTCTGGTGGCTTGTGTTACAGCCAGCTTCCTGCACATTCCCCATGCCGAGGCTGTTCCCAACACAATGACCATGGTGAACAACCCTACAACTTCTTTGATGAGGTCCCTTCCATCTTCTCCCCAGGCAGCATCTACCTCCTTGAGAAGGGCCAGGATGCTGGGTGCTGCAGTGTCAATCCTGTGGCATGCACCCCCCCACCATCTAGCAGCCTGTGTTCCAGACTTGCCTCTTTCCTCTTACTAGGACTTCTAGGCCTGAGGGTATGGTGGGACATGGAGGCGTGTGGGATATGCCTCTCTTCCTCCTAGTTCCCTGTGTTTCTGTAACATGTGTTCCCCAGGCCTCCACTTTGAATGTTCCTTAGGAACAGCATCCCCCACACTAAATCTTAATGTATTCCTTTGATGAATTCTTAGTTTTGCTCATTTTTAAATTTAAACCACATGCTGGTGGCTCATGCTACCTAGCTACTCAGAAGGCTGAGATGTAAAGATTACAGTACAAAGCCAGCCAGGACAGAACAGTCCCTAGAGACTATTATCTCCAATTAACTAGTTAAAAAAAGTTAGACTGGAGGGAGGTGTGGTTCAAATGGCAGAGTGCCAGCCATAAGCCAAAAAACTGAGGTGAGATTACCAGGCCCTGAGGTCAAGTCCCAGGACCAACACAAAAACACATTTTTTTTGTTGTTGGTTGTGGGGCTCAAACCCTAGGCTTGGGCACTGTCCCTGAGCTCTTCAGCTCAAGGTGATCACTCTACCACTTGAGCCACAGTGCCACTTCCAGTTTCCTGGTAGTTAATTGGAGATAAGAATCTCACAAACTTTCCTGTCTGGGCTGGCCTTGAACTGTGATCCTCAGATCTCAGCCTCCTTAGTAGCTAGGATTACAGGTGTGAGCTACTGGTGGTGCCCGGCAATAACCACAATTTTTTTTGCCAGTCCTGGACACTGTCCCTGAGCTCCTTTTGCTCAAGGCTAGCACTCTACCACTTGAGCCACAGTGCCACTTCTGACTTTTTCTCTGATTAATTGGAGATAAGAGTCTCACAGACTTTCCTATCAGGGCTGGCTTTGAATTGTGATCCTCAGCTCTCAGCCTCCTGAGTAGCTAGGATTATAGGCATGAGCCATCAATGCCCAGCTTCACACACAAAGTAATGTTGAAATATTAAAAGTCATAAATCTACATCTCAAAAGAAGTTGGTGTTCACATTATAGAAGGCATTCCCTTATATATGTGCATACAAAAGAAATAGTTATATATAATTGATAATAAAAAGTCTTAGAATTTCAAGTGCCTGTATCCTATTTTTAAGTATCTAGAATTCCCATGGGATGGGGGATGGTAGTATTAAGGACTCTGGCCAAGGAAATTAGCACTGAAAAGATTGCAAGGGGGTAGATCTGGCCAAGAAAAGTTGCTTGGGAAACTTAAGGGGCTGGAGGTGGGTGTTCCTTGGGAAGAGAACAATAGTTCCCAGTTACAGGAAAAAGAACATCTGGCCCTGGAGAAGGGGTAGAGGGAGGGGGCCTTGGGGACAAAGTTGGGCTGAGGGGCTCAGATGCTGCTGGACAGACCCAGATGCTTGCTGGTATGGAATTTTGTATACAGACTGGGTTGCTTCCCTTCCCCCAACTCCAGCTCTCCCTAACTCCAACCCTGACCCAGAGAGCAGAGCCTAATTTGGAGCCTGGCGGACAAGGCCATGTAAGGTCTGAGGAAATCTCTGTGGCCTGCTCAGCCCCGCCTCCCAATGCTGGCACGCTCCTCCCCTGGCCGAATCCTCCCAGCTCCTTCCCACCCTAGCATAGGCATCAGTCCACAGGAAACTTCAGCCAGACTCTCAGAGCCCCGATTAACAACAGGCAAGAAGGCCTCATCTTGCCCTAAGAATATATGCTTTACACTGGTAGGATTTTGCCCCTCCTCAAGGAACAATGACCCAGAAGGCCACCTTGGTGCTCCTTGCTCTGGCTGTCATCACCATTTTTGCTTTAGTTTGTGTCCTGCTAGCCAGCAAAAGTGGAGCTGGGGGTGAAGCTAGCCAGCCTCGCCATTGCCCCTCGATCTATCCCAATGGCCGGCTTTGGAAACACTCCAGCCAGAGCCAGATATTTGCAGACCTCAGCCCAGAAGAGCTGACAGCTGTGATGGATTTTCTCACCAAAAAGCTGGGACCAGGGCTGGTGGATGCAGCCCAGGCTCAGCCCTCCGACAACTGTGTTTTCTCAGTGGAGCTGCAGCTGCCCTCCAAGGCTGCAGCCTTGGCCCACCTGGACAGAGGGGGCCCCCCACCTGCTCGGGAAGCACTGGCCATCGTCTTCTTTGGTGGACAACCTCAGCCCAATGTGAGTGAGCTGGTTGTAGGACCTCTGCCCCACCCCTCCTACATGCGGGATGTGACTGTGGAGCATTATGGAGGCCCGTTGCCCTATTACAGACGCCCTGTGCTGGAAAGAGAGTATTTGGACATAGATCAGATGATCTTTGACAGGGAGCTGCCTAAGGCCGCTGGGCTCCTCCATCACTGTTGCTTCTACAAACGCCAGGGCCGAAACCTGATGACAATGACCACAGCCCCCCGTGGACTACAATCAGGGGACAGAGCTACCTGGTTTGGCCTCTACTACAAACTCTCAGGAGCTGGGTTTTTCCTGCACCCTGTGGGGCTGGAGCTGCTGGTAGACCACAAGGCCCTGGACCCTGCCCACTGGACCATCCAGAAGGTTTTCTATCAAGGCCGCTACTATGACAGCCTGGTCCAGCTGGAGGAGCAGTTTGAGGCAGGCCTGGTGAATGTGGTGCTGGTCCCAGACAATGGCACAGGTGCGTCCTGGTCCTTGAAGTCCCCGGTAGCCCCTGGTGCGGCTCCTCCTCTGCAGTTCTATCCCCAAGGTCCTCGCTTCAATGTCCAGGGGAGCCAAGTGTCCTCTCCATTGTGGACTTTCTCCTTTGGCCTGGGAGCTTTCAGTGGTCTGAGGATCTTTGACATCCGGTTCCAAGGAGAGAGAGTGGCCTATGAAGTGAGCGTCCAGGAGGCCTTGGCGGTGTATGGTGGGAATTCCCCAGCAGCAATGCTGACTCACTATATTGATGGCAATTTTGGCATGGGCAAGTACTCTACGCCCCTGACCCGTGGGGTTGACTGCCCCTACGTGGCCACCTATGTGGACTGGCATTTCCTTTTGGAGTCCCAGACCCCCAAAACTCTACGTGATGCCTTTTGTGTGTTTGAACGGAATCAGGGTCTTCCACTGCGGCGACACCACTCAGAATTCGACTCTTACTATTTTGGGGGCCTTGCGGAGACTGTGTTAGTGGTCAGATCTGTTTCTACCTTGATCAACTATGATTATGTGTGGGATATGATCTTCCATCCCAATGGGGCCATAGAAGTCAAGGTCCATGCCACAGGCTATATCAGCTCAGCATTCCTCTTTGGTGCTGCCCAAAAGTATGGAAACCGAGTTGGGGAGCACACGCTGGGCACAGTTCACACCCACAGTGTTCACTTCAAGGTGGATCTGGATGTGGCAGGTAAGACATCTTGACAGGGTTTTACAAGGTTAGCACTTTGCTTTGGGTTTCATGTAAGTTATCAAGGAAAGAATGATGTGATTTTTTCATGTTTCCCTGTTGGCTGGATGAGAAAGTAATTAGCTACTGAGTTTCATTTGGTTTTTAGTTCACTGGCTCTGTGCACAGTTGTACAAGTTCATATACATAGTCTTGATGACTATGCTCAGGAAGAAGGCAGGATCTGGATTAACAGGGTTCCCATTGTCTTATTATCTCTTTTGCTCTTTTTTTTTTTTTTTGGTGGGTCTTGGGGCTTGAACTCGGGCCTGGGCGCTGTCCCTCAGCTCTTCAGCTCAAGGCTAGCACTCTACCATTTGAACTACAGCACCACTTCCAGTTTTCTGGTGGTTTATTTGAGACAAGAGTCTCATGGACTTTCCTGTCTGGGCTGGCTCTGAACTGCCATCCTCAGATCTCAGCCTCTTGAGTAGCTAGGATTACAGGCGTGAGCCACCGGCGCCCGGCTTCTCTTTTGTTCTTATGTGAGCCTCACTTCAAGAATACAGCCATTTATCATCCAGCTCAGTGTTCTCTATGTCTGGCCTGTGGTACTATGGTGTGGAAGGATCTCTTTGCATTCTGCCAAGTCTCTGGTACATGTAGGCCCCGTCATGGAAAATCTCAAGTTAGGCATTTCCTTGAGAGATGAGAGCTTTTCCTCCCTGATTTTCCATTTCTGTCTAGGAGCCATTCACTTTAGTGCAAGGGTTAGAATGGACCTGGTAGAGGATTTCAGACAGTCTCTGGAGTTCTTGGTCATGAAGAGAGCCAGTATTCCATGATTTCTTCAAGTTTGAATCTTTTTCATTTCACGTTCCTGTCCCATGTGAGTCATCACCAGCTGTTTTTCTTCTCTTTCTCTGAAATATCTTAGAACTCTCACTGGGTCATACTGCCAGTCGCCTTTGGAGGTGTCACCACTTTAGTGCTGCCTACACTCACAATGTCCTCAGATCGTGTCTACTCCTGCTCTCAGAGGTTCCTACATCCATGGCAGTCTGTGCTCACACAGGCCTCACTTTCCCCAGCACCAGAATGACTACAAGGCCCTTTGCTTCTCAGAACAGCTCTAACCTGCCCAGCAGACTCTCCCTGAGCTCTGCCAGAGGGGGACCCACATCCTCCCTGTCCCTGGGCATAAAGCCCATCAGGTACAGTCAGGCATTTTATTTTATTATTTATTATTTTTATTTTTGCCAGTCCCAAGTCTTGAACTCAGGACCAGTGCTCTATCCTTGAACCTCTCTGGCTCAAGGCTAGCACTCTACCATTTGAGCCACGGAGCCCTTCCAGCCTTTTCTGTTTATGTGGTTTTGAAGAATCAAACCCAGGGCTTCATCCATACTAGGAAAGCATTCTATCACTAAGCCACATTCCCAACCCCTGTGACCTCTTTTGATGACATCATTGAAGGCCAGGAAGAAAAGGTACCTCCAGAGGGTCCTTTTCCTGCCTAAATCTGGATTCCTGGAACCCAGACCCTACCTTACTTGCATCTCTTTCACACTGCAGGCCAGGCAGTGGTTTGCTTGTCTCTATACCCATACCTAGGGGTAAAGCACAGTCTTCTCAGCTAAAGAAAGTTGAAAGAGCCCTGGGCACTGGTGGCTCACGCTGTAATCCTAGCTATTCAGGAGGCTGAGATCTGAGGATTGTGGTTCAAAGCCAGCCTGAGCAGGAAAGTCCGTGAGACTCTTATCTCCGTTAGAAAACTGGAGGTGGCGCTGTGGCTCAAGTGGTAGAGGGCTAGCCTTGAGCTGAAGAGCTGAGGGACAGCGCCCAAGTCCAGAGATCAACACTCACGACTGACCAAAAAAAAAAAAAAAGTTGAAAGGAAGAATAAATAATACCTTTGAAGAAATATTTAAATTTATATGTCAACACCTTTGCCTGAAGGTTTAGAGATATTTTGGGGTTGGGAAGGTGGCTCAGTGGTAGAGTGCTTGCCTTGCATGCATTAGGCCTGGGTTCAATTTCTTAGCACACATAAGCAGAAAAAGCCAGATGTGGTGTTGTGGCTCAAGTGGTAGAGCATTAGCCTTGAGCTCAAGAGCTGAGGGACAGTGCTCAGGCCCAGAGTTCAGGCAAAAAAAAAAAAAAAAAAAAAAAAATAGAGATATTTGGGGGCAAGAGAAGCAAAGAAGAGGGCACAAGCACACTCAGTTCTTGGTTGCTTTTTGGCTTCCACTCTGAAGCCAGGAAAGGCTGATGTTATTGCATGACTAGCCCTCTCCTCATTCATCTCACACAGGACTAGAGAACTGGGTCTGGGCAGAGGACATGGCCTTTGTCCCTACAGCGGTGCCCTGGAATCCTGAGTATCAGATACAGAGGCTGCAGGTGACCCGGAAGCTGCTGGAGACAGAGGAACAGGCTGCTTTCCCCATGGGAGGTCCCATCCCCCGCTACATGTACCTGGCTAGCAATCTCAGCAACAAGTGGGGTCACCCACGGGGCTACCGCATCCAGACACTCAGCTTTGCTGGGAAACCAGTGCCCCAGGAGAGCTCCATGGAAAAAGCCTTCAGCTGGGGGAGGTGAGTGGCGGGCTGTCAGGATGAACATGAGAAGGGAGAGTTGGAAGGGCACTGGAAATAGTTTAAAATTGTACTCACAGTGCTGATAGCTTCTATCTATAATCCTATACTCAGGAGGCTGAGATTTGGGGATCCTGGCTGGAAGCCAACACTGGACAAAAAAAGTCCATGAGACTTTTATCTCCAATTAACCAGCAAAAAGAAGGAAGTGTCAGTGGAGCCCAAGTGGCAGAGTATTAGACTTGAGCAATAGCAGTAGGGTCAACAGGAAGATATAACTCCCACCCCTCACTGGGGTGGCCTCAGTGACTCCACAGCCCCTAGTTGCTGTATGAGTGCAAATGGAAGCTGAGGTGAGAGTACTCAGCTCCCTTCCATCATTCACATTGAGATGGCAGGATATTGTTATTGACCACAGGGATCTAACCAGTACCCCCTTAGGTACCAGCTGGCTGTGACCAAGCGGAAAGAGGAGGAGCCCGGTAGTACCAACATCTTCCATCAGAATGACCCTTGGACTCCCACCATGAATTTTGCTGACTTCATCAACAATGAGACCATTGCAGGAGAGGTGAGTTGTATGGGAATGAGGTAGAATACAAGGAGGAAACTTGCCTTCTTTTAGGAGGATTCTTGAAAATTGTCTCATTTCCTTGGGGGGTGAAGCAGATATGTTTTGTACTTTAGCTGCTCCGGTCAATATAATCTATATCCTTCCTGAGCTAGGAAGTCACATGTAAATTCTGGGCAAGGAGCAGGACTGTCCTCATGACCCCATACAGTCCAGAAAGTCCCAGATTTGTGTACTGAGCCCTTTCCAGGCTGGAGGATTCAAGAACTGGAAGTTACCAGGAAAGATCACAACTTTTTATTTTTTATTTTTATTTTTTGGTCATAGGCCTTGAACTTTGTGCCTGGGTGCTGTCCTTGAGCTCTTCAGCTCAAGGCTAGCATTCTTCCTCTTGACTCACAGCACCACTTCCAGTTTTCTGGTTTATTGGAGATTTGAGTCTCATGGACTTTCCTACCTAAGCTGGGTTTGAACCATGAACCAGATCTCAGCCTCCTGAATAGCTAGGATTATAGGCGTGAGCCACCAGTGCTCAGCTTCTCTGAGCTTCTTTTTTTTTGGATCTGGTCGTGGGGCCTGAACTCTGGGCCTGGGTGCTGCTGTCCCTCAGCTCTTCAGCTCAAGGCTAGCTCTCTGAGCTTCTTTTGATCAAAGCTAGCACTCTACCACTTGAGCCACAGCACCCCTTCCAGCTTTTCTGCTTATATGGTGCTGAGGAATCGAACCCAGGGCCTCATGCATGCCAGGGCCTCATGCATGCAAGGAAAGCACTCTACCACTGAGCCACCTTCCCAGCCCCAAGGTCACAACTCTTTGTGTGTGTGTGTGTGTGTGTGTGTGTGTGTGTGTGTGTGTGTGTGTTGGTCTGGGGGCTTGAACTCTGGGCTTGGGCGCAATCCCTCAGCCCTTCAGCTCAAGGCTAGTGTGCTACCACTTAAGCCACAGTGCCACTTCTGGCTTTCTAGTGCTTTATTGGAGAAAAGACTCTCACGGACTTTCCTGCCTGGGCTGGCTTTCAACCATGATCCTTAGATCTCAACCTCCTGAGTAGCTAGGATTACAGGTGTGAGCCACCGGCCCCCGGCAGGATCACAACTCTTAATACAAAGCTTATCCTATCCCAACCTTGACCACAGAAGGGTGCATTTCTTCATGTTAGCCAGCTTCTATCTACCAAGCCCTGATTTTCCCTCCTTCATTCTTTTATCCTTAGTTATTGTTTGCCAACTCTTAGAGAAGTAAAGTAGAAAGAGGGAAGCTGAAGAAGCCTATGGGCACCACCACTGCAGTGTAGGTAGAAGGCAGTGTGGTAGGGAATGTAAGAGATGGGAGTATGCAGGTCAGGCTTAGGGAGACAGCTGTTCTTTCCAACATGTGGAGGTTTTTTGTTTTGTTTTTTGTTGGTTGTGGGGCTTGAACTCTGTGCCAGGGCACTTGAGCCACAATGCCACTTCTGGTTTTCTGGTGGTTTATTGGAAATAAAGAGTCTCACAGACTTTCCTACCTGGGTTGGCTTTGAACTGTGATCTTCAGATCTCAGCCTCCTTAGTAGCTAGGATTACAGGCGTGAGCCACCAGCTCTTCCCAACATGAAATGGACTCTCTATCCTTTGAGTTCTGAGAAAGAAAGGGAAAAAATGTTTAAAGACTCAAGATTTATGGACTAGGGAGTTGTGTTCCCTATAAGGCCATTATGGAGGCAGGGTATGTTCCTAGCACAAGCTGACTTCATGATCCTCTTTCTTCTTCTCCCCTCCTAAGGACTTGGTGGCCTGGGTGACAGCTGGATTTCTGCACATCCCCCATGCAGAGGATATTCCCAACACGGTGACTGTGGGGAATGGAGTAGGCTTCTTCCTCCGGCCCTACAACTTCTTTGATGAGGACCCTTCCTTCTCCTCTGCTGATTCCATCTATTTCCGGGCAGACCAGGATGCTGGGGCCTGTGAGGTCAACCCCCTGGCTTGTCTGTCCCAGACTGCTGCTTGTGCCCCCAGCCTCCCTGCCTTCTCCCATGGGGGTTTCTCTCACAACTAGGTGGTCCCTAGCCTGGGCAATCTGACCAGGTATCCCAGGACCAGAGTGCTGCTTGTATGGTTAGGCACTGGTGAAGACAGCCTGGTTGTTTCATCTCTTTCCCCACACTTGTAATGTCTATTTTAAGCTCATCTCTCTTCTTCTGTCCTCTCTAGCCTCTCCCTCCCTTGTAAGAATATCTTGAGTCTATGATTCTTGACACAGGAACACATGGCTTTGTTGACCCCAGCTCTGCTGAGTTTCTGTCTAGGGAGAAGACAAATGGTCCAACCAGGAACCTGTAGTGATGGCTTGCTTTTCCCCAGATGCTTTCTGTCTGGCTTTCTAAAAATATTAAGCCATCTCTAGGAACTTTGCAATGGGGATTATATCCTAGAGACTCCATGACAGGGTTCTTATCAGTCTTACAAATCTATAAATGAGCTGGAAGGATCCTTACACACACACACACACACACACACACACACACACACTCACACACACTCACACACACACACACACACATACACATACACACACTCCCCCTCTGCAAGTCCCTTCCTCACCTTCTTCTTTTTTGCCTACTCCCTCCTTGAGTTCCTACCTACTCTTAACATTCTGGAATTTCCCTCTAATACCTAACATTCCCTCCAGCCATCATTTCTCAACTTCAGTCTCTTCTGGTCCTGAGCCTGTGGAAGTCTAAAAGATACAATAGGAGCCAGACACTGGTGGCTCACTCCTGTAATTCTAGCTATTCAGGAGGCTGAGATCTGAGGATTTGTGGTTCAAAGCTAGCCTGAGCAGAAAAGTCCCAGTGAGACTCTTATTTCCAATAAATTACTCAAAAATGCCGGAAGTGGCACTGTAGCTTAACTGGTAGAGTACATGCCTTGAACACAAAGAGGTTTAGGGACAGTGCCCAGAATTCAAACCCCAGGACCAGAAAACAACAAACCAACAACAACAAAAAAAAAACAATTGGAACATCTCATAGTGTTACATCTGTCACTTATGTGTTGTAGTTGCTCTTATCCCTGTCCTGAAGAAGGTGTTGTCTATCCATTCTGCCTGTCTTAATTTTCTCCCTTGAGGAAAATAGTCTTAGAGACAGTAGTAGCTCAATTTAACATTGCAGTTGGTTTGGGGGTAACATGATCATAACTAATGATCATTTTTAACCCAAGGTTATGTTTGGCCAATGGTCTCTGTGTGCTGAAGCAGCCTGATTGTAGAGCTAGGGAGGAAACGAAGGCTGAGTAAAAAGCAGAAAGTCCTGAGAACTCCACCCCCAGGTCAAAGCTGTACAATAACACGCACACATGCAAATGAGTCTAGATCTCTGGTGAAGTTGCAGTTGTCTGGTGGGACTTTTCACCACAGCTTTTGCCTTCCTTTGAGATGGGTACAAAGAAATATCAAGGAATTAAAAACAATAGAATTGGGCTGGGAAAGTGGCTCAGTGGTAGAGCGCTTGCCTTGCATGCATGAGGCCCTGGGTTCAATTCCTCAACACCACATAAGTATAAAAGAAAAAATCTGGAAGTGGCACTGTGGCTCAAGTGGTAGAGTGCTAGCCTTGAGCTGAAGAGCTGAGGGACAGTGCCCAGGCCCAGAGTTCAGGTCCCACGACTGGACCCCCAAAAAAACCCAAAAACCAAACAATAGACATGTCTTTCCTTAGGGGATTGGTCAAATCTGTTCTGTTGCAACCTTACAGTGCAATATTATACCGCTAAAAAAATGATTGTGAGTCTTTAAATCCTCTTCTAGTGAAAAAAGGAAAGGTGCAGAAATGTGTATTAGGGAACTTCCCATTCATGTTTTAGAAAGGAGGAGAATATACATATATGGTTTTTTTAATCTATGCATATTTAGAAGAAAAGGGTAACACTGGTTTTCTCTGGGGAGAGGATCAAGTGAAGGAGGGAATTTAGCTTAATATACCTTTCTGAACATTTTGAATCTTAAACCCTATGACTGTATTGCATAGTAAAAATAAATGATAAATCGGTCCAGACAAGAGTTGACTTTTTTTTTTGCTTGACATGCTTTTTGGGAACAGATGTGTGTGAGTGAAGAGTATGAAATAAGGTGGAGAGGGGTGCTGGAAGTGTGGCTTAGTGGGAGAGTGCTTGTCTAGCATGCATGAAGCCCTGGGTTTGATTCCTCAGTATCCTACAAACAAAAAAGATGGAAGTGGCACTGTGGTGCAAGTGGTAGAGTGCTAGCCTTGAACAAAACAAGCTTAAGGCCATTGCCCTGGCCCTGAGTTCAAGCCTCAGGACAGGAAAAAGAAAGAAAGGAAGGAAGAAAGAAAGAAAGAAGGAAGGAAGAAAGAAAAAAAGGGAGAAATGAAAGAAAGAAAGAGAAAAGAAAAGAAATAAAGTGAGTTAAAGGTGGGCTCTGAGACTAAGTTTTCAAGTTCTTGAGACCCAGAGATATGGATATGGTCTCCAGCACTTCCTTTTATTTGCTGGTCATGGGACTTGAACTCAGAGCCTGGATGCTGTCCCTGAGCCTCTCAGTGCTCAAGGCTACTGCTCTACCAATTTGAGCCACAGTGCCACTTCTGATTGTTCTTTTTGTCAGTCATAGGGCTTGAACTCTGGGCCTGGGTGCTATCTCTGAGCTCTTCAGGTCAAGGTGACTGCTCTACCACTTGAGCCATATCACCACTTTCAGTTTTCTGGGTGGTTAATTGGAGATAAAAGTCTCTCCAACTTTCCTGCTTGGGCTGGTTTTGAACCACAACCCTCAGGTCTCACCTCCTGATTAGCTAGGATTAACAGATGTGAGCCACTGGCGCCTGGCTGCACTTCTGGATTTTTTTTGAGTACTTTATTGGATATGAGTCTCACAGAGGGCTGGGAAAGTGGCTTATTGGTAGAGTGCCCGTCTAACATTCAGAAAGCCCTGGGTTTGATTCCTCAGTACCACATACACAGAATAAGCCGGAAGTGGAGCTGTGGCTCAAGTAGTAGAGTGTTAGTCTTGAGCAAAAGAAGCTCAGGGACAGTGCCCAGGCCCTGAGTTCAAGCCCCACGACTGGCAAAAAAAAAAAAAAAAAAAGAATCTCACAGACTTTCCTACCCTTAGTGGCTTTGAACCCTGACCCTCAGATCTCAATCTCTTGAGTAGTTAGAATTACAGGCATGAGGGCTGGGAAGGTGACTCAGTGGTAGAGCGCTTGCCTTGCATGCCTGAGGCCCTGGGTTTGATTCCTCAGCACCACATAAGCAGAAAGAAAAAAGCCGGAAGTGGCACTGTGGCTCAAGCGGTAGAGCGCTAGCCTTAGCTGAAGAGCTGAGGGACAGCACCCAAGCCCAGACCCCACAACCGGACCCCCCCCCCCCAAAAAAAAAAGAATTACAGGCATGAGCCACTGGCGCCTGGCTCTCCTTTGCCTTTTTTTTTAGGAAACATCAAACGCTAGTTTCCCACTTTACCTCACCTCTATCTCTTTCAAAGGAGCAGTCAATGTGAGGCAGTGGGAAAGGGGAGGTTCTATTTGATAGATGTAGGCCAGGAGGTAAAGTTCCAGAAGGAGTTTAGAATGCTACTCAGCTTACAACATGTTCTGCATCTCAGGTACCACAGAACCTTCCACTGCCTCTGTCTGTCTTGCTCCAAGCCCAGTTTCTCCCTGAGGTCAGTGGAACAATGGAAGGGAAGAGTCAGCATGTGGAGAGAAATCAAATTTCAAAGCTAAGCAGAAAAACTTCAGTAAGGAGCAGGGGCCAGCATCTGCTGACTTCATTTATAATGTGGCCAGGGGCAGAAGCAAGAGTAAAGATGGGCAGGAAAGGATGGAGGACAGGACACACTGAGATACCATAGAGGAAAGAAAAGGATGTGTGCCAATTTTTTTTGCCAGTCCTGGGGCCTTAACTCAGGGCCTGGGCACTGTCCCTGAGCTTCTTTTGCTCAAGGCTAGCACTCTACTACTATGAACCACAATGGCACTTCTGGCTTTTTCTGTTTATGTGTTACTGAGGAATCGAACCCAGAGCTTTGTGGATCTAGCTAAGCACTCTACCACTAAGCCACATTTCTAGCACCTGTGTGCCAATTTTTTATTCACTTGCATTAATTATACAAGGAGGATTTCATTGTTACATTTCCATACATGCTTATCATACATTTCAGTCAATCTTACTCCTTCTATCACTTTTCCTCCTCCCTTCCCTAAACCATGCAACAGATTTTACTGTTCTATATTCAGAGGTGCAAACAATTTGTTTCAACTGTATTCAACCTCTTTCATCTTCCTCATAAGCTCAACCTCCTCCCCCTGAGACTCACCTCTGAACAGAGCCTGTTGCTCCTTCCTGCCCTCCCATCCCCCTACAACTTTCATTGAGGTTCTTCATGCTGTTTTCACATAGACTCGCATAGTATTGCAATTATTCACCCTCTAACTTTTTTCCCCTTCCTTATCTCCTCCTAAGTAGTTCTCTAGTTAAATTCATGTTCTGTGGTTATCCATATAATATAATTTGTATATATATATACACAAGTATATATGCCTATGATATATGTGTCTTTTAGGTCTACATATGAGTGAACACATATGATATTTTGTTTTTTGTGCTTGTCATGTTTCACTCAATATGCTATTCTGAAATTGCATGACATTTTCCTGTCAATGAAATGATTTCATTTTTATTTCTGTCCATGTTATATTCCACATGTGTATATATATATATATGTGTGTGTGTGTGTGTGTGTGTATATGTGTGTGTATGTGTATACATATGTATACACATACACACACATACACACACACACACACACACACACACACACACGCATATATGACTCACGTGTTTGTTAGCCATTCATTGCTGGCACCTTGACTGATCCCATTATTTGGCTATTGTGAAAAGCGCTGTGGTAAACAGTTCTGTGATAGCATTCTCTTTGGAACATAAATCAGAGTGGACTGTGACCTGCCATCTGCACTGGGTCAACAGCTCCTCTCAGGCATCATGTCCTTGGCCCTGTCCTCAGCCTTGTGGGCTGGGGTGGGTTCTGGCTCTCAGGTGATAAATTCATCTTTACAAGTTCAGAAAGGCTGTAGCTGAATTTTTTTTTGCAGAGAAATATAATCTAGGGCTGGGAATGTAGCTCAGTGGTAGAGTGCTTGCCTAGCATGCATGAAGCCCTGAGTTCAATTCCTTAGTACCACATATACAGAAAAAGCCAGAAGTAGCTCTGTGACTCAAGTGGTAGAGTGCTAGCATCGAGCACAGAGAGGCTCAGGGACAGAGCCCAGGCCCTGAGTTCAATCCCCAGGACTAGCAAAAAAAAAAAAAAGATAAAAGAAAAGAAAAGAAAGAAGAGAAAAAGAAATATAATCTAAGACGGGCACCGGTGGCTCAGGCTTGTAATCCTAGCTACTGAGGAGGCTGAGATCTGAGGATCACGGTTCAAAGCCAGCCCGGGCAGGAAAGTCCATGAAACTCTTATCTCCAATAAAACACTAGAAAACTGGTAGTGGTGCCGTGGCTCAGGCGGTAGAGCGCTCTCCTTTAGCTGAAGAGCCCAGGGACAGTGCCCAGGCCCAGAGTTCAAGCCCCACAACTGACAAAAATAAATAAATAAATAAATAAATAAATAAATAAATAAATAAAATCAATCTAGTAGGGAAAGAGAGGTTGTAGTCCCATCTTCTGAGTATTTCTCCCAAGACACACCCCTCCGGCTTTCAACAAGTTTTTAGGCTCATCAGCATGATGATTAATAAAATTAAGGTGAAAAGATACTGGAATGAGCAATGTGAAAGAGAGATAGAGAAAATGGAAATGGTGGTTCCTTTGGAAAGTACCAGTTGACCCACTGGTAACCAAGGTGAAGTGCTCAGCCTTAGAACACCTACTTCCCCAATATGAGACCCTGGTGATCCCCCTGACACTGAACATCTTTGACCTCTCCTTGGTACCACGGCTCAAGACAAAGACGCAAGCCAGCTGATTCTGTGTTCTCCACTGAAAGTTGGACATGACTTCACCTTTCTCTCTCTGAGAGAGAGAGAGAGAGAGAGAGAGAGAGAGAGAGAGAGAGAGAGTGTGGCCTGGACCTTGAACTCAAGGCCTGGACACCGTCCCTGAGCACTTTTGCTCAAGGCTAGCATTCTATCACTTAAGCCACAGCTCTACTTCTGGTGTTTTGGTGGTTAATTGGAGATAAAAGTCTCATGGACTTTCCTGTCTGGGCTGGCTTTGAACCATGATCCTCAGCTCTCAGTTTCTTGACCCTTGTGTCAAGACTAGTAGCCTTGAATTAAAAAGCTAAGTGTCAGTATCCAGGCCTTGACTTCAATCTCTAGTAAATGCAGAGAGACAGAGAGAGATAGACAGACAGAGACAGAGACAGGGAGAGAATGAATAAGAGTCTCAGTTACATAGGTCCCACCAACAAAAAAGTGTCAACCTTCTGACTTTCTCTGTACCACAATGATTCCCTCCAAGGACTAAAATACTTGGATCACTGGACTCATCCCTTCAAAGTATCCCCCTCAACACTTCCCAGATGCTTTATGTTCTCTTTAACTTAGACTGTGTGGCAGAGAGAATTCTGATTGCTGGAAGTTCAGCAGCAGGAGACAGTGTTGAGGAACAGAGCAGAGAAGGTGCTACAAACTAAAGAAAAGAAGGAAGGAAGGAAAAAAGGGAGGATGGCAGGAAGGAAGCAAGCAAGCAAGCAAAGGAGGGAGGGAAGGAGGAAGGGAAGGAGAGAAAGATAAGAAATCCAGCTAACAGAGATGGGAACAGGTAAAGTTGGTCATCAGCCTTGGAAGTAGGAGACTGGTTCCATTTGCAGGGTACTGAAAGAAGAGTCTCTAGGCAGAGTGGCTTCCCCTTCCTCTTGCCTCCTGCCAGCTGTAGTCTCCAAATCCCACCCCTCTATCCACTTGGCTCCCCACTTCTGTCCCTGAATGTGTTGTTTAATTTGGAATGGAAAAGATAAGCCTCTGTAGGTCACTCAAAGTCTAGGTTCCTATCTGAGCCCCACTACTGCGCATGGCCTGATCCCTATGGCTCCACCCCTCTGCCCCAAGGCTTCTTTTTTTCCTAGTGAGCCTCTAGCTCATTCACAGACCAAGACCCTCTGGAGGGTAAGTAGGAGAACCATCTTGCACCCAGGTCTTGTTTAACCCTTGGCATTTCCATTTCCCATCTGCGTAGAGCTGGAGCCTGGAGATGGCACAAGCTTTAGCTGTGGATGCCTTTATGCTTTTTTGCCTAGTTAGTGTATTGGTGACAGGCACAGGTGAAGGTGAGGCTGAGAGGAGAAAAACCATAGACAGAGAATGTCAACCGGGCCTCTCTCCTCATGGCCCCTGCATCCCTCCCAGTGGCCAGCCGTGGACACATTCCAGCCAGAGCCAGATGTTTGCAGACCTCAGCCCAGAAGAGCTGACAGCTGTGATGGATTTTCTCATCCAGGAACTGGGACCAGGGCTGGTGGATGCAGCCCAGGCTCAGCCCTCCGACAACTGTGTCTTCTCAGTGGAGCTGCAGCTGCCCTCCAAGGCTGCAGCCTTGGCCCACCTGGACAGAGGGGGCCCCCCACCTGCTCGGGAAGCACTGGCCATCGTCTTCTTTGGTGGACAACCTCAGCCCAATGTGAGTGAGCTGGTTGTAGGGCCTCTGCCTCACCCCTCCTACATGCGGGATGTGACTGTGGAGCATTATGGAGGCCCGTTGCCCTATTACAGACGCCCTGTGCTGGAAAGAGAGTATTTGGACATACGCCAGATTATCTTCAACAAAGAGCTGCCTAAGGCTGCTGGGCTCCTCCATCACTGTTGTTTCTACAAACACCAGAGCCAAAACTTGTTGGCAATGAACACAGCCCCCCGTGGACTACAATCAGGGGACAGAGCTACCTGGTTTGGCCTCTACTACAAACTCTCAGGAGCTGGGTTTTTCCTGCACCCTGTGGGGCTGGAGCTGCTGGTAGACCACAAGGCCCTGGACCCTGCCCACTGGACCATCCAGAAGGTTTTCTATCAAGGCCGCTACTATGACAGCCTGGTCCAGCTGGAGGAGCAGTTTGAGGCAGGCCTGGTGAATGTGGTGCTGGTCCCAGACAATGGCACAGGTGCGTCCTGGTCCTTGAAGTCCCCGGTAGCCCCTGGTGTGGCTCCTCCTCTGCAGTTCTATCCCCAAGGTCCTCGCTTCAGTGTCCAGGGGAGCCAAGTGTCCTCTCCATTGTGGACTTTCTCCTTTGGCCTGGGAGCTTTCAGCGGTCTGAGGATCTTTGACATCCGGTTCCAAGGAGAGAGAGTGGCCTATGAAGTGAGCGTCCAGGAGGCCTTGGCAGTGTATGGTGGGAATTCCCCTATTGCTCTGCAAACCTGGTATATAGATAGTGCCTTTGGCTTAGGCCACTTCTCAACACCCTTAACTCGTGGAGTTGACTGCCCCTACGTGGCCACCTATGTGGACTGGCACTTCCTTTTGGAGTCCCAGACCCCCAAAACTCTACGTGATGCCTTTTGTGTGTTTGAACAGAACCAGGGTCTTCCACTGCGGCGACACCACTCAGAATTCGACTCTTACTATTTTGGGGGCCTTGGGGAGACAGCGTTAGTGGTCAGATCTGTTTCTACCATGCTCAACTATGACTATGTATGGGATATGATCTTCCATCCCAATGGGGCTATAGAAGTCAAGGTCCACACCACGGGCTATATCAGTTCAGTGTTCCTCTTCGGTGATGCCCTAAGGTATGGAAACCGAGTTGGGGAGCACACGCTGGGCACGGTTCACACCCACAGTGTTCACTTCAAGGTGGATCTGGATGTGGCAGGTAAGACATCCTGATAGGGGTAAGGGGATCAGAGGATGCTCCTTGTCCAGCTGTAAGTTTTCATCTGAAACATTAAACATACAGAAGCATATGATGTAGATATGCAAGTTATAACTTGGGTACCTGTGGCTCATGCATGGAATTCTAGCTTCTTGGGAAGCTGAGATGAAGAGGATAGTGATTTAAGGCCAGCCCTTGCAGAAAAGTTCTTGAGTCCCCATCTCAGGTCATAGGAAAGCACGGTTGTCCATGGTAGTCGACTATTCTAGGTACTGGGGAGGCTAAGATTCAGAAGATTGAGGTTTCAGGCCAGCACAGAAAAATTCACAAGATTCCATCTCAGTGGAAGAAGCAGGGCATGGTCATGTGCACCTATCATCCCAGCTATAAAGAAAAGCCTGAAATAGAAGAATAATAGACCAGAGAGCCTGGCAAGAAATCACACCCTATCTCAAAAACAATTACTGTTACTGGGCACTGGTGGCTCACACCTGTAATTCTAGCTACTTAGAAGATTTAAATCTAAGCCAGCACAGGCAGAAAAGTGTGTGAGACTCTTATCACCAGAAAGCCAGGAATGGAACTGTGGCTCAAGTGGTAGAGGACTAGCCTTAAGAAAAAGTGTTCAGGGACAGTGCCCAGGCCCTGAGTACAAGCCTCAGAAGTGGCGTGTGTGCACTCGCGCGCACACGCACACACACACACACACACACACACACACACACACACACACACACACAAATATTACTAGAAATGCCATAAGGGAGAAAGGCTTTCTCCAAATCTTTGGAGAGGGGGTGATCTTGGAGGGAGAGAAGGGAAGGAAGAGGTGTCCTCATGCTAGGTGGGGGCAGAGATCATACAGGGATGGTTTGGCTGCATGACCATCTCTCTCATTCATCTCACACAGGACTAGAGAACTGGGTCTGGGCAGAGGACATGGCCTTTGTCCCTACAGCGGTGCCCTGGAATCCTGAGTATCAGATACAGAGGCTGCAGGTGACCCGGAAGCTGCTGGAGACAGAGGAACAGGCTGCTTTCCCCATGGGAGGTCCCATCCCCCGCTACGTGTACCTGGCTAGCAATCTCAGCAACAAGTGGGGTCACCCACGGGGCTACCGCATCCAGACACTCAGCTTTGCTGGGAAACCAGTGCCCCAGGAGAGCTCCATGGGAAAAGCCTTCAGCTGGGTGAGGTGGGTGGAGGGCGGTCCCACAGGGCTGGAGAGGTGGACCCTATACCCCATTGGTGCATATACATGTTCTGTCATTTTACTTTATGGTGATATTGAGGTTCAAACTCAGGAGATTATGCTTACTGGGCAGGTGCTTTACCACTTGAGTTGTGCCTCCAGCCCTTTTTGCTCTTTATTTTTTTAGATAAAGTCTCACGTTTTCCTTGAGCTAGCCTGGTCTGTGAATCTATTTGTACTTCCTGTGTATCCAGAATGATACAAGCTATTGTGGCCAGGTTTTTGTTGTTGTTGTTGTTGATTGTGGGGCCTGAACTCTGGGCCTGGGCACTGTCCCTGAGCTTCTTTTGCTTAAGGATAGCACTCTACCACTTGGACCACAGCTGTACTTCCAGCTCTTCTCTCTCTGTCTGTCTCTCTGTCTCTGTGTCTGTATCTGTCTGTTTCTCTCTGTCTCTGTCTGTCTCTCTGTCTCTGTGTCTGTATCTGTCTGTTTCTCTCTGTCTCTCTCTGTCTGTCTCTCTGTCTCTCTCTTCGTCAGTCATGGGTGGAGCTTGAACTCTAGGCCTAGATGCTGTCCGTCAGCTCTACATCTCACAGCTAGTGCTCTACCACTTGAGCCTTTTCTGTTTATGTGGTGTTAAGGAATTGAACGCAGGGCCTCATGCATATGAGGCAAGCACTCTACCACTGAGCCCCCTTCCCAGCTCTACTTCTGGCTATTCTAATGGTTATTTGGAGATAAGAGTCTCATGGATTTTCCTGCCTAGGCTGGCTTTGACCTGCAACCCTCAGATCTCAGCCTCCTGAGTAGGTAGGATTATAGGCATGAGCCACTGGTGCCTGGTTTTCAACCTCCTCTTAATGATCACCTAGATGGGTATATGGATAGATGGCAAAATATTATGCACTGAAACACAAACAGTAAAATGTTAATGATAAAATCTAGATTGTGAATATGTGAGTGTTCACAATTCTTCCATTTTTTTTTATACCGGTACTAGGGCTTTAACTCAGGGTCTTGTGCTCTTGCTTGGCTTTTTTATTAAAGGCCAGTACTCTACTACACCTCCACTTCTGCCTTTTTGCTTGTTAGTTAGAGAAAAGAGTCTCTTGGGCTAGGTGCTGGTGGCTTACGCCTGTACTCCAAGCTATATTCAGGAGGCCAAGATCTGAGGATAGTGGTTTGAAGCCAACTGGGGCAGGAAAGTCCATGAGACTCTTTTTTTTTTTTTTAAATCAGTTGTGGGTCTTCAACTCTGGGCCTGGGCACTGTCCCTGAGCTCTTTAGCTCGAGAGTGTTTTGCCACTTGAGCCACAGTGCCGCTTCTGGTTTTCTGGTGGTTAACTGGAGAGAAGAGTTTCAAGGACTTCCCTTCCTGGGCTGGCTTTGAAGCTCGATCCTCAGGTCTTACCCTCCTGAGTAGCTAGGATTACAAGGTGAACCACTGGTGCCTGCTAATCACAGAAAAAGCTGGATTTGCACTGTGGCTTTTGTAGTAGAGTGCTAGCCTTGAGCAAAAAAGGAATTCAAGGACAGGGCCCAGGCCCAGAGTTCAAGCCCCAGGACAAAAAATAAAAAACATCTTTGGATTTGTCTTCCTTGGCTGGTTTTGAACCTTGATCCTCAGATCTCAGCTTCCTAAGTAGCTGAGATTACAGATGTGGGCCACCAGCACCTGGCCTTTCAATGTTTCTGTGTGTTTAAAATATTCCAAATAAGCAGGGTGCCAGTGACTCACACCTTTAATCCTAGTTACTCAGGAGGCTGAGATCTGAGGATCAAGGTTCAAAGCTAGCCCGGGCAGGAAAGTCCCGGGAGACTCTGATCTCCAATAAACCACTAGAAACCGGGAAGTGGCGCTGTGGCTCAAGCCGTAGAGTGCTTGCCTTGAGCTGAAGAGCGCAGGGACAGCGCCCAGGCCCAGAATTCAAGCCCCATGACCGACAAAAAAAAAAAAAAAAGAAAGAAAGAAAGTAAGTCTGTGAGACTCTTACCTCCAATTAAATCACAGAAAAAGCCAGAAGTGGTACTAGGGCTCAAATGGTAGCAAAAGGAGCTCAGGGACAGCACTGAGGCCCAGAGTTCAAGCTCAGGACTGACAAAAAAATCAAAATAAAGGTTGGAGTTAAAAACAAAGAGTAAGCCGGGCACTGGTGGCTCATGTCTGTAATCCTAGCTACTCAGGAGGCTGAGATCTGAGGACCTTAGTTCAAAGCCAGCCCAGGCAGGAAAGTACATGAGACTCTTATTTCCAATAAACCACTCAGAAAACCGGAAGTGGCACAGTGGCTCAAGAGGTAGAGCACTAGCCTTGAGTTGAAGAGCTGAGGGACAGAGTTCAGGCCCAGAGTTCAAGCCCCATGACCAAAAAACCCTCCAAAAACCCCCAAAGAGTAAGGCAATATTCCTTCAAATGCAGGTATTTGAGATCCTGAACCTTACCTTGGGTGAATCAGGGCATTTGTATAAATATGGATATAAGGAACAGGATACACATCAGATTCTGATCTAGAAGTGTGGATAAAATTTGGATTCTAGGCCATGTGATCGTTGAGGTATACGGTTGAGTAAATGCAGAAATGAACTCCATGGGGTTGGGAAAGAAGAACTGAGCAGAGAATAACAAAGATGCTCAGTACCTTCAAGACCTTTGTGCTAATTTCCTGTTTATGTTCCCTTTATAATTTAGTTCCCAGCAGTAGGACCAATGGATGACCATGTAGGACTAATCAAAATTGTCCATAGGGCCAGATGTAATGGCATTATGCCTGTGAAACCCAGCAGAGTGAAACAGGAGGATTGTAGATACGAGGCCATTCTGGGCTACATAGTGATTTTAATACAAACCCAAGTTATGCAGCATGATCTTCTCTCAAAAAACAAAAAACAGTTTTTTCTTTGCCCAGCCCCAGTGGCTTGCACCTGTAATCTTAGTTTCTCAGGGGGCTTAGATCTAAGAATCATGGCTCTGGCAATTTGGGTAGCCAAATCTGAGAGACTCTTATCTCCAGTAGACCACTAAAAAGCCAGAAGTGGAGCTGTGCTAGAGTGCTAGCCTTTGGCAACAAATCTAAGGGAAAGTATGAGGTACTGAGTTCAAGCCCTGGTATCAGCACATACCAAAAAATAAAAATGAAATTCTCTTTTGTAGGTATCAGCTGGCAGTGACTCAGCGGAAGGAGGAAGAGTCCAGTAGCACAAGCATCTACAATCTGAATGATCCCTGGACACCTACTGTGGACTTCACCAACTTCATCAACAACGAGAGCATTGCAGGGCAGGTAAGCTAAGTGGGAGATGAAGGAGAAGGTGGGAATAGGAGTTAGGGAGCATAGAAGCCAAGAATAAACTACTCTCACTCTCTCCCTAGCCAGACTTCTCAGGGGTCTTGAGAATTGCCGAAGAAAATTTTATGATTTCACACTTTTTTGGTTTAGAGGAGTGCCTCAAGTGGTAGAGCACCAGCCAAGCAAACACAAGGCCCTGAGTTCAAACCCCAGTGCTAGCAAGAAGGAAAGAAGGAAGGAGGAAAGGAAGAAGGAAGGGAAGGAGGAAGGGAGGGAGGAAGGAAGGAAGGGAGAGAGGGAGGATGGGAGGGTGGGAGGGAGGAAGGAACGAAGGAAGGAAGGAAGGAAAGAAAAGTTCTGTGATTTCATTTTTTTCCCCCTGAGATGTTAAAAGAGTACAAGCTCTTGAGCAGAGATCTTTTCTGTAAGGCCATTATGGAGGCAGAGTATGTTCCTAGCACAACTTCATGATCCTCTTTCTTCTTCTCCCCTCCTAAGGACTTGGTGGCCTGGGTGACAGCTGGATTTCTGCACATCCCCCATGCAGAGGATATTCCCAACACGGTGACTGTGGGGAATGGAGTGGGCTTCTTCCTCCGGCCCTACAACTTCTTTGATGAGGACCCTTCCTTCTCCTCTGCTGATTCCATCTATTTCCGGGCAGACCAGGATGCTGGGGCCTGTGAGGTCAATCCCCTGGCTTGTCTGTCCCAGACTGCTGCTTGTGCCCCCAGCCTCCCTGCCTTCTCCCATGGGGGTTTCTCTCACAACTAGGTGGTCTCTAGCTAAGAAGGAAATCACTGGGTTTTGTTTAAACTTTTTTTTTTTTTTTTGCCAGTCCTAGGGCTTGAACTCAGGGCCTGGGCACTGTCCCTGAGATTCTTTTGCCCAAGGGTAGCATTCTACCACTTGAGCCACAGCACCACTTCTGGCTTTTTCTGTGTATGTGGTACTGAGGAATGGAACCTAGGGCTTCATGCATGCTAGGAAAGCACTCTACCACTGAGCCACATTCCTAGCCCCTTGTTTAAACTTTTGGGGAACTACCAGACTGGGTTCCAAAATGTATTTCTTTTGTTCTTTTTTTTCTTATATGAAATATACATGATTTTAAAGTGCCATTTCAGCACGAAGTACATTTAGAAGCTTGCTTGGGCTTCTCCCTGATCCTTGGCCCTAGACCTTGAATATGGAAATGGGGATTCGGGAGATGATTCTTGGGCCTGTATCTCAGTCTCCAGTCTTGGGGAGGTGCTTCTCTGTGTTTATCGGACATCATCCTGGCACAGTCCTTCTACCCCTTTCTCCTTCCTCCTCCTCCCTTCTTCCTCTTCCCTGTTCTTCCACTACATTACATTCTGTCCCTGGGGGAATGTCCTTGTGGCCACAGGACATTCCTTCATTATCATTCAATTCCAGTGTCCTCTGCTTCAGATAGGAAAGCCTTAGACTCATACAGGATGTCTTGTTTAATAGGACAATCCCTCGGTATCTGTGCAGGAGATATAGGCTTTTTTTTGTTGTTGTTGTTGTTGGTCATGGGGCTTGACCTCTGGGCCTGGGCGCTGTCCCTCAGTTGTTCAACTCAAGGCTAGTGCTCTACCAATTAAGCCACAGCACCACTTCTGATTTTCTGGTGGTTAATTGGAGATAAGAGTTTCACAGCCTTTCCTGCCCAAGCTAGCTTTGAACTGTGATCCTCAGATCTCAGCCTCCTGAGTAGTTAGGATTACAGGCATGAGCTACCGGCGCCTGACAAAGATTTATTCTTTTTTTTTTTTTTTTCCTTTTTAATTTTTGGGTCCGGGGCCAGTCCTGGGGCTTGAACTCTGGGCCTGGGCGCTGTACCTCAGCTCTTCAGCTCAAGGCTAGTGCTCTACCACTTGAGCCACAGCGCCACTTCCGGCTTTTTTCTTTTTGCTTATGTGGTGCTGAGGAATCGAACCCAGGGCCTCAGGCATGCAAGGCAAGCGCTCTACCACTGAGCCACCTTCCCACCCCCCCAAAGCTTTATTCTTGTTGCCTCTTAGATTCACTATCTGAATAAAATTGTTCTTCCTCTCACCCCTTGTCACCTGTCTACACTGTCAAAGAGTCCTCAAATTGTTCTTTTTGTTTTCTTTTCTTTTTTTTGTTGATGTAGGGCCTGAACTCTGGGCCTGGACACTGTCCCTGAGCTCTTCAGCTTAAGGCTAGTGCTCTACCACTTGAGCCATAGCACTACTGCCAGATTTTTCTGCTTATGTGGTGCTGAGGAATCGAACCCAGAGCCTCGTGAATGCAAGGCAAACACTCTACCATTGAGCCACCTTCCCAGCCCCTCAAATAGTCTTCTAAGACTACACAAACCATGTAGCATATACTTGCATTTTTCTTCTGGAACTGGGGCTTGAACTCAGGGCCTGAGCACTGTGCCTTAGTTTTTTTCCCTCAAGACTAGCACTGTAGCACTAGAGCCACAGTTTCACTTCAGGCTTTTTGGTGGTTAATTGGAGATGAGAATCTCATGGACTTTCTTGCCCAGTCTGGCCTTGATCCTCAGATCTTAGCCTCCTGAGTAACTAGGATGATACAGGCATGAGCCACCAGTGCCTGGCATGGCACATACTTTAATGAAGGGAAGGATGATCTGGTTAGAGCAGTTGCTCAGTTGTGAGTGTAATGATCCAGAGCCATCTGTTCCCAGGGCAACAGCCACTGTTCCTCTGTCGTAGCCAGCATGGATGACAAGAAGGTAACTAAGTGTAAGAATGCAGAATTCTCAGGAGCCCAAATATCCAGGACAAGAGAGGCCCTATCAGCAATGGGCCAGGTACCCAGGAGGACCTTCCTAGCCTGCTCAGGAACAACATTCGCTGGGGCTGCTGCCCCTCTTGGAGTGTGGACTTTGGATAGACATAAATAAATACTGGGATATTCTCCAAAAAGGGGTTTTGGGGTGAGAGTCAAGTGGGGGAGGTGATAGAGCTCAAAGAGCAAGGTTTATGTAGCATGTGGAGCGCATGCCTCTGCTCCTAGAATTCGCCCACTTCTGTCAGTCAGTGTCTTTCTGGGGGCAGTGGGATCAAGGAGCAAGAGGTTCCTTCCCCATCAGGAAGCCTGAGCTCCCATTCAGCTTTGCAGGGGTATTAACAGGATCTGTCAAGAGGGGAATTTAGGGAAGAAATTTGGGAGTATAGCTCTCAGCTTATGACTGGAAGGAAGTTCACAAAGCTGGAGCTCAGACTAAATGGAATCTCTTAGTTGATTCTCCCAAATCAACCAAAAGAGCTAGAGAGGAATTGTTTGGGCCTAGGGAACCTTCGTACAAAAACGAAAGCACAGAAGCCATGTTCTCTATTGGTGACTCTCAGTAGATATGGTGAAAAGAATGTGTGCTCATGAACGCTGGTAAAAGACTTGGGGTCAGCTCTAATAAAGGAAACCCACAGGAAACAATGACAACCCCCCCCCCTCCCTCCCCCCTCTCCCCACCCCGCTTGAGAAAGCCAGTCCAGAGAGAGCCAAAGGGTCAGAATCACCAAGTTCCAGGGTGAATCTGGAAGAAGAACACCTTTGGAATTGTGGGACCTCTGAGGACCTTTAGACTGACAGAGCTTGTGTGAGGGGCTTTGACCCTACCTCCTTCCATGATCAATTTGAACCAGGATCCTCAGATCTCAGCCTCCCGAGTAGCTAGGATTACAGGCGTGAGCCACTGGCCCAAATGTCTCTTTTGGATGCCCCCCAAGTATCCTGCTTTCACTCATGTGGCGTGTGCCGCCATTCTTGTCACTATGCCCTAGTGTTTTGGCCTAGTGAAGTATGTTCAGTCTAAATATACTTTGATATTCTTTTTCCATTTACTATTTCATTGTAAACATTTTTACTGGTTGCCATGCAACACCATCACAAAAGATAGTTTTTAAGGGGAATGAGGTGCTCTATCAAGTTGATAGCAAACAAATCATTCTCCATTAGGTGATTGGGTTGTTTCCAATTTCCTTTCAAGTGGGAGAATGATCCATAGGACCCTGGTTTTGTACAATAGATTTTACATGGCAGTTACAGTTTCAGAGCTAAAAGAGATGATGGGAGTCATGGGGTCCAGGCTTAGGTTTTCCATGGCTTTGAGTTGATATCACCCCATTTCCTCACCTACAATGTGATATCTATTCCAATCAGTCAAAAGACTAGACTCTGTGTGTGTGTGTGTGTGTTGTGGTGTGTGTGTGCACGCGCACGCACCAGTACTGGGGCTTAAACTCAGGACCTCAGCACTGTTCTTAGATTATTTTTTTCTCCTGGTCATGGGGTTTGAACTTGGGGCCTGAGCTTTTTCACTTAAGGCTAGTGCTCTACCACTTTGAGGTACAATACCACTTTTGGTTTAGTGGTGGTTAATTGGAGATAGGAGTCTTATGGACTTTCCTGCCCTGGCTGGCTTCAAACTGGGATCCTTAGATCTCAGCCTCCTAAGTAGCTAGGTGTACAGGCATGAAATACTAGTGCCCAGCTGTCCCTTTTTTGCTCAAAACTGATGCTTTACCATTTGAGCCATATTTCCACTTCACTTCTGGCTTTTTTGGGGGCTAATTAGAGTTAAGAGTCTCACAGACTTTCCTATTGTGGCTTAGCTTCAAACCAAAATCCTCAGATTTCAGACTTCTGAAAGATTACAGGCTTGAGCTACCCATACTCAGTGATTTTTAGGCTCTGGTAGGGTTTTTTCTGACATTGGAAGGTTCTTTCACAGCTGTACACCATAGGAAATACTTGAAGATATTGAGATCTAGATGCATTCTTTCTTTCTTTCTTTTTTTTTTGGGGGGGGGGGTCCAGTCGTGGGGCCTGAACTCTGAGCCTGGGCGCTGTCCCTCAGCTCTTCAGCTCAAGGCTAGAGCTCTACCACTTGAGCCACAGCGCCACTTCCGGCTTTTTTCTTTTTTTTGCTTATGTGGCACTGAGGAATTGAACCCAGGGCCTCAGGCATGCAAGGCAAATGCTCTACCACTGAGCCACCTTCCTAGCCCCTAGATGCATTCTTTCCATCTTTGACCTATAAAGTGTCCCCTTACCATTTTGCCTCCTATGGTCAGAATGGCAAAAGAATGCCTGGGCCCTCCTGAGGAGACTTTGGGAGTTGTCTGTGGCAGTGTTGAGCAAAAGCTGCTATTTCATTTGCTTTGACATCAGGTATGGAATTTTCCCGAAAGGCACCAAGTTATATGCTGGGGTAGGGACCGTGGAAGGTATGCAGGAAGTCATGTATGTTCCCACTATCTGACTTGACCCAGGAGAGATGTGCCAGAGTAAGAGGAGCTCTGTGAAGTGGGAGCCAGCCCTGAAACCTCATCTGCCCCTTACTTTCCTGTTAATTTTTCACCCAGATTGGCCCTAGCCTCCCTGTAGCTTCCAGAGAGATCTTACAACATGATGTGTTAGATCACATAGCATTCTCAGCTGGGCTCAGATCTCCAACTATTTCCTACTCCATGTCTTTCATATTCCTTGAATTAGTTAATTTACTTCTATGAATTAAGTGGTTTACATGAATTAATTTCTACTTTGTAATGTATGTTTTCAGTTGAGAAAATACATCATCTATAAAAATAGCTCTTGAAAAATGCCAGTTACAAGACCAAGCTGAGCTAGCATCTCAGGAGACAGATCTGAGGATTGCAGTGCAAAGTCAGCTTGGGCAGGAAAGTTTGTGAGACTCTTATCTCCAAATAATCAACAATAAGTCAGAAATGGAGATGTAGCTCAAGTGGCAGAGCATCAGCCGTTTTTTTTTTGT